TAAAGTCTTCGCGTCTTCTTAACCCCAGCACTTTAATTTGTATCGTTTTTGTTAACAAAGTTTTTTTTATCTAGTTCACTACAAGAGTAAATTTCTTACCTTTAAAACCATCGTAGTCCGTGTCCTGAACCCATTATGTGACTAACCTCTCCACCGCCGCTCAAAGACTGGATATTGAGTCCATAATAAACTAATTAAATTAAGCAAAGACTGAACCTGCTGGCGTGAGCACCCACCGTCGCCAGACGGGCAGAGTTCCCTGGGCGTGAAGTCGTCAGCGGTGTAGGGGACGCCGGGGAAGTCGAGGTTGTCGGAGTTAAACGGCGTCCCGCCAGACCCGACTCCCTCCCGGCCCAGACCTGCCATGTGGTTTACCACAGCGTCCGCGAAGATCCTGAAGCAGTAAGGCCCGCATCACACAAGCATGACGGTGAGTACTAAAGCCTCGCCCAAGAGGGACACCATTTGGGCCAGTTTGAGGCATGCAAGAAGGCCTTGAAACGTGAAAGCCGAGGGTTGCTGATCAAAACATAAAGGAAAACCACCCCTGAAAGACATGGTAATATTTCGCTTCATATGTGATTCCCAGTTTACAGACATGATCATGCTGGCTCCGAGGTACACTGAAGGCTTGTGCTTGTGCGTTGCTCTCACCAATCGGGCTGAGGACTGCTCCAGAGGACCACCACTATGGACAAACCTTCAAGCACAAATTGTCTGTCATAGAGAAGAGTGGCGCTTCTGATGGTGACACTATGTGACACATCTGAAAATCATATGATTTTCAGCTGATTCACCACTTAATGTCACGAAAGAAGGACTGATCTCTTCCATGCAAGAGTACTAGTGAAACTGATTTTCACAAGTGACCTGTCAGAATTTAACCCATGGGTAAGCCTGTAGAAATACATGACTTTAGTTGTGTTGACGGCTCACACACCTGACACCCACAGCGTTGCAGCGGTGTACCATGTCAATGAACTCTTCCTCGTTGCCAGAGCGAGAGACCAGCTTGTACGAGATGGGTTGGTAACGCTGCCACCAGGGGTATGGGTAGTCGGCCGTGATGACAGCGTGCTCGTTGGGGGGCGAGATCTGCCAATGGAGACGCATTACCACCCATGAAACAACCACCAAACTAATACCACGACGTAGGACCACGCATTATTCTGCTCTCATTAACAAGCTTCCATACTCAGCACTGTACTGTTGTCCTAACCCACATGACTAGTTCCAGAGTTTAGCATTAATATTAAATGTTCGCCTAATATGCCCATCTCGCAGGAAGGTGTTGTGTGTGGGGCGAATCGTGTCTACCAGCCTCCGCTGGCACCCTGATGGTTGACAATGTGGACATCTTCTAGTATCTGTCAGTGAAATATATATAGTTACAAAGCTATAGGTATCTTGTGTTATTTGGTCTATATCCATCTATATTTGGGAAGTCACTAATATGTGCCAGTAATTTGATCAGTTGGTCATTTATTTGATTACCAAATAAAATAAAAAATTGCATATTGATATCATCACCAATATATCAACTCTATTGGAAAACAAAACACTTATCTGAAGATTGTCTCAACACAACACAATCTGTAACACACTTGCCTCTTTACAAGTACTGTTTAATGATACGTACATCTATAATAAATAGGTTAACCCCAGATACTAAGTTAATTAGGATTTATTCACTTTGAGATAAGTTAAAGTGACCATTGTACCTTTCATCTCAACTGTTATGAACAATTAAAATAATAATACATAGTAATAATATTATACATCATGATTATATTAAAACACTATTTACTTTCGTGAAAAACACTCAATTTAGCATTCACAATCCTGATCTCTTTATGCAGAATAAGTATAATTGGTAGTATACTTAGATTTTATTCTTTGGACGCAACTGAACATGAAATAACAAAGTAATATTTGTAAAGTAAAATTAAATTGCGTAAGCACAAATACACAATCATAATGAACACGGAGTAAAGAGGCTATGACGTAGCCTCTAAATTATGTTGAAGGTGTACAAAATTAAAGGTGTACGCTTTTGTGAACTACAAGCCATCGAATGATGGAACAGTAATGTACGGAGATATCAGGCTATGAAGGATATTGTAATTAAAATAGAAGCGTACCTTTGTGTATGCACGATAGCAATGCCTAAAATAAAGAGACCTGAATTATTTGTTGCTAATAAATAAATCTAACCAAATAATACATGATTCCAAAAGATGAGCTCATCAAGTATTAAGATGAGTCTTAGTGTACTTGTAAATAATCAACTCAATCAGTGAATAGTTAATAACCTGTACGCCGCAGTAGCCGGCCTGGGCCAGGAAGCGCTCACACTCCAGGGCGACGTCCGTCCATTTCCACTCAAAGATCTCAATGATGACGGTCTTGCCATCACAAGCGGGGTTGTCGTAGCCGACCACCACCTGGCTCCTCGCCTCTCCACTCAACACCACCACCACCAGACTGTCAACATGGGAACCTTCAGTTGGTGAGGAATGTTGGCATGAAGTCATTGGTGTTGTCAACATGGGAACCTTCAATTCATGAGGAATGGTGTCATGAAGTCTTTGGTGTTGTCAACATGGGACTCTTCAGTTGTTGAAGAATGTTGTCGTGAAGTCATTGATGTTGACAACATGGGAACCTTCAGTTGATGAGGTATGGTGTCATGAAGTCATTGGTGTTGTCAACATGGGACCTACAGTTGTTGAGGAATGGTGTCATGAAGTCATTGATGTTGACAACATGGTAACCTACAGTTGTTGAAGAATGTTGTCATGAAGTCATTGGTGTTGTCAACAATAAAAACTTTCAGTGGGTTAACGCAGTCATGAAACTTGAGTCTTATTGTGGTTTACAAAATATTTTCGTTTATATTCAGTTTAGTTTTGAATTCACGTCTTCTTGCATGTGTTTTAAAGCTGATAATATACACAATTTTATGCCTGGAAGAGTTAAGAAAGCAACAAATACCTGAGGAGTGCAAGGAGCGCCATGACGTCTTGCAAGACTCGGGTTGCAACAGTGCGCTGCCTGCATTATATCCCCGCACCGCCGCAGTTATCGTACCGCAATAATACACAACTCTCCTCGCCTAAAAACATGTTTGTCTGCTTGTATTACAAAGTAATGCAAATATTTCCTGCAGTAATGACGACATATTTCGTAGAATGTGGAAGAATTAAACTTCCTTCCGGGATACAATTATATGTTACGTGAATATTATTTATCGTCTGGACGTGATACGAGGGACGCAGGTGGAGCCACATGTCGGGTTCCCAGCCTCTGTAACGTAGCTGAAAGTGTCTTGATAAGTCAAACATTTTTTACTTAACATTGTTATGAGCTTCTTATATATATACCACATCTAACTGACAGACTCTGTACTGTGCATTATTCATTATTTACTCTTGCACCTTGTGTACGAGAGTTTGCACCTTTTGTACGAGAGTTCTTATAGCCTAGGCTACTTCCTGGCAAGTCGAATAATGTTTCACGCAAAAAACTTGCTTTAAATTAAGTATGAATTAATATATGTAAAAAAATAATTCGTATATCATGTGTTTCTTATGTCTGGCAGAGATGCGTCCTTCATGGTAACTGAATCAAATAGTAATAAATAAAATGTTTAGTCCTAGCAACATCATTTTTATTTATTGTGCAACGGTTAGGATAAGCTACTAAAAAGCAGTTTGATACAAATTAGGGCATTCATTTCAATAACACAATTAATGGCTCTCCGAGTATTAACTTAATCCTCATATTGAGTATGCATGAAGTACTGGAGCACTCAAGGAAGATCATCAATTCTTCGTTTTGCATTTTTGTCAAGGCCTCCAACCATTCTTTCAGGTAATAAAACAAAAACAGGTGCAGCATAATTAACTAGAGATATAATACACACCAGGAACATCATTTTAATAATGTGGACATTTGCACCATTGCACCATGTGGAAGTGATACTTCCACAATTATCACAATAATAATCCAGCAAGCATAATAGTGAGGGATTGTGTAACATTATTAGTGAGTGATGTGGTGTTGGAGTGGCGGGTTATGTAACACTCTCCATGGGAACCCACACAGCTGAGGGCACCAGATAAACGTATTAATGACTCCACTTTATGTGACATTAATATTATGGCGTCTTCAACTTTCACTCGTGAAAGTGTATACAAATATTAGGAATATTTTAAGCTGCCTCTTAATGAGAAATCACATCTTTGAAAGCAATTAAAAATAATATACAGTATATATATATATATATATATATATATATATATATATATATATATATATATATATATATATATATATATATATATATATATATATTATTTTTAATTGCTTTCAAAGATGTGATTTCTCATTAAGAGGCAGCTTAAAATATTCCTAATATTTGTATATATATATATATATATATATATATATATATATATATATATATATATTGGTAGCGATCATATATAGACATATGTTATTGAATATGACAGAAAGGTTTACTCAATGTTTCTAGCACGAGTCTTCTCTATATTACTGATGTTCTGCTTCACTTAGGAAGGAATCTGAAAAATTAACTCTCCAAACCTCATGTTACAGTTTTACTAGGGCCGGTACCCGGCGGTGCCCGGGACAGTCTGTCTCTCCTCCCACACACCCCATTCAACCCCTCTTCTCACATCTCCCCCTTGCCGCCCCCCTCCCCAACTTGTATTCCCATTCCCCTTGGTCCTCCCCCCCCCCCCCCTTCTCCCTGCTCCCCTTCTCTCTGAAAATGCGTCATTCAGAAGGCCCCCTCTCCTCACCTCTCTCCCTCTTCCTCCTTCACCTCCCCCCCCCCCCCCACACTCACCACTTCCCCTTCTCTTGGTAAATATACTTCATCTCCCTTCTGGTGATTCCAAGACACCACCTGGTATCTGGGAATCACCAGAACGCCGGTTCGAGTCATCCCATTGCATTAAAATTATTTTTCGCAGCAATAATAATAATAATAATAATAATAATAATAATAATAATAATAATAATAATAATAATAATAATAATAATAATAATAATAATGCGCAAAGAAATCACATTAACGTGTTGTTTCAATGAAAGAGTAACTAGGAATCATAAGGAGGATTCGAACTTGCACACTGGGTACTCCCAAGCACACACTTATATTAATAGGATTTCTTTGTGCATCTGAGAAAGCGTTGGGGGTCGAATTCCTATACCACAGCCAGAGTGTATGCCGGTAATGGGTGAAATATTGATTTCGTGTCAGATGGATGCCTCAGGAAACCTTAGAGGATTCAGTTCAATCCCAAGTTACATTACTTCATATGCGTATAGTGGTCCAGTGATTTACGGCGTGTGCTTGCGAGAACCCAATTGCAGGTTCGAATCATCTTCATGACTCCTACTGATTTTCTCAATAATAATAATAATAATAATAATAATAACAACAAAAGTAATAATAATAATAACTAAATAAATAATAATAATAGTAATAATAATAATTAATAATACTAATATTAATACAAATTAAAAATCAATAATAATAATAATAATAATAATAATAATAATAATAATAATAATAATAATAATAATAATAAATTGTCATCCACACTTCCGTGGAAATAAGGACCCCACGCGTTTGGGGTCTGTGATTCGAGTCTCCTAGCACCCAGGTGCATGAAATAATAATAACAATACTTTATTCATAATAATATGCATACAAAGAGCATAAGGCAGACGTATGTAAGTACAGGGGCTGCTCATGAAATAAAGTCATCATTATGCAAAGCGTTTTGGCCGAAACTTACAATAATACAGAGAAACAATATGTATATGTGGTGTAATGGGCTATGATAGTCGCAATGGGGACTATCATATCCTCTTTGATTCCCCTCGATTATGGTGAGGAGTTTCCATGGTGACAAATGAGTTAAAATGAATGAAATAATTACAATTTCATTTTGTAATTAGCAGTCTCGTCATTGTGGGTTCAAGTCTCTTGTGATTATTGTACAATTATGACGTAAGTGTTTTACTACAGGCCTTATACAGTGTGTAGAACTTCTGTTCCATATAAATGTTAGGCCTTCCCCCAGGCGCCATACTTCAAGATGGACATAGAGTAGAGAGCAGGATATATAGACGTCACAAGCTTCCGGCGATGTCTCCGCTGATAACTAAAGCGTGCGAAATTATCCCACGCCGTGACGTCGGCTGTGACGTCGGCTGTGGCAACATCAACACTGGGTTGAGTAAGCAAGGAACTTCTGGGGAACCATGAACATTTAATAGTATTTTACGTTGCTGGAAATCATTCACTAATGCACAAACATATATATCAATGAATATATAGTTTGTACCTAATTGGCCAAATTGCCAAACAAACCGAATTTTCCTGAAATTATATATTTTTCAATTTTTTTTCTTATCGAGTGATAAAGCATACAGTATATTATAAATGATTTATTTTTTAATTTGATTTAAAACTAATGGAATTTTTTATCAAACCTAACCTAAGCTAACTTATCCTAACCTAACTTAACCTATCCTAACCTATCCTAACTTATCCTAACTTATCCTATCCTAACTTAACCTAACCTAACCTAAGTCAGTAATTCATGTCCATAATATAATATAATAATATTAATAAAATAAACCAATTTGAAAAAGAATATTTGAAAATAACGAAAAGCACGATACCTGTTAGGCAAATCAGGCGTTACATAAGTGTAAGCTGGTGAAGATGGGGAGGGAGTGTGTGGGTGGAGGCAGGAAGGGTGTGTGGGTGGAGGCAGGTAGGGTGTGTATGGGTGGAGGCTGGTAGGGTGTGTATGGGTGGAGGCTGGTAGGGTGTGTATGGGTGGAGGTAGGTAGGGTGTGTATGGGTGGAGGCAGGTAGGGTGTGTGTATGGGTGGAGGCTGGTAGGGTGTGAACATATATTCAATGATGAAGCCAGCATATACTGAAAGATAGTTACAGTGATGGGGGGAGAGTGGTTGTATATTAAGTGGTGTCACAGGAAGGTCGGGGCTGGCCCCCCCCCCATACGTCAGTGGATATGAAATATTCTGCCCTGAGTCCAAAGAGTTTTAGCAGTTGTTTATATATTAGTGAATTATGTTTTGATGGCAGATTTGCGAGGGAAATAAGGGAAGAGAGGGGAAAAGGCGGAGGTGGGTATCCTCACCAAGGAACTGCTACGTGTCCCATCAAGTGTTTATTTATCTATATATTTATCTATATATTTATCTATATCTATAAATAGAAATGTCTGTCTACCTCTCTGAGGTTGGAGGCTAGGTGCTTGAGGCTAACTTCACCCAGGTTTACACTGTAATTGCTGTTGGGTATATGCCCTACATGGGCGGGTCAGGATTGGCATCAAAGAAAAATGTGCCAAGTGACATTGTACCAATGTTACCCCTATGAAAATCTTGCTGGACCATATCGCTCGACTAGAGTTATTATTATTATTATTATTATTATTATTATTATTATTTACTGTTTTGTATCGGAAACTGTATGCGCTATCACGCCAAAATTAAAAAAGATCCACTCATATTACTTACCCTTTAACCTCCTAGAACTTTAATGATGCGTTTTTTTCCTTAGACTATTTGGTTTTGTTAATAATAATAATAATAATAAAAATAATTAATAATAATAATAATAATTTATTTGCAAGAAGGTACAATGGGTTGGTGAGATTACATAATCTTAGTATTTTTACATACATACAAAACCACTAACACGCATAGCGTTTCGGACAGGTCCTTAATCTAACATATCAGGTAAGATGAAAGGGTACATTGTAGCAAGGTTTTTATATCAATAGATAACTACAACATAAGTTGACAAAGGTGATTACACTGGTAAGGATATATGTCTTAACTTAAATACTAATAACGGGGAAGTGGGGAATACAAGATACAGTGTGAGTTTTAAGCACACGGTAGGAAACTATGAGGATGATATTAAGTACTTTTTCATTTCACTTTTGAACAGGGCATGGGATGGACAGTTTTTTAATTCATCATGGAGTGAGTTCCAAAGACTGGGTGCTTTTATATGCATGGAGTGTTTGCACAGATTTAGTGTGACTCTGGGGATATCAAATATATATTTATTTCTGGTGTGTTGCTCATGGGTTCTATTACATCTATCATGGAAAAGTTTCAGATCAAGATTAGCATTTAGGAACAAGGTATTGTACATATAAATATCTCATGAGAATGTGTGGAGTGAGCGTATGTTTAGCATGTTAAGGGACTTAAACAGAGGGGGCTATGTGTTTTCTGAAGACAGAGTTTGTTATAGTTCTGATAGCAGATTTTTGCTGAGTGATGATAGGCTTGAGGTAATTTGCAGTGGTTGAACCCATGCACAGATACCGTATGTAAGATAGGGATAGATTAGTGAGTAGTATAATGGGAGGAGAGCAGAGTGGGGAACATAATATCTGATTTTAGAAAGAATACCGATCGTGTTTTGAAACTTTTTTGCTTATGTGTTGTATGTGGGTGCTGAAGTTTAGTCTCTTGTCTATGTATAGGCCATGGAACTTTCCCTCATTCTTATTTGTAATGTTAACATTGTCAATCTGAAGATGAATCTGATTTGATGAGTTACTACCAAATAAAATGTAGGTCTTTTTTATGTTTCGTGTAAGTTTGTTTGTTGGTTGACGTCCCAACCCGTCCTCTTAAAAATAACGTCACTTACGTCCACGAGTGGACTTTTATTAATTCACTTTTGACAATATTATTTAGTGTGTAGGGGTTGGGGTCAGAATAGACGAAGGTAGTATCGTCTACAAATAGTATAGGTTTAAGTAATGTAATGATAGGTAATGAAACTGTTGTGTCAAATGTTCCATAGTCTTACGATTAGTGATATTGTAGGAGAGAAGGGGGGGGGGAAAGGTTCCCCCTTCTTAGTTTCTGTAACAAACTAGAAAGACTAGATGCCCACTTCCAGACAGTAAACTTATACTGCAATAAATAAGTGCAAAGTAATTACCATAAAGCAGATAATCTTCTTATGGACCATTTGGTACCAATATTTGTGTACCGTCAGCCTGTAGCCTCTGCCTGTCAGCCAGTCCGCACCATTGTTCTCAGTGATCAACAGAAGGAGCTCATCTCAATTCAATACCTCTGGTATTTCCGCTGACCGCACTGTGTACGTCACCTGCTTATCACATCCGTGTTGTGATAACCAGTGGTTCCTCAACCAGGACAACCTCGTACCGCCTCCTTTTCCCTAACTAGGCCATATTCCTTCCCTTCTCCCCTCTCACTAAGTAATTTCCCTTCCCCCTCCATTGGGCATTCCCCAATTCCCCTCCCTAAAGGGATCCACTTTCCCTTCACTAAGTCTCTATAATTAGCAGCCTCACATCTCTGATAGCAATTCACGAATATAATGTCTTTTCTAAATAAAAGTTTATGCTCGAAGAGCGTGTTAATAGGATGACAGAAGCCTAGACGAGGTGGTATTCCCGACACAAGATCTGACAAGATCTTTGGAGGAAGTGCATCATTGATTAAGTGCGAGGACATCACACTTCGCTGATAACGTGGAGGGTATTTGAACCCTTTAGCAGAGGTGGTTAGCATAGTCTCTCAGCAGACACCTCCACAAGCACACCACCAGTCAAGGCTTCAAGACTGTCAACTGTGTCAACTGTCAACTGCTCGCTGTCATCTTATACAAGAATACGTTGTATTACTCATTACTAAAGGTACGAAAAATTCGGGGCTGTGTAATTGTTATATTTTCGCTTAATACAGGTATAACGGCTGGCTTGTGACTTATATTTGATTCATTAAACAAAATATACCTAGGTCTTTAAAACGTGAGAATAGTTAAAATGCCAGTATTTTGTAAAATTTAAATATGTTATCGTGGCCATGAATGCATGACGGAATACTTTTCAATTTACGATACTAATTGTAAATTCATTTTACAAAGATGCGACCAGCTTGGGCAGCGATGGGAGCGTGCGTGGCTCTCCAGTTACTGATGGCAGCATATGGGGCTGTTGTAGTGACAGGTCCTCCAGAGATCAGCTCCCAGTGCCCCAACCCTGAAGAGGAGCACGTTACTCTTCTACCCAACCCAGACGATTGCTCTACCTACTACTCCTGCAGCTGGGGTGTCGCTTACCTCATGCAGTGCCCGGCGGGACTCCTCTTCGATGTTAATCTTCTCGTTTGTACCTGGTCTTGGGATGCTGTGTGTTACCTACCCACTACATTCACTACTGGCCACAGTGAGCAGCCTAGCACGACTACAGAGGTCTTCACTCAGGAGCCTAGCACGACTACAGAGGTCTTCACTCAGCAGCCTAGCACAACTACAGAGGTAAACACTCCAGTCGTCACCACTGAAGAACCCAAAACTACAACAGTCACCACTGAAGAACCCAAAACTACAGTAATCACCACTGAAGAACCCAAAACTACAACAGTCACCACTGAGGAACCCAAAACTACAACAGTCACCACTGAAGAACCCAAAACTACAATAGTCACCACTGAAGAACCCAAAACTACAACAGTCACCACTGAGGAACCCAAAACCACAACAGTCACCACTGAAGAACCCAAAACTACAGTAATCACCACTGAAGAACCCAAAACTACAACAGTCACCACTGAAGAACCCAAAACTACAATAGTCACCACTGAAGAACCCAAAACTACAGTAATCACCACTGAAGAACCCAAAACTACAACAATCACCACTGAGGAACCCAAAACTACAATAGTCACCACTGAAGAACCCAAAACTACAATAGTCACCACTGAAGAACCCAAAACTACAACAGTCACCACTGAAGAACCCAAAACTACAATAGTCACCACTGAAGAACCCAAAACTACAATAGTCACCACTGAAGAACCCAAAACTACAATAGTCACCACTGAAGAACCCAAAACTACAACAGTCACCACTGAAGAACCCAAAACTACAACAGTCACCACTGAGGAACCCAAAACCACAACAGTCACCACTGAAGAACCCAAAACTACAGTAATCACCACTGAAGAACCCAAAACTACAACAGTCACCACTGAAGAACCCAAAACTACAGTAATCACCACTGAAGAACCCAAAACTACAACAGTCACCACTGAAGAACCCAAAACTACAACAGTCACCACTGAAGAACCCAAAACTACAACAGTCACCACTGAGGAACCCAAAACTACAACAGTCACCACTGAGGAACCCAAAACCACAACAGTCACCACTGAAGAACCCAAAACTACAGTAATCACCACTGAAGAACCCAAAACTACAACAGTCACTACTGAAGAACCCAAAACTACAGTAATCACCACTGAAGAACCCAAAACTACAACAGTCACTACTGAAGAACCCAAAACTACAGTAATCACCACTGAAGAACCCAAAACTACAACAGTCACCACTGAGGAACCCAAAACTACAACAGTCACCACTGAGGAACCTAAAACTACAACAGTCACCACTGAAGAACCCAAAACTACAACAGTCACCACTGAGGAACCCAAAACTACAACAGTCACCACTGAGGAACCCAAAACTACAACAGTCACCACTGAAGAACCCAAAACTACAACAGTCACCACTGAGGAACCCAAAACTACAACAGTCACCACTGAAGAACCCAATACTACAACAGTCACCACTGAGGAACCCAAAACTACAACAGTCACCACTGAGGAACCCAAAACTACAACAGTCACCACTGAGGAACCCAGTACTAGACCAGTTACCTCTGATGAACCCAGTACTACAACAGTCACCACTGAAGAACCCAGTACTACAGTAGTGCCAAATACATCCACAACACCACTACCTTTACCCACATGTCCCCATGTTGATGGCAATGCCCACGTGTTGTTGGCCAACCCTAATGACTGCTCCACATTCTTCATGTGTATCGATGGTTCCCCGCACCTGTTCTCGTGTCCCCAGGGAACCTACTTCGACCAAAACCGCCAGGTGTGCAGCCACTCCCACTTCGTCAAGTGTGATCACAGGGTATTGGAGTGGTAGCTCCAGCTCCCACTACGTCAAGTGTGATCGCGGGGTATTGGAGTGGTATCTCCAGCTCTCACCACGTCAACTCCCCCTCTTGGTGATTCTCTTTTAGTAATAGTATGTATTATTATGTAAAAAGTAAATTATATATTATTTTAATTTATTTATATAATTGCTAGGTATTATAATGCGAATTTTATTATAATGCGGTATTATACATGGAATAAGAATCCCTGTAATGTTCGAGTACTGAAGGATTTAACTAAATAATTTTTTTTTAATTTCTGGATAGGTATTCCAAAATTAATATAAGCCTACTTAAGGCATGGAAAAGAAAACACTTGAATGATTGTCTTAATGAACTGCTTACATAAAAACGAATAGCAATGTATTGATGAATAACCATCAATTTGGATTAGGCCAACCATGAATTTAAGTACTGTATTTAGAAACTGATCTGGATCTACCCTGAAACGTTTAGTTTTAAGATTAGCAATAAACTTATTTTTCTATTCTAAATGGTAAGGTTGTTTATATGTACTGTGTTTTATAAATTGTGTAACTAGCATAGCAGTAGTTAGTTTTTACCTGTATTTACCTGAAGGCCACATCTCTCTAGTGGGCTCGATAGAACGTGTTGCTGGCGGCTTGTCATCAAAGGTCCCACATTGTTGCTGAGGGTTTTTGTCCAGCTGTATTGCACTTTTAATGGTTTCAGGTCTATGTGTGTACCAACATATAGCATACAATGTATAAGAACATAACCACTGTAACACAAACAAAATATAAAGCTTATGCGTTTTATAATAATAAAAATTGCATAAAATATTACTTTTACCGTTTAATTCGTTTATTATGCACCCCATACTCTTCTTGTGGGTGGTAGTGGAAACGGTTACAGAGGCACATAATGGGCTCAGGGACTGATCCATAAAATTCATTTAGCTAAGCAAGTTAGTCTTGAGTTAGTTTACAAATTTTAATACAGGGTATATATTATTACATCAACAATGGGATCGAGACAGACCACAAGTACTGTAGTCTCTAAATTGTGTAACTTACATATGTGAAGAGTTCGTGTCATAATTTATATTTTTATCCTGCCCCACCGCCCCCCATCCAGTGGGCAGCGGTGGAAAGGTTACAATCACCCACAATTAACAAACTCGTGATATTTGGCTAAAATTTCTTGTAACAGATAACTTTAAATAAAATATTTACACATATATTGAATATTTGTTGTAGTTATCTCTGAAATCACGAACCTTTTCGCATTTCATCACATATTGATGAATGGTATGCGAATAATTTTGTTGACACCACAGTAGATAATGAAAATTCCAAGATACTTATAGCAGAGTCCAAGCCGAGCAGTAGTAACATCTTGGAATCTACCGATTTCATTGGATGATCCATAAATGATGCTCTTCTTGCGTGATAGTATGATAAATGGAATTATGTACTAGTGTTGATTTCACTCTGCCTCAGATCTTCAAAGATTTGTTGAAGTTCTTGGTGTATTATTGCTCTCAGACTGCTCATAGTCAATCCAAGGTAATCAACTCCTCCTTTGAATTTATATATTTAATTTTTATATATCTCTAAAGGTGTTGTTTACAGTAGAAATTTTTTTTTTTTACTTTAACTGATCTTTAGGTTATTAAACACTCAGGATTTCCAAAGTAAGTCTTGGTACTGTAATTGTTTTATTTTGAAATATACAAGAAAAAATATATTTTTATTTTTTATACTGTATTACTGTATAAAATTAATCTCTGCAAAACATGGAACATAAAATACAATGATCACATTCTTAACTGGGCATAAGAGTCAGCTCAAGACACGATATTCTGTTACAAAAGTAAACGACCACGAATGTAAGGCAGAGGCAAGGAGCTGAATGATATGATAATAAACTTGCATGATTCAACAATTGTTATAAGAAACTTAACCACAAATATTTAAAACACTGACCATGGGAATGAAAGGCACAAGTTCTCACGATAATCATACAAAAGAACTGTATAATGATATTTACTAATATAGATATGCATCTTATTCAATAAAGAGGTGACCTATATTTTCATTCTAAATAGTAATTGAAGAAAACAGTTCTTGTCATTTTACTTCACAGGTTACCCAACTGCAAGTAAATATATACTAAAAATGGTAACACCTTGTGACAATTTTTTATAAATGGCCCAATACAAAGGCAGTGCAGTTTACTTATTATAGTGTTACTTAATAGTGAACTCAGAACAGTTCTTAATACACCAGTTGCCAGCTTCAGTAATCCATCTTCCACAATGCAGTCATATTACACACCAGACTCAAAATTACAATTACTATATTAACTGACAAGAGTGTTTGTGTTAGCACATTTAATCTGTAACAGACAATATTCCTCTGTTCTCATTAAAAGATCAACAATTACTGGCATACATTACCATTCTCAAATTATACTGGCCATTATACTTAAAGCATAGTCGAAGGAAATGGTTTTATTATTTTTCCTTATATACTAAGACAGGTTATAATACTGGAAATGTGTATTTCTGCTTAAAAAACTATATATTGTACTGTACATTGTTATGTCTTTAATCCTCGTACTTTGTTGTGTACAGCTCCAGGACAACGTCTAATTCAGATTTTCTCAATTAACACTAGTTTTGTTTCCTAATAATTTTTTCAAACATCTAATTCAAAATTAAAATCATCATCATTCTTTCAACGTAACTATTTTCCTTAATTCCCAAAAGAATCCCACCCTATATCCATTAGGTTAAATACTGACATTAAAATGCATCTTACTAAATCATTCCTCCATACACTTCACAAACCATTGTTAATTCATGCTCTGTAGTGTATCATTCACTAGACCAACCAGAATGTTAACTTTATTAAATCAACCAGTACTCTTAAGTACTGCTAAGCATATCAATCACTATACAAGCTACCATGTTAATGCATTCTCTCCATTGCATCATACACTATATGAACCAGTATGTTAATGCATTCTCTCTCATTTATCATTTTCTCTTCACTCTGTTCATATCATAAGGGTTATTTGAATACCCAAAACAATTTGTCCAATTCTCAGTTAATTGATGTAATGAATGTGCTGCCTCACAATATAACATTATGAGGGATAATTAAAATTTCAAGTAACCGGAACACAAAATAATTAAGAGCAACGAGTTGGTGGATTGTCCCAACAGCTTTTACAAATAGAGGATTGAGTAACGCTGAGTTAATACATTTTCTCTCTCTACTGATGATGCAAAACAAGTCTCATAATATCAACATCAAAATACTCTAAAATTACTACAATTATATGGTATATAAATAAGATATATCCATAAAAGAAAAGATATTTAGGCAAGTCAGGTACTGGAATGTGTTAAGGTACTTGGCGCCATATAAACATATATTATTTTTGTGCGAGTGCGTGCGCCAGCGTGTGCAACACTATCCAGGCAGCGCCATAAGCAAGTAACAATATGACTCACTCTCCCATTTACCTAGATAAGGCAAGACAGCACCAGATACTGTATAGTCAGAGTAAACCTTAAACATGATTAGTTGGCAAGTAAGAAAATCTTACCTACAAATATAAAATTCTCTCTGAACAAGGTCACTTATCTACTAATTATAAAAATATAATTAGAAAAGTTTATACACTAAGGTCTTGAATCCTAGTAAATAATATATTTGTTTAGTAATTCTGCCAAAAGTATTATTATCAAGCTGGATAATGAACAAAACTACTTCATTACAAAAATTAAATGCCTATAAAAATTGCTCATTCCTGACTTTTTTATCTGTAAAGAATAATGAAAACTCTTAACACTTTCGCGCTTTATATTAGAGATAACTCGTCACTGGTTTTTCTTACGATTCCGCATAACTGCCTACTTTTCTCATCAATCGAAAAAATATTTCTATAAATTCCATTTTTTAACCGAAATGAATGGGGATACTTTTGTTTTGTAGAGAATTTATTTGCGAATTTTTTGGTACCAGAATGAATATTATATCACATAAACTTCTATGAGTAAAAAAAAAATACACAAAGTATGTTTGGGGGTGTGGCGAGCGTGTGGCAGTGGGTTCCCTTTAGCCGTTGATATATCCAACACGTGGGAAATATTTGTATGTGTTATGTATATGTCTGTGTAGGGAATTTTACTGCGATCACTGTCATACAAATTATAAAATGTTTCAACAAGTATAAACATGACAAACATCAAACGAACGAAAACAATGCGTTCGTTTCTGCCGCGAACGCATACTGAGCGACGTGGTTCTATATTTGGCGCTTCTCTTACACATGCTTTGTACAAATGTTATACAGTTCATCTTATAGAAAATTTTATTGCGAACACATTGGTATAAAAAAGAAATACGTACATAGAAAAGTAGGGTCAGGAAACGTATAAACTTTCCAAGCATGATTTCCCACCTGTGTTTTCGCCAGTGCGCTCGCGGCTAACTACTCTCCACTTCACACACTCTTGCGGGTGGGCAATTACCTATATTAAACATTCATATGCATATGTCCGTGTAGAGAATTTTATTGCGATTCCAATGATACCAAAATTAGCGATGTAGGACAACTGTAGGCTTCGCAACCATTAAGAGAGTGGAAACATTTTGTTGCTGTTTGGCGCTCTCGGCGAGTGATCTGCATAGTTTTTTATTTGGTGTTGATACTCCTTATGCTTGGGCGGCATTTTATAGGTATGCTCTTATAGACAATTTCATTGCGAACACAGTGATACCAAATTTAAATACGTGCGCCTTCAATTATTGTCAGGACAGTCAAAAGAGTGTACACTTTTTCGGTCTTACCGCGTAGGCGCGCGAAGTGCCAAAAGCATCTGGGGTATTGTTTTTTTTTGAGCGCCGAGAGCGCGAAAGTGTTAATACTATTGCTGATAAGAAGCCCAAATTAGTGAAGAGCACAACAGTATGCTTCATCAATATGGAATCATGTTTACGGAAGTGAGAATTTAACTTGTATCTCGTCAACGCAATGACATCTTATCTCCGGCAGGAGAAAAGTACAAATACAGAAGCCATTCTAAAAGTTATGACTTTTCTAATGCCCAGCAATTTATATATAATACAACAGTTCCAATAGGTGAGGGAGGAAATTCTCTATAGTTTAAGGATGAGCACTTGCTTTCAGTGTCCAAAATACTGTATTAACACACAAAGCAATCACATTAATGTGATGTATCAATGAGAAAATCAATAGGTGCCATGAGGAGAATTTGAACTTATGCTCTGGGTACTCCCAAGCAATGCCTTAGACCACTACACCACGACATGGTCAAAAGTATTACAACCTGGGATTCAACTGAATCCTCTAGGGGTTCCACTGAAGCTAACCCTGGTTAGGCTTAGGCTTTATTTTTTACAGATCTGCTGTGCTAAAATCTGCACAGCAACCAGGAGTTTTGTTATTCAATACCAACCAGTACATTGTCAGTAACATTGTGTCTGCAGAGGCTTTCTTAAAGGCTTTTATATGTCAAACATTCTCTCTAAATAAAGTTTCTCAAATATCATTGTCAGCACAGTTGGAGCACAGCCAGAAGGTCCCAGGTACTATTCCCGTACAGGACAGACACATTTGTGCACGTTTCCTCACACCGATGTCTCTGCCCACCTAGCAGTAAGTAGGTACCTGGGAGTTAGACAACTGTTGTGAGTTGCATCCTGGACAAAGGTCATCTCCTGACCTAGGCAGACATTAATAAGCCTAACAAGCTTTCTATCCCAGATAACAGGAAACAATGTTACTAGACTAGACATCCAACTACCTTCAGTGTAGTTGACTTAGATTGGCTTAAGACAAATTACAGCTATATTTCATTTCCTGTGAAAGAATACATCAATTAAAGAGGCAGATATACAATAAATGTGTTTGATTTTATTCAGAAATATAAAATAAATTTTATATTTATAATATACACATACACAGTAGAAATACTATGATAGTTAAATTGTAAAAGGAATTGTATATTTTAATTGGTACATTAAAAATGCATCAGGTACTGTGTCCATCATGCACATAACATTAACAATCATTTGTGATTGTATTATATATTGACGAATGTTTATAATTAAATTACAGTATGTATTGTATAGCTATTTTCATATCGGTTAAAAAAAAATCCTCTATACATTAAATGTGCTTTTTCCTGTTGTCAACTAACTTATAAAACTTTAGAATTTGCACATACAGTACAGCACAAATATTTAAATTAAAATTTATGGTAGCAAGATAAACTACAACCAGTGATCACAAAAATATATCTTTAATTAGCTTACTGATAAAATTTACATAGATAAAGACATGAACGTTATAATTATCACGTTCCGTGACAACCATTGATTGGAGTTTCAACTGGTGGCCAGCTGACGTCTTCATCCATATCTCGCAGCACGATTTTGTATCGGTTCTTTGGCTGACGCTTGCAGGTAATCCACTGGAAAAATTTCTTCAGTGTGCGGCTGCTTGCAAAGAAGTACTGTTGTAGAGAAAATTACAAAATGTTAAAAGAATGACTAATGCTAATCATGCATAAAAAAAAAGTTAAAAATAAACTTTATTTGGAGGTAATATTTTACCTCCAAAGCATTTTCAAAAATCTTAAAGGTGGGAAACATTATTTCAAAATATTCTTCTTTCATCTTGTTTCCCTGTTTGTTCTATTCAACCAAAAACAATCACATAAAAGAGATACAACATAATCCTGATGCACACAAAAATAACAGTTGCACAAAAATCAAGCACTAAATGCAATGAAACACCTCTTTCTGTTAGAGCCCCGGTGGCTTCCATTAGCTATCTCACTCAGATTGCTCCAATCTACCAGTCACATCAGTTCATTGGCCTACCAGGGACCAGAGCCAAAACCTGGCCCCTTCACGTGAGGTGCAGGGAGCAAATGGCATTCCACCGGGAAAGCATCCAGAAAGTCAGCGAAGCTAAACAGACAACTGTTGGATTCACAAGACTCAAAAGCCACTAAAATGCCAAATAACTCCCCAAACAAAACAAAGCAAACAAAAGAAAACACACAAAACTACCTAGAACCTGAAAGTACTGAATGCCGCCACCTGGCATTCAGTCCAGCATCAGCTATCAAATCGGTTCACAAGCAGATAAACACCACCATGAACTGATGAACATGGGAGGGAGGGAAGAGACAGGTAGCCACCAAAGGCTATACCAGAAACAGCCCTCTCATTACATTCAATGCTGGGTTTCTGGGGAAGCCCCTTGGTGGATCCCTGTAGCTAAATAACCACAGAGAAAATTTGAGACTTACCAGAGAAGAGGAGAGGCAGCAGGCACTAAGTCAAAGTAGAGTCCTATGTCTGGGAAACATGACCTAGGGCAACACAGGACTAAAGAGGACCAGGGACATTGACTAAATACCTGGCCATCATGACCTTGTTAGTTTGCCAAAACCCCCGAGCTTGAATATCTGCCCAAGACATATTAAAGAAGATCGCTGCAAGTAAAACATATTTGTGAATATCAAGAGCTCGAGAATAGACCGCAGGTTGGGTAGCCTTGATGACAATGTGGAGAACCTGCGAAATACAAGCCTTTGAACAGAGGAGCAAGGAGACTGGATCAACCCAAAGAGCATCCACAAAAGCTGAGGATAAGAGAACCATTTCCTGTCAGTATACAACCCTTCTCAGAATCAACAAAATATCAGGAAGAATCCATGGGCATCAAATAGCCCAAATTGGGCTTCCCTACAGTCCAGAAAGCTTGCCATGAAAACTCTGCTCCAGAGTGAAAGTCATCATCCAATGCCTGAGAAAGAAAGGTGTTTTCTACAGGAGAAGGTACAGAGGAAGCATGAGGTTGTGAAGGAGAAAACTCTATATAACCTTAATTGGACTAGATAGCTCAACTACCACAATGCTTAAGAATGAAGGGACAACCCCCAGAATTTGTTGAGCTACACCCATAGCTAAACCCTGCCGTGACTCCAAAACACTAACACATTTTGGAGCTGGAAACAGAGGGGGTAAGAACTGAAGCAGGGCAAACCAAACCTGCCTGGGAAGGAGGAAGGGGCGTCTCCAGAGCCAGGGTGGAAATTGCCAACACCTCAAATTCTGGGTCCCTATACACCACACAGGGCAGTCCCAGGCTTCCATCCAAGTACAACACCATGAACGGTGAAACCAGGCAAACCTAGCCTCTAATGTGGCAGCTGCCTGAACTGCCTCTACTTCAGAGGCAGGATCAAGTAGGATCAGATCCTGTGGGGGACAAATACCATAGGATTTGGAGTCGTAAGAGTCATGGCAGTGGCAGAAAGAATGATCATCATCAAGTAACAACAGTGACGAACAGTCTTCAAACTCATAATGGGTGAGACTGGCTCAACAGACCATCCTTTATACATAACTGACCTTGCTAGAGACCCGCTGGGAATGCAAGGGACTGCCGATAATAAGCCAGACAGGCGCTCACAAGCACTGGGGATGCTCGGCAAAGGAACCAGCAGCCCATTCCTTGCTGCAGCGTGCTGCCTGGTACTTTCACAGCACAGAATGCCACGTGCTGCAGCATTCAGTACTTTCAAGTTCTAGCTAGCTCTGTGTGTGTTTTGTTTATTTTGAATTGCTTGATGAGTTATTAGGCAGTTAAGTGAGTTTTGAGCCTTGTGAATCCAGTAGTTGTCTGTAAAGCTTCACTAACTTTCTGGATGATTTCCTGGTGAAATGGCAGAATGTCATCTGCGCCCTGCACCTCATGTGAAAGATCCATGTTTTGGCTTTGGAAGGCCAAATGAACTTGTGCAACTTATGTGACTGGTAGACTGGAGTAATCTAAGCGAGATAGCTAATGAGCCACCAGTGGGCTTCCCAGAAATTAGATACACTCTTAATTATCCTCACCTTTGCTAATCCATATCACAAAAACTATTTACATTTAACATAACATTTGGTGCAAGATTTTACTGCTTCTCTTTTATCTCATTCATTTGGAAACTTTGCAAATTATACTTGAGCTGCAGCGAGAGGTTTGGATGGAGTGGTAATGCCTACCCTCATGTTCAGCTGCAAGTCCAGTGTGGCATAAGCAAGAAAGATCAAGAATTAGATACATGAAAATGAATAATCTGGGATACATTTGCAGCGTTGGAGAATAGATAGAATAAGGAATGAAATGGTCATGGAAGATCTGAAGTGCAAAATATAAATGGTAAGAATGATGGCATCAATCCAGTAGAATGAAAGTGGATAAAAAATGAAAGATGGTTTTAGATAAAACAAAAGTGAATTATTCATTCCCTTTACCATTCACACTACAGTATATAGTATTGCAGCTAAACAAGTAATAACATAGTTCAGCATTTGTCTACAACAGCATCCCACTGCTTCATAAACAAGATCTGCAGTGCCGCTCAAGAATTATCATATAATATACAGTCAAAATGCATTCATTCCCTACTTACAAACCATTTCAAACTTGCTTTGTCCCTTAGCATATACCATGCTGCTCACATTTTATCCTTTTTCCCCCTTTCTCAACATGTCCAGCCATCACCACTGCTGCTTTCTCTCTTACTCTCGACTACGCTCACCTTTTCACCACTTCACCATTATCTGTTCAGTCATTCAACCAGTCCAAGTGATCTCAGAATGACTTCTGCACTCCACATCTCTCCATGGCATTATTATTCCTTTATCTGTTCTCTTAACACTACATGCATGCTTTGCAGATTCTCCCTTTCTGTTATTATAATTCTTGATTATTGATTTGATGGTCCAAATGGTTGGACACCATTCCTTTCCTCCATGCTATCCCAAAATTCCTGTCCTCATATCCCTTCCACATGCTATATAGTCATACAGGGTTAGTGTTTCTTCCCCAGAATTATCTTGCCTTACCTCTCCCACCATAACAATCCACATTAACTTTTATCAGTATACTCTATCAATGATATTGTAAACTACAGTACTCGACATAAGTCTCTATCACTCACCAATCCGTCCTAATAACATGTCACATTTTGTTGACATTTTACCTAAAGCCAAAAACTGTTGTACTGGAAAATAATAGCAACTCGCAAAATTGACAAGGTACTGTTTTCTATTTGTGGCTCCTCTGGTAGGTCAGGATGAGGCACTTTAGCACGATAGTTTCTTGACAATGGGAACGATCGCAAGAACAGGCTGCACTCACTTCTATATGTAAAATTTGACACAGTATTTCAATTAGGCCTATACTGTATACTAGATTTGAAACTGCCTTAATGTAAGTATCTCTACACACCTTCCACCATGGAAACTCACCTTGTTCACCCCTGATCAATTTCTCAGCAATGTATACTCTTCTATTCACTATCTTGCTATACAATATTCCCAATACACTCGGTATATTATTGCCTCTAATTCTTGCATTCAATTCACTAGTATTTATACAATACTTCAGTATAACAGCTCTTCTCAATCACCGGGCACAGTACAGTACCCGAATTCTATGCCTTTTAACAAAATCTCCACCCACTCAATTTCATTTTATTCACCACATTTAATAATTTTTACTTTTACCTCAATCAACACTTAGTTTTCCCCACATTTCTCATCTTCCACTCCACCAATCTTCCTGCTGGTTGAGCAGGAAGACTTACTTCTTCCCAAAATGAACATCTTATTTTCTTAAATTTCTGAACAAAAACTTTTAAAATAATCTTTCATATACCTTTTATTCTCATCATACATCTTACCAATTTTACTCATTCACATTGCTTCCATACAAACCAATTCTATTTCTTATCATATATTCCTTTTGTAACACACTTGCCATGCATTCCTAACCAAACGTTTCTTGTATACCATCCGACATGTCACTACGGTTCATTTAGTCATAGGCTCTTTCTGCAAGATCACAATCAATCTATTTTTGTTCATCAGCCAATTCGCTCCCTTGATTTATCAATATTCTTTTACAACCTGTAACAATTTATTCAGCTGTCTCATAATACAATAAAATTATAATAAGGCTGTAATGTAAAAACTGTAACAATTTACCTCTGTGCTCATTGAAATGACAAAGTGTGTAGTGGCAATGAGAAGAAGACCAATCCTGAACATGAAGTAGCTGTCAGGATCATACTTTATTTTCATGAGATGCATGAGCCAAGGCAATGGCCACAGCAGCATCAACATGGACGTTGCCGTTAGTGTCAACAGCGACGCAGTAAGCCACACTGGAAATAATAAACCATGCTTTACCCTTATTGAAGACAGCTATATTGTGCAGGCGATGAGTCACAATAACGTGGCTGAAGTATGTTGACCAGACCACACACTAGAAGGTGAATGGACGACGACGTTTCGGTCCGTCCTGGACCATTCTCAAGTCGTTTGTTTAGTGTGTGTACAACGTCGTCGTCCTTTCACCTTCTAGTGTGTGGTCTGGTCAACAGCTATACTGTACACTACTTGGCAAGTTAGTGGGTATTAGTGTCAATATCTTTAAATATGATAATGATCTAATGTATATTTATCAATGTTTAAATTTAGGATATATTTCAGACAAAATTTAATTCCTTAACTGTACCATTAGTAAAGAGTGGTTTCCTGAAAGGCCGTCCTGGGGAGTACGCCACACAGAGGGTCAGATACTGGAAGCTTGAGATGTAGAAAATAGTGGTAGTTTCCCAGCTTACCACATTGTCAGGATTTGTATCACCACTTGGTTTGTTGGCCTCGAACCTTTCAAATTAAAATTGTTTACCCAAATTTTGTTATAACGTTTGAAAAGTCTTAATTCGACTAAATATTCACTACAATGCAGAATGAATTTGAAGTAAAACTTAAGCATCAACCATATAAGAAAGTCAAGTACTGAAGAGTAGACTACTGTCTACTCTTTTTAGCTTCCTTAAATGACCAGCCCTTGTTAAAACTTGCTTTACATGTATGATAGTTTAGTGTGGTGCAAATATGACTTGGTGTGTAAAGAATTAACTCAATAGTAACTATATAAAGTGAATATCCATGCCATGTACCCCCCCACCTTCATAAGAGTAATAATAGCATTTCCTTGCAAGAACCAACATAAGATGACTACAAGTGAGAAAGGGAACACAAGCTACTTCAATGGAAGGATTTTCTTAAGACTGCTTCTACTTTATTAATTGCATACCTAAAGCACAAATTCCAAACAAAATATTCATTGATTTACAAAGCCTTAGGAAGTATATCTCCATCAGCAGATACAGCAAAAACTATAGTTTACTGAAAGTCAATTTTCTCCATAACAATGAATTATTTAAAACATTTAAAACTGAAAAAAATATTAGGCTTAAGATGCAATACCTATATAAATACAAGCTTCAAACATACCAGGGTTGTTGCAAAAGATAAAAATAAGCGATGACTTGGAAAAAGATGACAAGGAAGATCTGTGACATGACGGAAAACAAGTTGACGGGTCCGAGCAGGTTACCAAGTGGTTTTTCTGCCACAAGCTCACTGGAAGCAACAGAATGTATTGTCATGTCATACAAGCTCAACTCTTTATCAATACTTGTGCCTCCTTTAACTGAGATTGGCAACATGGAGTCACAATGCACCAAATCATTATTTTTTAAAAGCTGATAAGCATGAAAATTATACCTAAATCTGCAGTGACTACATTGGATACTAACTCAATGAGTGCTGCACTATTTGGATACAGGTCAAGGGACTACTGCACTATTTAGATATATTATCGTACAACAAATAAACATAAAGTAATGCATTTCATCTAAATATAAAGCAAAAGCATGATGATAAGCACTGTGATGTCCCCAATGATATTTGGGTTTGTTTCATGCCAAGTTCAAAAACACACGTGTTTACGGTAGCCGGGCCTACCAGCATTGTCGATTTACCTACTGTTTACACACCAATAATGCCTTATTCTACCTAAAGTACAGTATCACAGTACAGTATCAAGTAGTTTGATGGACTACGCTATTATTTAGGGAAAATAAACTTTAAAGCTAACTTGCGCAAACAGTATAATAGTCTACCTTATTGTGAAACAGTGTATATCAGTACAGTAATGAGAAGTATGTGCACAGCAAGGGTTTAGGTCCCAACACTGGAATATTAACAAGTTCTATTGTTTTGTTAAATGTAACTATTCATTAAATGTCAAGGTCTGTTATTTAAATAAATACTGTAAATTCAAAATGTTAGTACAATGTGACAACACCCTAACAGTAGATTTACTCCATTTATTTATAAAGTACAGCATTCTTATAGTGATTAATTAATTCTGGCAAACAAAAGTCAAGCTTACTTCAATATAGAAATGGAATGCTCATTTTGGTAGATAAAAGCAAACCAAGGTTTATGCTTCAGGAATTGGCAAACACACCACAAATCTGTTGCTTCTGTACTCGAAGCAAACAATGGAGGTTTGATAAAAAATTTTTTATGCTGTTTAACAAAGATGCCAGGAATCTGAATTCTATAAAAACTATTTTGCATAAAAATTTGTTCAAAGGTGTGAAAAAACATTTGAATTCCATATCTATACAAAATTAAATATAGCTGTATTTCAAACCCCTAAATGGTCTTAGAAACTGGCATTTTATTGTAAACATACAAATCCAAAAACAGCCTAATTACCATTTAAGGTCATGCAATTGATTGTTCAGGACCAACATTGAGCCTCAGAGAGAGACAGTTAAAAAAGGACTGAGTGTGGAGAACAATTATCTTCCCTTTGACAATCTTTTCATTTTTCTTACTTTAACGATTACGTGTGATAACGAAGTAAATTTCCTAAGATGAAGAACCTGATACTAGTAAATCTGTGGGAGGAGAAATTAAATTTTAGCTCTTGGGTATTAGTCAATCAGTCAAATAATTCTTTGTCTACCACTATAGTAATGAATCACAGGCCTACAATATGAAATCATGTCCTACAGTAGTCGAGTCATAGAGTCTACTTTATGGAATCATAGTTTACAGTGGTGAATCACAGCCTACAGTAATGCCTTGCCTCCTATTTAATGAATCACAGCCTACATCAATCAATCCCAGCCTACAGTAATGAATAACAAGAGTGTAGACCTAATGAATCACAGAATACAGTGATGAACTGCTGGTTACAACAATGAATCACAACCTAACAGCAATGAACAAGACTCCATTAATGAATTGCAGCCTACAACAATGAATCACAGCCTACAACAATGAATCACAGCCTACAACAATGAATCACAGCCTACAACAACGAATCACAGCCTATAACAATGAATCGCAGCCTACAATAATAAATCGCAGCCTAAAACAATGAATCGCAGCCTACAGTTATGAATTATAGTCTCAGTAATGACTCATAGTCTCAGTAAGTCCATTCCCATCCAGTAGTTGACCCCAAAGACGCATTCATCAATTGTAACATGCTGTTCATTCAAAATAGGAATTTTATCAAATACATACTAATATTGTTATATATTAGCATATTATAAATATTTATGCTTTGGTTAGGTCAGGTGTTTAGGTTCTGTTGGGAATTATTTGTATTTGTAGTACGTGGGTGTAGCATTTACACCGTTGTGGTTCGAACAAAAGTCGTCAGCGAAACACTTGATCCGGAAATGCTCGGTCGTCATCAGTAGTGAGTCGAGTGTAAACCGTTTTTCATCCATAAACGGGGGTTTGGCGGGTAAATGGAATGGTCTTTGGCATTTGTTTAAGATGGGCTGCAGTAATGACTCAATAGCCTAGATTAATGAATCACAGGCTTCAGTAAGGATTCACAACCTACAGCAATGAATCACAGTGATTTACACAAGATGATTCGTAATCTTTGGTCATTCAGTGTAAAGCACAGTATCTTAAGACTCGTACAGTTAGAGCTGTACCTGCAGTACTTACCGGCTAGGCCCCGTGTAGCCCATGAAGATGGCAACAGTAGTTACAATAAAAAGATCAATGTAGAGGAACTGGGGGTCAGAGAGATTAGTATAGGCCTGAAAAAATATAATAAAATCTATATTACTTTCAACACATGCACAAGCTAAAAGCCCCCCTATTTACACACAGCATTTTGGGCAAGTCTTATAGCTAAATGCAGAGAAACAGAGAAGGCCCAATAACATCAGCAATGAATTTGTGGTGTAATTATATTGTACAGTTTTTATCATGGATATATGGATTTGTTTTTATGGATATGCTTAATGAACTAGGACTACATAACTCACTGAATAAAGTATTAGCACTGAGATAAACTGGATAATGCTGTAGAGAGCCATGTACTTGAAGACAGAGAAGTTGGTGGTGAGAGCGCATCGACCTTCACACACAACCTGAGGCACACACTCAATGTTATTGGTCCTGGAGGTGAAGGGGGCGGCAACACTGGCCTCGGCCTCAGACAATGAAATGCCTACATGTGCTGCTTTCAGTGCCTGGATCAAATTAAGAACATTATTTATATCAATGCAATGAAAATCATTTAATGTTCCTTATAAATAATTTTATATAGGAGAAAAACCAGACATGTTCATAATATCAAAAGAATAAAAGGGCATGGCTGGAAACTTAAGACACTCATTATCGAAAGATGGGGAACAAATCTTTTTATTGTAAAAATAGAATGGAAATGGAATGAACTAGACAAGCACTAGACAAGCTATCCACACTATTTAACAATTTCAAAAGTAGATATAATTGAAATTTAGACTAGGAGTAGACCCCTCATCACGACCCTTGTGGATATGTTCATTAGACTGGGAGTCATTGTATTAGATGAGCAGCAACTTTGTACAGTTAGGTCAAAGAGCTAAATGTCAATCCCACATGCACAAATAGGCCAGTACAACCATTGGAGTACAGTACAAACATACTTAAATTTAAAAAGGAAACTTACCCCGCAGTCATTTGCACCATCTCCGCACATAGCCACTATGTAATCAATGGCTTGTAATTCCTGAACAAGGTGTGCTTTTTGGTCAGGTGACATCCGAGCAAACACCGTTCCACGTGCAATAATTCTTGGTACTAAGTCTGGGAAGTACTGGCATATTGAAGCCCACGCCTTGCCACTCACAGCCAAATGGTACTTTGGATTTAAGGTATTGACAGTGATACACACGCCAGTCTGGAGAAATGAAATTACAAGCTATTATTTTTTTCAAATAATTGGGTGTATTTTTTTGTATTAAACCTAAAAGTCATTTGTTACTAACATCCTCTCTGAATGTGAGATGCCATTATCTTTGTAGATTTTCTAAGGTACTGATGTATATACTGTACATTCACAAATATAAATTCCTTCAATTTTAAAACTTGTAAATATGATAAATCCATCAAAAGTTTTCATGAACGTAGAGAAGCATTTCATTCTGAACTTCAAGGACTGCAACTACTGTACAAACATTAACTAGGGAAGTACTGATCAGTTTCTTTCGAGACTATCCTTGTATATGGTAGTAAGGTGAGAAGTGATACGGTATGTTATTTATAATCTTGATATTAATAATTACCCCCTGTCTAGAGGATTCAACAATAATATCAGATGTGTCAGCTGGCTCAAAGATAAGCGAGGCTGGAAGGTCAGAAACTGGAGGCATAACTTTGGCTACAAGGACCCGATCAGTAACGCCCACCATGCCACAGTCACGTGCTACACTTATGGCTGTCAGAATGTTGTCTCCTGGAAAAAACAGAAATGTCTTGAGTGAGAAAGTACATCACAATAAAAATTAGTTTGCAGTGATTGTACCTACAGGAGGAAGCTGAAATGTATCATGGTATACACAATAATCATAATAATAATAATAATTTTTATTGAAAAGAATGTGTGTACAAAGAACATATACGAATATGGGACAATTGTAAGGACAGGTACTACACATACTAATGAAGTATTATGCAAAGTGATTCAGGCAAAACTTAGAATAATTTAGATAAAAATGATTTAATGGTGTAAAGTGGAAAACACTTAATACTAACAGAGAAACTAAAATAAGTGAGAATGTTCCAAGAAAAATAACACACGATATTCAGTACAATATAAATGTGATACTTAATGATGACAGACATAGAATATTACAATATTATGGCATCTGTAGTTCCAGCAACAGTACAGTAGTTTTCTAACATTAACAACAAAATGGAAATACAAAGGTGCAATTTAGTAAAACTACAAGAACTTACATAACTTACTGTGCTGGACACAGAACCACCATAGTAAACAGGCAATCCAGGGTGGGATAAACATGTACCTAACTTCAAGGTCAACTCCTTTATATTTTTTAAATTTGGTAAAGACCCCCAACCCAAATCCTTTTCTGTGAGTAGAGCCCCAGAGTTTTTTGCACTTTATTCTTGGTACACTTAGACCCCACTGAAAGGATTTGGGCATGGAGTTTCCCCCCTCCCTACCACAGACGTGGCTATGGTGCTAACCAACACACATACATTTCCTTCTGTCCTCCATGGACAGGGTTAGAGGTCTGTTAGACATATAGTTCAGTGACTTATTGAATAATCAACGGCAGAAGGTGACTGTAGTGCTTTTAAAATGCTAATCTAACCTACATACATAGATTTACATCTGTCCTACACAGTGTTCGAGGTGTGTTGATTTATACATAATGTGATTAATGTATGTTTACAAGGAGTATGTTTACAAGGTTGTATTGTTACCGGCACATGTGGAAAAGCTTCTAGGTATGTACAGTTGATTGAACTGTAACCTGCACATGTGGAAATTCTTTTTGTTATGTGATTACCTGCTGCAGCATGCGACATTCAAAAGGGCAGTGAAACTAATGCTTGTCATCATCATTATTATTATTATAAGAGTTATTACTATATACTGCTGGGCGAAGAGACATAGATGTAAGTAAAGGTGCACAAACGTTCCAGTTTGCATGGTAATCAAACCCACGACCAATCAGTTGTGAGCCTACTGCACTCACCACTGTGCAATGTCACTGAACGTATAAGCATTTCTTAACACTATTATTACAGTACAGTATTATTTAAATTTGACTAACCTGTGACCATAACTGTTCTTATATTGGCACGCTGCAGCTGACGTATGACAACAGAAGTCTCTGGCTTTAACATGTTTTGGAGTATTAGCAGACCAACAAATGTCAGATCACATTCCACCTGGATTTATAAAATTGTATTAAAAATTATAAAACAACTCTGTTTATATTATAAATCTGAATTGGATTGACAATTCGAAATATAAAGCTCTAGTAAAATTGGTCTTATCGCATTTTTTACACAAATCAAGTACTGCAAGATGTTTGAATAAAATTGACCTACTAACTTGATCTCTAGAAATTCTCTGGGCAGCATGCCACGACAGCTTCATCTGCAGCGGACGGTAGGCAAGAGCTATGACGCGGAAGCCTTGCAATGTGAACTGGGTTAGGATTGGTCCTAAATCATCTGGTACTGTTGAAACATGTAAATTGTACGGATCAAACTACAAAGAAAAGATAGTTAACAAGAGATAAAATTTATCAAAACAAAAAATCCTCCAGATTAAAAGTTCTAAATTAACATTTCCATACATATGATTGTTGAATGTACCAGCAACTTACTGTATTACACAGCATATTTTATATAAAATAAATACTGAACTCAAATTTAAGGCCAAACTCTGCTATGCTTTCCTATAGTGACAATGGGGAAAATCGAGAGAAGGTGGGGGAGGAAGACCTTTGACAAGCTGCCAGCTTCCTGTTCTCATTAAGGCCACTATAGAAATGGTGACCCTCAGGTGAATTCAAGCAAATATTGCACATTAAGTGCTAATGAGAGTTTCTGTCATACACAGTTGGTATACATAACCACAAATAATACTGTTCATTAACAGACATACTGTACCTCAAATCTTCCTTATGTATACATCACTGTATCCTACAGAGAATCAAATACTAATGTTTCTTTGATTTAAATGTTACCAAATTTCTTTGTACAGTATTTATTATATTATGGTTATAATTTTTTTTTTAAATGAATACTATTAATTAAAAATTTTCCTAATTATAAACCCTTCAGACATCTTGCTGTATACTACAGTCTTTATTGTCATTTCTTAACCGAATTTATCAAATCACACACAACAAATCAACTCTGAATATGTGTAACAATTATTCTACTTTTCTTTTTATCCCCATAACATTGAAGATGACATCTAAATGTCCTATCCACAATGTGACTGACCACACCATACCTTCTACTACATTTACAGTACTGCAAATATATTTTGAAATACTTTTAATGTGTTTCTCACCTAACTGGTTAAATGACATTTTAGCATTAGTAAAGATTTATCTATCGAATTATGAAAAATCATAAACTCTTCGTTATACGAACTTGATTCAGGTAAGCACAGACTCTGCACCACCTCTGGAGCCCCTTTGACATAAAGATCCATGTAGTGTTGTCCAAGAGTGCGCACCATCACCGACATGCGTTGAGAGCTGCTGCTGAATGGAAACTGCCGTACAATGCCGATCTCATAAGGCACCTGATAATCGTATGACATTCAAGTTAAATCTATTCTGTAATTTGGGTTAATTGACTTTAATATATCCACTCTATGATCTAAAAGAATAACAAAATATAACACTGAATCAAATTTTATGTACAGTATCTCTCAACATCATTATGTTATGAAAGTAACTCTTAAAAAGTGAATTCCATGATTTTTTCTTTTTTTTTTTTAGATATAAGCAAGCATTCCATGAAAAACAATTTAGCACAATTAATAATGTGTTGAAAACATTGTCATCATACTTAAGAAAAGAGGCAAGACGATTCTCTTCAAATACAGAAATTTCCACTAGCCACAAAAACACATGAAAACACACTGCTACTTTACTACAACAAAATACAATTATAAAATATAAAAAACTCACAAAATCCATTATCCCAGTGACTAGGAAAGCTAATGATAAAATACCCATCATATTTTGTTAATAATGGTAAATTTTCCAAAAGGATGGGTCATTGAAGAATGCGTGGGCAAGTAATTTTATGCCATGTTTGTTTACGTTTAATGCATGGTTAACATCCTTCATAATCACTGGTACACACAAGAACACTACAGCCATCACCCACAGATCAGAATTGACACTGCATCCCTATGCACCACAATTTAAAAAAGTAAACAGCATGACTACTAGACAATAAATTAACAAGGTTGCTATCACACATAACTGCTTAAGTGTATAACCTGGAACGGAGTCTCAACAATGTTTGTGATGTCCGGTGGATCAACATACATTTCCCGATTGCTTGGCTTGACCACAGAGGGAGACACTTGGTCGTAGTTAGTGCTGCCATATAAGGGCTCCTCCAAACTCTGTCATAAAACTCCAAAACTTGCAGCATCACATCATCAATAACAGCAAGGCCAAACTACACAAACTATCAAATATGAACAAGATACTCTCATTTACTCATTTCAAATAATTTGCTGTATAGTAAATCATGCAAAACAAATGAAACAAGTCTTAAGAATATCTTTAAAGATACAAGACTCACACTCAAGACTTTCTACACACCTGGGATATACAAATGAATAATCAACGCCAAGATCTATAATTTTCCCATGATGGCAATTCCACATATAACTCTAAAATTTTAACTTAATGTACTTTAAAACTGCCGTTTCTAAAAACAATGTTAATAGTTACACGTAGACATGACCCTGGGATGAATAAATGTAGTCTTGTGTGGAATCTTCCCCAAACAACATACTGCATTATTAAATCACATAGTGAAGTGCTGATGGTAATCAAGTATAATCACTACCATGAACCTGCATCAATAAAAACATATTTCATGTTTTATTCAAAACATATATTTATGTATCAAGGGCAAAATCATAAATGGGAACCATGAAATTGCAAAGCAGGTGCTTATGAAAGAGTGACGTGCAGAATGTAAGGAAGCGAGACAGGAAACTGCACCGTGGCAAATAGGAGACACTAACTTCATTACTACCCCACATATGTACTGCACTTCACTAATGATATGCTTATAGTTATACACTACTGTACTTATAATCAAGGGCCTTGCTTGCATCAATATAGTTATTCATTATGACCAGTCTGCTCAGTGGGCTGTACATCATCTTACCAATCACAGTATAAAATGATGCTGGAGCAAGTCCAATTCATTATTATTACTCCAGTTCCCTCTTTCATATATTTATTTTATTTATTTACTTATATATACAAGAGTTCTTACATTTTTGTACAGCCACTAGCACTCATAGCATTTCGGGCAAGTCCTTAAAAAAAACCAGCGTTGAATGTAATGAAACGCCATTTTCTGGGTGAGCCCCGGAGGCTCCCTGGAGCTTATCGGGCTAATGTGTGTTATGTTAGACCGGGACATTAGCTAAGGAGTTCAGACCTACCAGGGACCAGCGCCAGAACCTGGCCCCTTCAGAGAGGTTTCAGGGAGCAATGGCCCTGGAAAACCCCATATGGTTGGGGGTTTTCCTTATCTGCCATCGACCGGGGTTAGGCACCCAGAAAGGTAGGCGTAACAAAACAAACCCCACATGGTAAGAAACTACAACAAAAACCGAACAGAGAGGTAGAAAACTCCCTACAATCCCAAGGAAACAAGCAAACAAGCAAACATCACACTTTACTGCCGCGCCGATCGTCCGCGCAGCCCTCCCCACCCCGGGAGGGGGAGGGGGGAGCCCCGGACCTACCGCGCCGGCTGCCAAGCTCCAGTTCGGAAGCTAAGCGTCAACCAACGCGAAAAAACCGCCGACCGGTGGGAGGGAGGGTTTCCAGGGAGCCTCCGGGGCTCACCCAGAAAATGGCGTTTCATTACATTCAACGCTGGTTTTCTGTGGGGAGCCCCTACGGCTCCCTGGAGCTTCATACCCAAAGAGAAGGAAAAGAAAGGGCTAACCCGGGAGGCGGCCGCCACAAACTCTGCAACGCAAAGCCAAGACAACCGGTCGCAAACCTGCGACCCAAGGCAACAAGAACGCCCAAGAACAGACGCACACATGGATGGGCGGCCAAAAACCTGTGCGACCCACAATTCCCTGCGCCCGAAATGAGCCCGAGACGTCACCAACACAGCAGCAATTGCTGCAAACGTCTGAACAGCACGGGCGCAAAGACAGACCGCAGTAAGAAGGAAAACACTGCGGACGACCCGGGAGACCCGAGCCCTGAAAACAGGGAACGAAGGAACCGGATCAACCACAGCGCATCCCCAGGCATGGTACGCCGGCAACAGCAAAAAGCACAACTGGACAACACAGGACGCACCCCCCGGCCAAACCAAACAAGTACCAATACCCCAAGAACCCCTCCGGAAAGCAGCCGCCTCGACCGTCGCCAGGACAGAGAAAGGCTGCACACCAATAAAGCTACCACCAGTACCAAAGAGGAGGAAACTGAAACCGAAGGGGCTACCACAAACTGAGGGGAAGAGAAGAAGGCACCCTGAACAAGGACCAGGATGGCTCAGGCGACTCATGAGCAGGCCGGAGGGGAAACAAAACGCGAGAAGACGTAATAAACGTCATACAGTCTCCAAGACGAAGCTCGCAGGTGGGACACCGTCAACAAAGCCACCTGAACACCATAGAGATGGCGATACCTGCGTCAAAATACCAGACGCGAAGAGCCAAAGAGAAGGCCGAACCAGTCACGGACAGGACCGATTCGGCCTGCTGAAAGAGGCGAAGCCTCAGGAAAAACGCCCCGGGTACGGACACCTATCAAGCAGCGTCTGAAAAGAAGGCCGGGCCGGCCACAGTGGAACCATAAGGACTGTTCTCGTGGGAATGGGCTGCAACTGAGCCAGAACCCGAAGCAACAGCTGGACCGGGAGAAGAGGTACAGGTACCCCCCACCTCGACCAGGCCTGCCGAAAGCCTCCACCGTGAAGACCTCGCAGGTGGGAAGGGCGCCACAAAACGGGCGACGCCTAGACCACGCCGACCCGAAGACGTCCATGGCCATGAGTCCATAAGCCCAACAGAGCCAACAAAACGCATCGGCGACGACTGGCCAACCCACGAAGAGGAATGAACCGAGACAGCTGTCCACCAGGACGCAGGACACACCCCGGACACGAACCACACGGTTAACCAAACCCCCTGTGGTTCCGGCAAGAACCACCGGAGAACAGTCCAAACAGAGCTGAATGGTAGAGTACCTAGTGACCCAAACCCTCCGAAGCGCAAACCAGACAGCCATGAACACCTGAACCGGGCTGTGAGCCCGACGGACAGACAGACTCCATCAACCTCGGCCGACCTGGTGAGCACTGGTCACAAAGCCCCAGCCGAGAGACGACCCGTCCGTGAACACATCGAGCGAAGGCTCGGGGAGCCGCCAAGGCACGGAACCCCGAAAACCCCAAAGAGGAAGCTGGTGACGCAGCACCAACACCAGATCCCCAGAGGAACCCAAGGAATGCAAGAGGCGGAAGTGGAGTCTCCGTAGGAACCAACCGACGCCGGAGCCAAACCCGACTCCGCGGGCAGACAAGCACGCCGAAGTGCAAACTCCCGCACAACCGCCCAAGCAACCGCTGAGCAACCCGGGACCCCCTCCTGAACAGCCAAAGGCGGGACCACAGCCACAGTAACACTTCTGGAGGGAAGACAATGAGGGGCCCAAGAGCCTGAAACAAGGCCCAGGTCCGAACCCGGGACGGAAACAGAAGGTAAAACCTCCAGATCACCAGGAAACCAAACCCAGCGATCTGGAAAGAACCATCCCCTGGCGAGCAGACAAGCGGACTGACTGGGAGCCCACTCCAGCCAGTCGTCGAGGTAGGCCAGACACCGAATCTCAGACGCAGACAGGGCACTAAGATCCGGTAAAGATGCAAAGAGTATACAAAGTGCCCTTCACAAAATAGGGAATGCAATAAAAACAGCAAACCTGAAAGCCCCACCACCAAAGCATTGTATGACAATCATATGAAGACATATTATGACATATGACAATCATTATATGACAATATGACAATTATAATCAAAGCATTATATGACAAAGAGTGCTGGGAAGACGGGACACCACGAGAGTAGCTCATCCTGTAATGACACGTAGGTAAGTACACATAGGTAATTACCAACCGTGCTAGCCCCAGAAAAACTGGAGAGGAACGTGCCAAGAAGTGACCTGGAGGTCCAGGTCCACCATCCATGCACCCGGCCCTAACAGAATCCGAACAGGAGACAACAGTCCTCCGAGCAGGGCAGAGGATCCAGGGCGCAGACGGAAGTAGTCCAGAAGAACTGCAGACTGGAAAAGCTCATGACTGCAAAGAGCAGACGGGAAGCCCAGAAGGATGGGGCGGATCGACCACGCCCCACGCACCCACGAAGAGGAAATGACGAAGCGCAGGGAAGAAGCCCACCCCGCCAGCTCTGAACCCCCCCAAGGGGGAGAAGCCGTCCTCCGACGCCAGCAGAGGCCGGAAGACAACCCAAAGCGCCCACCAACAGCGGGACCAAGCGAGAGGCAACAGAGCAAGCTGCTCCCCCAGCGCCCAGTCAACAGAGAAGGGAACAGAACCCCTTCAGAAAGAAAAAGTACACTACCGAAGTCATGAGGAGAGACTACGGGAATGAAACCACACTTCGCTGGAAGAGGAAGTGAGGGGAGACCTGATCACCACATACAAGATACCCAAGGGAATCGACAGGGTTGAGAAGGACAGGATATGTAACACAAGGGGCACACGCACTAGGGGACACAGGTGGAAACTGAGTACCCAAAAGAGCCACAGATAGTTTTTTTTTTTTTTTTTTTTTTTTTTTTTTTTTTTTTTTTTTTTTTTTTTTTTTTTTTTTTTTTTTTTTTTTTTTTTTGAGTGTCAGAATGGGAACGGGAAAGCACTAAGAAGTAATGTGGCGACTCCTCACACAAGTAACGAGGCTGACCCCCATACAATGTCACATGTAGACATGACAGAGCCCAAGAGGCACAGGAACCGATACACCTGTTGACGGACGGTTGAGAGGCAGGACCAAGGAGCCAGAGCTCAACCCCCACAAGCACAACTAGGTGAGGACATATATTGTAAAAGCACAAGCCGCCGACTAGTGGCAAAGAGCACTACGCCGGCCAGGCAAAGAAGGCACAAAACTGCATCAAAAGGCCCACCTCGACAGCAAAACCACAAAGTCCCAGCACAACCACAACATGTGCCAAGACCCAAAAAGCTCAGTCTGCAAGCCAGGAAGACCCCGGAACCCCAAAAGGCAGAACCGGGTCACTCGAGGAAACAAAGTCCCCTGAACCCACAAAAGGGGGCCCAAGAGGAAGAAACCTCCAGAACGAAACCAAGGAACCCAAAGGAACCCAGAATCGAACCAGGGGGAGCCCAAACCACCACATTTGCCGGCGGAGAACACCACTAAAAGGCAAAGCACAGACCCCAGCAGAACGCCCTGGGAAAACGGTCCCAACAGACCGAAAACCGAGGGGCAAGGTGTGGGAGCAAGCATACCAGCCAGGGGCACTGAGCCTAAACCCAGAGGCTCAGACCCAAAATCAACACCCAAACGTTCCCAGAGGAACAGGCAACGGCAAGAAAACACCAGAAAAACAAAGAAACGACAACAGGAGAACAAAAACCCTGCAAATTTTTTGAAAACTCACCAGAGACGCTCGCTCGCACACCCAGACGCATGTAAACAAACCGCAACGCCGCCCTGGTGGCCACGCCGGGAAACCGGCAGACGAAAATGGCCGCCAGCAGGGGCTGTGACTGACGCTTAATACACAAAAACACGCCAGCAAATGTGGGAAGCTAGCAGACTGGAAGGGCGAAAAACGACGCCCAACAGCAGAAAAACCCCTGAAGGGGCAAAACCGCCCCAGAACTGCTAGTAGGCATCCCCCACAGCCCCGGGAACCAACAACAGAGGCCCCGGGGCAGAGCCGGCCTCCAAGCCCTCCGCCCTTAAAGAAAAGCAAGAGCCCATGGGAAAGGCAACAAGAAAGGGCCGCTGGTAAGACCCAGAAGCCTTGGCAGGAGGCACAGGCTCAAACCTCCGTCCCCAACCCGAACGGGGCATCCCCCGAAAACCGCCCGAGTCTCTGCCGCAACTGAACCCCGCCCCGACCCAGAAACACGCAGACGGTCCGGAGCCGGGAACATGGAGAGAAAGGGGCGAGCAGCACCTAACCAAACGGGGCGGCCACGGGGCATTCGAGTGGGAAACCAACCTAGCATGTTGCAGCAACCTAACCTAGCTTGCAACACGGATGCCGCCTGTACTCTGAACAGTAATAACATCAGGAGAGTACTGGAGAACAAGCAGAGAATCACTCGCAAGACTCCGGGTCAAGGTGTCAGTGACCCAACAGGCAGCATGACGGAGGTAAAAATGGCGACTGTCACCCGGAGACAAGGGAACAGCAACCAACGATCCCGTACAAGACGGGTTGGAACCCGGAAGACACATTCAATGGTCCCCCGAGCCCAGACAGGGGTTTCCAGGGCCCGTAGGGTAACAACTACGGGAAGCCCGGGCAAGGTGTTGCTAACCGGTTAAGAAACCCAAACATAACAAGAGGGTAGATTATAGCACTGAAAACCCCCGAGACGTGTACAAGCACGGGGGCCTAGCAGAGGGCCGCCAAACACTACCAGTGGAACTATAACCACCTTAGGCAGACCCCCACCAGGCAAGAAAATGAAAAACAAAAGAAAAACCCCGCAAAAGTACACCGTCTCCAGAGGCAACAGAAACCGGCCGCCGCTTAGGTGGCAGGCTGCGCAACACCTTGACGCCCTAACCAGCACAATACCAATCCCTACCCAGGGCCAAACAAGGGCCCCAAGCCCCAGCTGGCCCCAAGGGCGAGGCAAATGCCGAGCAGCAAGAACCTCTACGGGAATGGTTCCCGAACGCCCCAGGGAAGATAACCCTGTAACGCAAGGGCAGTACTCACAGGGCGCTTAGGGAAGTCAGCCACTAAGCACATGCAGCCCCGGCACTGATGAAGTACTCCTGGCCACCGCACACCACAACACACGGCAGTGAACGCCACACAAGGCAAACACCGCCTAGGAAACTGAGGCCAGAGAAGCGTCAATCCCGGTTGACATTAGCGAACGAACTGGAGCTTGGCAGCCGGCGCGGTAGGTCCGGGGCTCCCCCCTCCCCCTCCCGGGGTGGGGAGGGCTGCGCGGACGATCGGCGCGGCAGTAAAGTGTGATGTTTGCTTGTTTGCTTGTTTCCTTGGGATTGTAGGGAGTTTTCTACCTCTCTGTTCGGTTTTTGTTGTAGTTTCTTACCATGTGGGGTTTGTTTTGTTACGCCTACCTTTCTGGGTGCCTAACCCCGGTCGATGGCAGATAAGGAAAACCCCCAACCATATGGGGTTTTCCAGGGCCATTGCTCCCTGAAACCTCTCTGAAGGGGCCAGGTTCTGGCGCTGGTCCCTGGTAGGTCTGAACTCCTTAGCTAATGTCCCGGTCTAACATAACACACATTAGCCCGATAAGCTCCAGGGAGCCGTAGGGGCTCCCCACAGAAACAATTGTGAATAAAAACACAACGATGCCTCACTTTTCCCACTCTGCAGGCATCCTGTGGATAGTTTAGTCACTACACTTAAAGTAATTACTGCCACCCTGTGTCTTCCTCTGCACATTTGATCTGGCTTTCAATAAGTGTGTGTGTGGCTATATCTACTGAACCAAAGTTAAAAAAGAGTATTCCTTTGAATTTATTTAACTGGCCAAGCAACAACATCAAGTGGGTAATGCTACCATTGCTGGTCCAACCTAACAAACTGACAATCCTAAAACCTCATCAGAAAATTTAACAAAATCTGACATTTTCACTTATATCAAATTGGATGCTGTTGTAGTTTTTGTTATACCACTTAACTTCCATGAGAGGCAAACATTTTCCAAAATAACAAAATTTTGTCTTCAACATTAGTAGAGGTATCACCATTAACATTGTATTATGATTTTATAGATATAATTAATGCTCTTATTTTTAGACAGATAAGACAACCATGCAGAAGACTTATAATATAGTCAGACACGATGACACTATTATACACTTTTAAGACCAAATCACCTGCTGGATTAAGCTGACATCTTGTTGGTGAACAATACTACCATCACAAATATTGCCAACATCACCATCGGGGAGAGTATATACGGCAACACGACTCCCAGCTGCACGAGAGTGCACAGAGGCAGCAGTGTCAGCCGGATGAGATTGTGTGGGGACTATAGTGTCAACTGCATGAGAGTGCATGGAGACGGCAATGCCCACTGGATGAGCGTGCATGGTGACGGCAGTGCTGGGGTCAGGCGGGGAAGTGCTGGTGCTTGGTGGTGGTAAAGGAAGGGAAGCTCCAGAAGAAGTTGGGAAAGCTGAAGGTGGGGGGTGCACAAGAGTAGGAATGAGGTTATCAAATCGTTGGGTGTCATCTTCGACCGGCTCCTCCAAGTCCTGATATGGGTTTAAGCGATGTTAGTTTATATCCCTTCACCTTAATAAGTCTTATTCAAGACATAATAAATATTTCAATGATAATATATTTGTTAATTTCTGCATTTTGTATCATCAACATCAACAAAAGATAGCAATATACAGAAGCATATTAATTGCACTGTAATTGAACAAGTTCACAATGCAAGAAGTACTTGCACAAAGTCTTGGTACATGAAGAAATGTTTGTGTAACTCAAGCACTATAATTGAAAGCACTGTGTTGCGATAGGTCTGGCGTTTTCCTGATTGGCCGCCAAGATACACACGTCACAGGCAGGTAACAATTTGCTAGTATTTTGTGTGATGTAAATGTTACCACTTCTCACATCCCTGAATTAACTCAAAATTAAGAAATATACATTCCTTAAATATATTGGCTCAAATGATGTGTTAAACAATATTTTTTCTAGAAGCACAGTGAGTAGGAAACTTGTAGTGTAGATAGCAATCAGGAAAATAGAGATTACATAAAGTTGAGAGTGATGTGTCTTAGAGTTCTTGCTCATGCTGATATTACATCACCCTCTTCTATGTTTTATAAATGACACTTTTTAAAACATTACAATACAAGTAATTAGCCTAAATTATTATTCCAAAAATGCTAGTAAACAATTATTTTTAGAAATGTACTGTCAGCCAATTAATAATGAACAAAATTCTTGTGTAAATGCCCAGACCTTGTTCACAAGGACTATACATACTATATCCTTCATGCAGTATCTGTAGTACTAAAATAATTTTCAAACCAAATGATTAACATTCAAAACAAATTAATAATTAAAAGACCCACTATTTTGTTTTTCTACAAATAGCCAAAATTATCATCAATTAATTTAATTTGCCTATACATTATAAAAAGGTTAGAAATGTCCTTTTATGTAATTTCAATTTAGTGGCATGCACCCACACCTCTTGCTCTACCATGCATTCTGCACTCCTCCTCAAGGTTTAATCATCTAACTTTCACATTGTCCCCCGTTATGATTCAACAAGTTCAGTCATATCTGAAGAGCCAATTCAACCATAATATAATTTTTGCCTAAAATATATAAGATTTAAATATTGAGAATAAAATCTCTCACAAGAACAATTCTTTCAATAAAAATTACAGTTCAGTCCTGTATTTATATCTTTTATTCTACTACATGAGAGGTATTAACTTACCCATTTTGTAGCCTCAAACATCTTAACATCTAAGGGATCTCCAGTTAATTGTCCATTAAGATACGTGAGTGAGTGACAGGTAGCCATGGCAGTAACCAGACGTGACGTGTGGTGAATGCTGGACACGTTCATCACTGGTGTCCCCATAGTGTTGTTCTCCACCTCTACCACACCCCACACCTCTAGCCCATCCTCAGTTAATGTGCCTGTCTACAACCAGTATCAAAATTTAGAAAAAAAATATATATAAATATATATATATATATATATATATATATATATATATATATATATATATATATATATATATATATATTATGTCGTACCTAGTAGCCAGAACGCACTTCTCAGCCTACTATGCAAGGCCCAATTTGCCTAATAAGCCAAGTTTTCATGAATTAATGTTTTTTTGACGACCTAACCTACCTAACCTAACCTACCTTTTTCGGTTACCTAACCCAACCTAACCTATAAAGATAGGTTAGGTAGGGTTGGTTAGGTTCGGTCATATATCTACGTTAATTTTAACTACAATAAAATAAAATTGACCTCATACATAATGAAATGGGTAGCTTTATCATTTCATAAGAAAAAAATTAGAGAAAATATATTAATTCAGGAAAACTTGGCTTATTAGGCAAATCGGGCCTTGCATAGTAGGCTCAGAAGTGCGTTCTGGCTACTAGGTACGACATATATATATATATACAGTATATAAAATTGTGCTTGAACTGATACTGAATGTAAACATATTATACAAGGACATGTCATTTTCGGCTTGATACAATTGAAAAATTAGATGGTACCCCCTGACAATGAAGGGTAAAAGTATTCCAAGCATCATCATATTTTTGATGTGCTAATAGACCATAATTTTATTCCATTACTTTATATATATCAATCAAACTGCTGCCTATGCAACCATATAACATACCTTATCAAAACAAACAAGTTTGGTTTTGCCAGAGACATTTATTCTTGGTGGAGAAATGCAAAATATTCCTTGCTTTTTAAGTCTGCTTTGGGCATAATAAGTGCCAACTGTCATAGCTGCAGGAAGTGCCGGTGGCACGACAATGGTCACAATGTCTAGCGTTCTCACAACAGTTTTGATAACCCCTTCCTGTTTAGTAAAAAAAAAAAACCAATCATTAACGTACACATCTGAAGTTCAATCGTATTGTTTCTATACAGCATAACAAGATTTTTGTAATTACTTGTCCACTTGTATATCATAAAATAATTTGTTTAGCATTTACAACTACCTTAAATAGAATATGAAGATAGGCAAAACATTTCATTTGTAAACCACAAATATTCTTCAAGCCTTTCATGATCCATTTCTAGAAACATTATCATGACCCAACTGAAATTCTACAAACATTTTCATAAAATTTTGTAGATTCAATTAATTATTAATACATTTCACTTTATATAATATGCTTAAATAAGAAATAAATATAATACGCAGATAAATACAAGTTTTCCTTGCCAGATATGATGAAAGAATCGAGAGCTAGTTTTGAAGTAAATTAAACTGAAAAGCTTTTCAAATTCTGACAGAATGGTTCTAAAGTGTATGTGATTCCCACTAGTAGTTCTGTACCATGAACTACAACTCCCTGTACAGTTGCTACAGGTACTACCAGTTTTGGAGGACAGGTTGTGTAACACAGTGATCAACCAATAATCAAAGGTGAGACTAGACGCTTGTTTTAACACTGTTCCGTACAGTGTTGGTACTTCAGATTACCAAGAAATGTCAGTTTCTCACTACAGCATTACCAAAATAATTTTATATTATATTATATTATATATATATATATATATATATATATATATATATTTATTTATTTATTATATATATATTTATTTTTAATGCAGATTGTAAAACTTGCAAAATTTGCCACTAAAAAAATCTTGAAAACAAACTTCTAACCTATATCATTCAGTTGCTCCTTTAAGGCAAGGTACTGTTGATTTTAAGGACAATCCTATACATCCAAGGTAGGCTTCCTGCACCGACACAACAGGCGAGCTTTGGACAATTCTTTAGACAGACTTTCCCTGGTATTATTATTCCGAGAAATTGCAAAACAGATAATTGGTCAGTGTAAGCAAGCAAGGTTCAAATATGATATAGATATTTGTAATATTTTTATATTTTATTTTATTTTTTCTTGTAATAATTCCGAATGTCAAGGACAGAATGCCTGTACAGTACAGCCCTTTGGCTTATTGCGGTCCCCCCCAGGCCAACTATTGACCTTCTCGAGGATACAACCCACAACCGTTGTCTAACTCTAGGGTACCTATTTTACTGCTAGGCTAGATGAACAAAGCCATCAAATTTAAAGAAACATTACCAACCATTTCTACTCCACCCGGGCACTGAACTTGGGATTATTGGTATTGAGAGTAGGACGTAAACCACTATACTGTACTACAGAAGCTGCAGTGTGTCACATTCATCTGGTTACTGCTGCTGCTGGACAATCATGCACAGATAATTCAACCCCTTTTGTTCACATCACCCCATGTCAAGTTATCAGTTGAAAAAGTATTATAAAATAATTTCATACCTTATGTAAAATGTAGATGTACACTGAATAACCCATGCCAACAGATGCTATGCAAAACAAGAAGATAATAAATTTCACTGCATCTTTATAAAACTTGAAATCCAAAGGCCTTGGGTAGAGTATAGATCGCACCAGCTCCCCCTTTGCCGTGCTAAACCCTGTCCGCACAACAACTGCCAGAACCTGAAATACAAGCCAAATTCCTTTCAGTAACTTGTGCATTTATGTTGCATGGTATTCACACAATCTTAATTTCTGCATTACTATGTACAATATTCAAATTCATCATTTATGGTGTTTTTTACTGATAATATTTTGGCTAGCGACTATGGAGTTTTATACTAGATCGAATGCAAAGTATTAGAAAACGTGGAACAACACAAATAAATTTAATATTACAATATAAAAATAAAAATAAAATAATTTTAGCTCTAACTCTAATGCAGTATTTGCAATCATGCTTTTTTCTTTTAGAATGGTGCTGCTAATTGTTAGCTAATTCCTAGTTTGATATAATTATTAAAAATTAAGGTACCATTTCTAAATAAATTCTAGTAATTGTCTGACAAATAATTATCAAAATTTAGATCATTTTTGTGAGGTACAGCTTATGTATACAGTACAAAAGTGGGATCATTCATCATAAACCAACTGGTGTACTGCAATGCTATGATTTTACATACATTACATTCAGAGAATTCAACATCACAATCGACTTGAGAATGGTCCAGGACGGACCGAAACGTCGTCGTCCCTTCAATTTCTAGTGTGTGGTCTGGTCAACATACTTCAGCCACGTTATTGTGACTCATCGCCTGCATACATTACATTCCATTCTTGTAAAGCCACTAGCACGCATAGCGTTTTGGGCAAGTCCTTAATCCTAATTTTCCCCGGAATATGACCCACCAAATTGTCTGACAACCAAGTACCCATTCACTGCTGGGTGAACAGAGGCGACAGTTAAGGATTAGCATCAAGTAAATCCTCCCCGGCCAGGATATGAAGCCAGGCCACAGTACTCGCGAAACGCCGAGTGAGTGTGTTACCACTTTGCCACGGAGACCGCAGGCATTTTCATGTGTATTACTCCATGAGTGCAATATAACTTTACTTGGAACCAGGGGCATTATGATTGGATGCTAGGCACAACATGAGGGTTACCATATCCTTCGACCCTGTTGTGCTACCAGGTGTCGGCACTTTGGTGGCAGTTGGTAAAGAGACAAGTTAGCATTGTGTGTAACTTCAGAGTAATAATTGGCCATCTTTGAAGTCCCATTGAACACATAAAGAGTGTGTCAGTTGGGTTGTTTATGTTCATTTGTTTTACTGTATACTAAGCAGTATTTTGCAGATGGATTGAGGGATGTTATATACTGTTTTACTGCGTGTTGCAACCTTAGAGGTATTGTTCAGAAAGTACTAGTATGCAGTTTAATACACAAGGAATACTTGCTAAATCATAAGAAATAGATACTAGATATACAAAAATGAAAAATTAAGCATGAGTTGCAACTTCTCATTTTTATACAGTATATACAGATATTAAAAAGTAGATACTCAAGAGAAAACTTCAGAGACCCAGTTTTTTTTATTACAAATGAACTTTGAGACGTGAAGGAAAACTGAAGAACACAATTAACCCAAGGCCTTCCATTGTATGTTCCATTTAACCTCCCTTCTGACATTCATAATTTTATAAGTTAACAGATGGTACTGCCAGTTAATGCCCAAAAAAACAATCAATAAAACAGAAGCTTAAAACCATTGAGATCAGTAATATTCCAGAGGAGTTAATCTACAAATGTTTCAGCAGTCTGATTTGCAATGGCTGTAAATACACATACAAACCTGAGCACTGCCATAGTATCTGGTCTGGATTACCGATGTCCCACAGAAGAGTGTATGCCGTTTATGCCTCTCGGCTGAATAAATCTCAGTCTCTTCCGACACTGTAACTGGGATTTTGGTGACTGGAACGCTCTCACCTGAAAAAAATTATAAAGGCTTAGCTTGGAAACAACAAAATCAAATCCGTCACATAAAGTGAATGCAATATATTACATGCATTTAACTTTAATCAAAGTGAAATTACACATTACAAACAATTTGGTGCAGGATTAACAAAAAGATTAAGAGCAACAGAAAAGTTTTATATTATCTGGAAAAGTTTAGAAAACAAAGCGAGAGTAATAACATACCTGTAAGCATGCTCTCATTAACAATGGCATTGCCAGATATGAGGACGGCATCACAAGGCATGGTGCACCCAGCGGAAGGAATAACCACAACATCACCCGGGACCAGTTCTGTTGTGCTTATGTCCGCTTCAACTGTTGGATGTAAACACCATCCAATAAAAAAAAATGATGTGAACATTCTTTTCTTGGCACCTGGACTCAGGTCGCTTTTCAAACGGAACAACCAAAATACAAGAGTTATCACAAAAGCTTTTTGACAGCAGAAGGGTTAAGAGTGTGTCCATCTAGGTAAATGTTCGTTATTTGCACCAAGACAGTAATAGAAAAAAACATGCAAAAGATAAAATATTATGGTATTTATGGACTTGGAGAAAGCATATGACAAAGTGAAAATAGATACCCTCGGGAAAGTATCGAGCAACTATGATTTTAGCGGAATCTTATATAATATTATGAAGAACTTCTATTCTATAGTATTTCTCTCCAGAAATTCTTCTCTCTCTTATTTACAGTAATTCCTTTAACTACCCTCCAGTTTTTCTCAATTTTCTTCTATTTCTTCCAGTTTTTACCATCCTTAGCAAATTTCTAAACAAAGTCAGCTGGTAATATTTGGCTCCCAAGTTCATCACAAATTTCTCCCAACACCATTAAAATCCTCAGTCTTTTTTGACACTTTCATTCCAGTAATTATTCATGCACTTTTGGTCCTAACTGACACAACCCTCAGACCTGTACTATACAGTATAGACAGCAAATGAATCCATGGAAAAGATCTCAAGAGCAGTTGAAATGAATACCAAAAATTATTGCAGTTGGACCAGAGTTTAATTCATGGGCAGGACAAGATGTTTGGGCATGTTTCCTTACACATTATGCCTCTCTTCACCTAGTGGCAAATAGGTATCAGAGTTGGACAACAGTTGTAAATTGCATCTGGGAGAAAATCGATCACTGAATTAGGAGGATATCAATAAGCCAAACAGGTTTACTGTCCCCAACAATAAAAAATTTCATCACTATCCCATTTCCCCACTTTCTATGGCATACTGTACAAATATAACTATATGCTGTAAAATAAAACAGGACATCTCGAGGGACAACAATAATTATGAGCTTTGTTTCAGTTAGTGGGAAGCTATTGATCATTAAGCTGTGGCCTTACCATCTAAACCAACATCAGCTCTAAAATAAACAAGTCAGTCATGTGATATTACTGTGTTGTATATCAATTAATTTAAGTCTATTATTGATTGCGTGAGTTGACCTATGATTTATATAGGCCACACATAGGCTTATAATCTTTTAAAAAGCATACCTGTTGTTCCTTCTGGTGTTGCTCGCAGTACTGACGCAGTATTGGTGTTTGATGCCTCCACCATATCATGCAGAGACTGACTTTGCTAGAATATAATAAATATATACACCTTTAACAGGAATAGGACTACAGTTATTGCACAAAACAAATATCACATTAAAGCGATTTATCAATGAGAAAATCAGTAGGAGCCGTGAGGATTCGAATACGCAGTATATAAGTACCCCGAGCATAGGCTCCACTCCTCATGCCTCCTGCTGATTTTCCCACTACAGTTATAAGTGAATAAGCTCTGCAATCTACAATAGTTATTAATAAATAAGGTCTGCAATCCATGACAGTTATTAGTAAACACGCTCTGCAATCTACGACAGTTATTAGTAAATAAGGTCTGCAATCTACGACAGTTATTAGTAAGCAAGGTCTGCAATCTATAACAGTTATTAGTAAATAAGGTCTGCAATCTACGACAGTTATTAGTAAATAAGGTCTGCAATCTACAAATAGTTAAGTGAAGCAAACTGCAGTCTACTGCGAAGTATTCAAGTGAACAGCTTGACTAATGAACTAAAGACTTCTGCTGATAAGGAATTTGCACCGAGATAGCTGGTGAGGCAGACATGCGAGAAAGACTGTACAGTGTACATGGCCCTTACAAATTTGGAGAAAGTTAACACAGTAACAACTATGTATAAAATTGGTTGACTTGTATTAACTATTCTGAAGAGCTTTTGATGAACAAAGCAGTGCATGTATGAGAATGGTGTAATGAGTGACTACCTTGACCAAACCTTGCGGTGGTAAGTAGCATGGACTAAGTAGACTAAGTAGCATGGACGAAGATTATGGTAAGTAGCATGGACTAGTTGGACTAAGTAGCATGGAATAAATAAATAATTACATGGCAGAACTATTAATTTAATATCACCTTGCGTGTTTCAAGGAGCGAGAGGAAGACGGAGAGGCAGGACACGAGGAAGATGCACGTGGCATAGAGGTAGTAGTTGTCAAAGGACCACAGAGTTATAGATGCAATTTGAAAGACATAAAATGGATTCAATATTTCTGTTACCAAAAGATAACCATAGGACTTGACCTCCACACTTATCACATTGAGGCCATACAGCTTTTGTCTGAAAAGAGAAAAGTCATTTTAAAAAATCTTCGATAGCCATTTACCATCGCTGTATTATTTTACTTGAAGGTGTAATTTTAATCGTGTTCTAGTGATATGTTGATTTATTCCTTACAGAAAACTAAATGTACAATACAGTATAACATTACTATGCAAAAAGCCCACGTGGTTAAAACAAGGTAAACAAATAAATATAAATAGGAATCAGAGGACCATCAATGAGACTCCCATATTTGACTATGTACCTCAACCAGTTTTGAAGTAAGGAAATGATTAAGATGAAAAAGTATGGGATAATGTTGCTAATTCAATAGCCAGCATATGTTTATGGATTAACAACCATACAGTATCATAAAAGTCTGGCACACACTTAATGAGCCTTTAGCCAATTAAACTCAATTTAAAATTGTTTATGCAACTTCAATATCAAACCTAAATGGTTATGAAAGTGAAATAATTTACATTATCTACAGACTGCATCTTTATTGCCTGACTTCGTGTAAAGAATCAAACATTTTACATACCTGTTCATTTGCTCTTGGACGGTAAAACCCCTGAAGTCATTAAGTAGAGAACTGATTGGAGTATTCACATCATAACCATAGAGGCGAGTAAATAACCTCTTCTCCGGAACCCAAACATACTTAATGTAAATGTAACAAACTAGGCTGTTGTAAGAATTATCCAGAGTGGTTTATCGACAAAAGAGAATGGGAAGCTGAGCCGCATGGTGACCTGACCCCCAGGGGGATTCGCGGTGGAAATAACCGACGCTTTGTTCATAGCTGCGTATAATGAACCATCCTATAGTATTCAGTAAATTAGAGAAAATTAGCCTTTATTCATTTTGCATTAAAATTGTATTGTATAATAGTACTGGATACAATATCAAGAGTATTCTAATTATTGAGTTTAAGTCACCATCAGTGACGTCACGAATCGGATCTAACTTTTAAGGCGGAGTGACCGGCGGTCATAGGTCAGCAGGGTTGACATGTCTAATATTTCTCAAAGTTTTATTAACCATTTTGGGGATCGGGAACAGCTCTGCCGTTAGATGTTTGTAATTTAATTCAGTAAAATAATTCAACCAGTCTGGATCAATTAAGTACAACAGAGTTTAATTGTTATAACTTAACCTTGCTAAAGTAACTGGGTAAGCGATGCGGAACAATACAATACTCTGTCTGGGGTAGTCCAGACAAGGAAAAAATCAGTGTGGTCACGGAAGCAGCTGGGATAAGAGGTCAACATCTTACCTCTCCCCAAGAACAGCCCCAACACCTAGAGCTGTGGTCGCCCAAGGTATAGTTGCTATTGTTAAGTATAGAAATAGTCTCATTTGCCACTCAGGTCAAGTAGGGAGTGTTAAAGTGATAGGGAGTGAACATATTTAGATTTTGTTTTAGTTTTCTTTTAATAAATTAAATTTGTTATTAATTTGCATTTTATTGTTTCCATGTGTTTTATGTGTATACTTGTCCTGGTCACGTGGTCCACACGAGGCAGAGTTGCATTGGGCGCCGATTCTAACATCGAATCGGAATTATCATTACCGTGTAATTTATTCCACACTCAAGGTCATCGTTTATAGTGGGGATCAAGCCCCTAGGTTGATTAATTAGCGTGATCGATCCAGACCTCGATCATTGCTCTTGTATTACTGGTCTGGTGGTGGCAGCAGAGGTGACTCTAGGGTTTTGTTCAGAGCTTAGGTCACGTCATACTGGGTGTAGAATCCTAAGTCGGTCAATCGTCTTAGGACCACGTGGCGTGGAGTTGGCTTTGGTAAAAGTTTTGGAGTCCCTGGGTTTAGAAATAAAAGTAAGAATACGGGTAGAGGGAGTAGAAAGAAGGAAGTAAAGAGAGAGGAACCCGAACCCGTGTTACAACTAGTTACACTTGCCCACACCAGATGACAGCTTCGACACCTTAGACCCCTCATTGTCTGTCTCCATCAAACATGCGTCACCCAAAAGTGACCCCCAAGAACCATGGCAAAGATACAAGGGCAGAAACGTGCACCCACCAAAGGAGTCTACTGGACCAGCATGTGGCATTTCATTACATTTCATGATGGATTTCTGAGAGGGCTTCCTTTGGTGGTTCCCTGAGCTAGCTCACCACAGAAAACAAAGAATAAAAGGCTGACCAAGGGGGAAAAAAGAAGAAGCGGTAAGGAAACCTTTCAGGGAACAGTGCTGAGGCATCCTGAAAGAGCACCAAAAACTTTAAGCCCAAACACTGGATCCTGAAACAAGGAACTAGAGACAACGGAAAGTTGACCTTTTCATGTTAGTATAGCGTAGCCATCAGAACAGTGAAGCACCAGACCTTGCCATGTAATTATGAATGTTTCTGCATGTATAATAATTGCATATCTAGAGAAAGGAAGGATTTGTTCAAATGGAAAAGCAAAATTTAATGACAGCAATATTATAATAGTTATGATGTAAAGGTAATAATATACTTTTCCCTTATGGCCCATGAGATAAGCACATTAGAATTGCAGTACAGTATAATAGTAGCATAAAGAATTTCCATTTAACTTCCTGCTATTTATATTTTAAATTCCATAGATATAATTGAAATGACACCAACCATCTAACAACTTGACTATTCTCAATTTGATTGGCTAGAAAATATGTGGAAAACTTTAATTATAATTCAAAACAAACTGAAGCAACATATATTTTTTTCATCAACTATTTTATGAGAATATCAATTTGCTCAATTCCTCAAAACTATCCATAATAAAAGTCAATCTGGTAGATTTCCCATTGTCAGGGACATGAAGTCTGTTAGGCTTATTGAGGCTACCCTAGGCCATCTAAAGACCTTTCCCAAGATGCAACCCATAGCAGCTATCTCCCTACTAGGTACCTATATTTACTGCTAGGTGAACAGAAGCACCAGATGAAAGGAAACATCTACATCTATCAGGTGGAAGGAAACCTCTACAGCACATCAGTAACACAAACTTTACACCTTATCCCAATGCCATTGTAACCTGCAGTAAAACAAAACTCTAATACAAAGATTGGGAAAGATATTTGTCAACTGAATAACACGTCTGAGCTATTCCAAGTGAACAGCTGAATTTATCCAAGACAAATAGGGTATCTTTAAATGTCTTAAAAAACGAGGTTGACTTACCTATGAAGTGGCTGAGTGAGGCAAGTGGAATCTGACGCTCCATAAGGACTGCCATTAATAGCACCATTCACACAATGCGAGGCTACCACATACTGGGAGGAAAAGTCAGCCTCCACTGCTTCTGCCTCAACTATTACTACATGAATTTGGCCATCAGCATCCTGGTCAACAAAAACAGTATTTATAGCATTTTATACACTGCACTGTATAAACTACATTCACTTCTGTAGTATAAGCCTAAAAAATACATAAGCAGAACAAATCCATAAATGCAGATACAGTAATTACTTGCTAGAGTCAGTAGTTGGCCACACGACAAGATGACAAGTCTTTAATAAGCTTTTAGTCAATACAAAGCATAATGAACACACCCGAAGGTGGTACCACTCCTCAAGCCAGTGGGAATGCTGGAGACAGCAGGGAAGGTCTACCAGTGTTCAAGCTGTATGCATCAACCCCCACAGCTGCACCTACCAGTGGTCCACCAGTGTTCAAGCTGTATGCATCAACCCCCACAGCTGCACCTACCAGTGGCTTTGTCCTCCATCACCATAATAAGAGCAGTGGGGTGGCAAACGATTAGTCATAACCCCCTATCATGGCTATCAAGGTACAAAGGCAATGAATAATGTTTCTTTTGATCCCGAGTTATGCATAGACACTTATGAATTCAAATAAAATCTATTTGGCATGTTAATATTTGCACACTGGCATGAAAAGTACATCATTTGATGGCCATGGACACAACAAATTGCAATGAACGCATCGTATGACGAGTTCTGTAATTTAACCGTTAATCAAGAACAGATAGCGAACACTGAATTGTCTGAAACCTCACCTTTATGACTAGTGTATCAGCATCTGATAAAGAACATGCTCTGCTAAACCAGTAAACGCGCCATTCTGGCTTCCAGTAGGATATTAGATAAAAAATCCCAAGGGTGACCAGAGTGAGTGCATAGAAGCAACCTGCTTTACAGCACGAGTACTGGTACCCATAGAGAGTTAGCTGCTCCTCTGTCCCTGGATGGATAACGCTGTGATGATTGACAGGTCTCTCCTCCTCCCCCTTCTCTCCATCTTCTCCTAAACGGTTATATGCCATGTCTGCAACTGCAACATGTAGATGTGAGATGATGTGCATGCATATCTGTATATCATTACATGTATCTAGAAAAAAAAAGTAATAATATTTTATTTATGCAAAAATATTACAGGTTTCAGGTTGAATTTTTACAAGCAAACACTATCGAGTCCCACAGTCCTGCAATGTTTAGCAACTTATTTTCCATACTACACAGTACAGTACAATGCACCCTCCAAAATTCAGATGTCCATATAACAGGTCCATGTAAACAGCAAATAAAATTCGCCCACCAGATTTTCAGGTGTCAGGAGCAGGTGTGTGTGTGGGTGTCAGGAGCAGGTGTGTTGGAAGTGGGTGTCAGGAGCAGGTGTGTTGGAAGTGGGTGTCAGGAGCAGGTGTGTTGGAAGTGGGTGTCAGGAGCAGGTGTGTGAGTGTCGGGAGTGGGTGTGTGGGTGTCGGGAGCGGGTGTGTGGGTGGGTGTCGGGAGCGGGTGTGTGGGTGTCGGGAGCGTGTGTTGTGAGTGGGTGTCGGGAGCAGGTGTTGTGAGTGGGTGTCGTGAGTGGGTGTCGGGAGCGGGTGTTGTGAGTGGGTGTCGGGAGCGGGTGTCGTGAGTGGGTGTCGGGAGCGGGTGTCGTGAGTGGGTGTCGGGAGCGGGTGTTGTGAGTGGGTGTCGGGAGCGGGTGTTGTGAGTGGGTGTCGGGAGCGGGTGTTGTGAGTGGGTGTCGGGAGCGGGTGTTGTGAGTGGGTGTCGGGAGCGGGTGTTGTGAGTGGGTGTCGGGAGCGGGTGTTGTGAGTGGGTGTCGGGAGCGGGTGTTGTGAGTGGGTGTCGGGAGCGGGTGTTGTGAGTGGGTGTCGGGAGCGGGTGTTGTGAGTGGGTGTCGGGAGCGGGTGTGTGGTTGGTGGGTGTGGATACAGTATTAACATTTGGGTATTGGCATACAGGTATGGATACTGGCATGTGGGTACTGACATGTGGATACCGGTGTGTGGGTGTCAACATATTTTGAGTTTCAGGGTGTGGGGGGTGGTGTCACCAAGAGGATGACAATGGAGCAGTCTCTCACACATCCACAGCACTCCACAGAGATAGACAAGACTGGTACAGGATCACGTTTAACTGTGGCTGGGCCGGATTCAGGGAGGATTAGCTCTGGATATAGTGTGCAAGAGCTGCTTACTCATCTGACATAGTGCAAATAACAGGACACAATATTTGTATTTAATTGGCTATTTAGTAATTATAATATTTACAAGAAAACAAAATGGGGTTTGACATAATTTATGCCATATAACATCATCCTACTGCAGGGGTTGGCACTTGTATGAGGCGAGTTTGGGGGAGTGGGATGTACAGGAATAAGACATGTGGTCATCATCCTACCTCCTGCAGGACTTTATTTAATTGCTTGGCTCTCCAGTGTTCTCTCTCCACTCTCTCCAGATTGGCAGTGTGCAGCCTATCTGGCCTGACAGTTTGTAAAGCCTGGCAGCCTGTCCAGACTGATAATTTCCCTAGCCTCACAGTCTGTCGAGCCTGTTTGTTGCAAAGCTTGACAGTCTGTCCAGCCTGACAGGATGCCTAACTTGATAAGGTACACCTCCTGTTAGGTGCTCGTGCCACTCCCACACTGCGTTAATCAACGCTTTATACCTTAGCTTTACTTGCTGCATTTCTATTACGTATTACTTTATCACTTTCACTTCTAGAAAAAGTCAAGGGTCATGTCTGAAAGAATAGTCTTGCTCATTTGATATTCAGCGCACACAATAATTCCCAGGATCACACACACTCCACCTTCTTAATTAGTTCAACTTTCTTCTTAAATATCAGTACTGACTTGTTTCTCTTATGTATCCCTCTTGTAGAAGCTTTAACTGACAAAATAACCACATTTCGAGCTGATATAGTTGACGGATGTCCTTAAACTCTGGGTATACTGTATACTCAACAAAATCACGAGTACGAAAGCTGCAATGCCTCCTGAGGAATGTGAACAATGTGAACCTCTACATCACACACCTCACCACCACTGTACTCTTACTGGGTGTCACCAGCTTCACAACACTGTCACTTGCTTGCCTTAATGACTACAGATTTCTGGGTCGAGCAAAACTCGGACTTTGAATGGGGAAATAATTTGAATTAAAATCAACTTTTATAAGTAAAATATGTAACAATGTACAAGAAAAGGATACAAGTTATAATAGTAAATAAAGGTACATTAACTCATAATATGCAGTAAATAAATGTATATGAACTTATACAGTACACGAGTAATGTATAAAAGACCTCAGAAAGATTGCACTTGCACGATAATAACTTGAAATATTTAGAACGCACTATATTTTCATGCGATATATTAATAAATTCAACACTGTTTAAATCACTACTCACAATGCATTCAAACTGCATTTTTCACAAGGATGTACACTACACTGAACTTGTATGGATAAAATATGGAGAGTAGGCAGACATGCATTCGTCTTGAACTGTGTGGAGCACACCTGTGTACACTCACCGGAGGTACAGGTGTGTACACTTACTGGAGGCACATGTGTGCAGATGAGGGGGGGGGGGAGGGAATGTGCACCAACTGCACCTATAATCACTACACACAGGGTTGCCAAATGTCTAAATAATTTGATTTTTTTTATTTTGTTAATATAACCTATCCCGTATTGCAGCAATAATTATTTTATAAAGCATAGTATGACAATTACATTGTTCTGAACACAGCAGCAGACCCAGCAGTAGCAGCAGATGCAATAGCAGCTGACCCAGCAGTACCAGAAGACCAAGCAGACCCAAAAGCCCCAGCAGCCACCAGCAACAGCAGACCCAGTAGCAAGAGTTCTGGCAACACTTTTAATTACCACGAGGATAACCAGCACCACCAGTACCGCAGGCAACAGCACCACCACCACCTGAAGCAGCAACAGCATCAGAACCAGCAGCCTCCCACCACCACCTACCAGCAGCAGTAGCAGCACCAGCAGCAGCGCCATCAGTAGTTGCACCAGCATCACCACAAGCAGCTACAACCACCACTTGTGCCATGAGCAGAAAAAGTTCCAACAGCAGTAGCTTCAACACCAGCAGGACCACCACTGCCCCCCAACACCACCAGCAGTATCGATGTTGTAAGAACCACCACCTTCAAGAGCGGATATAACCACTCTGGACTGATTCATCAATATAAATGCATGCCCTCCCCCAATGTCAAAATAGTATTCACAAAAAAAAAGTAAAGGCAACCCAATGTTAGTATTGATCATAATTCATTTTTGTCAGGGGTAGGAAGCCTGTGTGTATATATATGCTTTAGATTTGCATCATGATCCTCCAAGGCCGAACTACTGAACCTCCCCAGGATGCAATCCCACAACAGTTTCCTAACTCCTGGGTACCTATTTACTGCTAGGCAAACACAGGTATTAAGTGAAAGGAAATGTGCCCAAACATTTCTGTCTAACCCGGGAATTTAACACAGGATCCAAAAGTGTGAGTTGAGAATAAAGCTAACTAGTCACACTGGACCCACACTCTTATACTGTATTTTTTAATACTGTACATATTATACATTACAGACATTACCCACTAGTCATAATATGTACTGTATGATGACACATGTTTGAAAATCACAGATAATTTGGGATAGCCTTGTGAATGAGATTGGTATGACACCCAGGAATTATAGAGTATGTGTAGTGGATGATCTGAATAGTTAAGTGGGAAGAAACCCAGAGAATGACAATGAGTGGAAATGGTATTTCAGGAATTAGTAGCTATGTCTATAAATTGAACAAAATAAATATAAAAGGCTGCAAAGTGAAAAAAAAAAATGACTGAGATTAAAAGCTAAATAAAAAAGAATTGCAGGGAGAATGGTGGAAGGGAAAATGGGAATGTTACAGATGAGCATGTGAGAATGTTCATTGGTAATGAGGAGAGAAGCAGGGAGGAAATCGAGATATGGGAAAAACTGCAAATATTGGAGGTACACACAGAATACATCAAATTAAATGATTAATTGTAGTGGATACAAATTAGTGAAGCTAGTATGGAGAATTTCCCCGAAGGCACGAGTGTGTCATATTGCTCCAAAAGATTGGAAAAAGAGCTTTGATTTTATTACTGTATAAAAGTCAAGAAGCAAGTTGCAAATAAGAACTGTAGAGGTATTAGTTTACAAAGAATAGTAAGCACAATGTATGACACAATAGTGAAACGTTTTTTTATATGATTGACAAGATTTAAATGTGAAAAGTTACAAAAGTAAACTTATGGAGAACAAAGATGGAAGTTCCTCATGAAATTATATGAATTATCTGAAGTTACACAAGGGCCACCATTATTTCATAGTCTTGATGGGGACAAGAAACCTGCAGCTTGTTAAACATCCTCCCTCCCATTATTCCAGATGATTTTTCCTGGTTGAATTTTGAACTTTAGTATTACCAGTTTAGACACTAATACCAGTATCTACAATGTATCATTGATAATTTTTTTTATGAAAATAAAAAGAGTAAAGCAAGTCAAGTAAGGAAAGTATAGAAATTTGTGCAATTAAAGCTTTGGTTAGAAAAAACAGGAAATAGATAGAGAATGTTGCATGAGAGGGAATAAGAAACCTTAGATAAAGATCTCATTATCAAAACAAGCACAAGGCTTATGCAAGTAATGCACAGAAGATCACTAACAATGTCTAGAATAATAAATGTAATAAGCATACGTACCGTAATATATGACAAGTGATTTACCTTGTGACAACCTACCACGAGTATTACACACCAACTACTATAGAGGTACAGGTCTTCCTCACACCTCTGTCATTAGTACAGAATGATAAGTATTTTAGTGGTGCACCTTATCATATCATCCTATTGTTATTGTGACCAAGTACGCCATGTAATGTATGGACTCCTGATAACAAACTCCATAGAGAATGTAGAAAACTTCCTATTGGTATTGCTAAACTATTTGTTAATGATGATTCATTTACACAGTATAAATATTCAGTTTCTTATCTAATGCATGATGAAATACATTGACATCATTGTATAAACTGAGCACTCCTGAAGATTGTGGAACACTGAATTAAATTCAACACATTCAACTAATGGAAGCACTCTTAAGAAAAACTGCCACCCCCATACACATCCTTCCCCAACTGATGATGTAAACCTCATCTGCAAGTACTCAAAACATTTGTTGTCATTCTTTTAAACGTTGAATTTTTCTTATAAACCTGATTTTTCTCATGAAATTGTCTTTGCCATATGTTGTAGACTCTAGAAGATGTAGTAGTTAGCTGTAGATGAGTGATGACTTACTAGGAAATAGAGGGAGAAAAAGAGAGGAAAACGGGAGATAGGTAGAGATAGAGAGAGAGAGAGAGAGAAAATGCTTTTGGAGTTGAGTGCACTATAAAGAAACAAGTACAGCAGATCACTTAAATTAACTGCACTTGCATCATTCTAGCCCCTATCTGCCTTCAGTGAGCTCACTTCCTCTCACATTTAGTCTCCCTCCCTCCCCTGCACTCACTCATTCCTTCCCTCCCTCCCTCCCTCCTGCACTCCCTCCCTCACCCACTCACTCATTCCCTCCCTCCCTCACTCATCCTACAAATCCAATTCGCTCACTCACACTTTCACTCATCCATTCCTTCCCTCATCCATTCCTTCCCTCCTTCCCATTCACTCCTCCCTTCACTCACTCATCCATTCCTTCCCTTCTTCACTCATTCCCTCCCTCCCCCTCCCTCACCCACCTGCTCACTCCCCCCACTCTGGGCTGGTCTGCAGAGCAGCACCCTCGCTTCTCTCAAGGCCAGTGTTCAATCACCAATGGTTCAAGTGGTTGGCAAGGGTTCCTTCACGCCTCCATAACCCAGCTGCATGTCGCCATCTCCCTTCCAAGTGCTACACAGTCATGCTGGTTTAGTACTTCCCCCTACCTCACCTCTTTACATATTGTGCTATAGTTACATAAAATCATCAAGCCCCTCACATACAGCTCACAGTTCAGTCAAACTTTACAATTTTATGTACATTCCCTCAGTTATCTAATTCACATATTACTTTCATATGGCTACAGACCCTTATTACTTTAACCTTTTTAAAATCCATTATTTATAGATTTTATGCTGTCTAAATGTTTGTAAACATTTGTTTTAAAGTATTTGCAAGTCCAGTGTTTTTTTGTTTGTATGGTGCAAAAACCGAATGTTTTGCATGGCAAACAATATATACAGTACTGTGTCATGGTTTGCTTTCAAATTGATATTGTAAACATTTTATTATGGAGCCGGTTCAGCACGCTGGACTTGTGATCCTGTGGTCCTGGGTTCGATCCCAGGCGCCGACGAGAAACAATGGGCAGAGTTTCTTTCACCCTATGCCCCTGTTACCTAGCAGTAAAATAGGTACCTGGGTGTTAGTCAGCTGTCACGGCCTGCTTCCTAGGGGTGGAGGCCTGGTCGAGGACCGGGCCGCGGGGACACTAAAAAGCCCCGAAATCATCTCAAGATAACCTCCCTACACCACTTCAGCAACTTGTGGACACAGATGATGCTCTCAGCATTCACCTTACCTTTAGGTGCTTCCGGGGCTTAGCGTCCCTGCAGCCCGGTAGTCAACCAGGCTTACCACTTGATTTCACACTACCACTGATTTCTACAAAATTATGGCCAAAGCAATACTCATTTTACATGGAATAAGGGCACATGACTTTTCTTCGGAGAGCAGAAGCCTTTTTCAGAAACAATGTATTCCTTATTGTATTCCAATATAAATAATAAATAAATAAATAAATGTTTATTCAGGTAGTACATACATGTCAAAAATTGATAGATTTATAGAAAGCTTGTACAAAGCGTTTCAATATTAACACTCACATCTTCAGACAGTGAAGCATTATCAAAGAGTGAGTGTTTAAAGAATGAATTAGTGCCTAAGGATAAGATATGGTTTAATTTTATTATTATTGTTATTATTATTATTAATTATTCATAATTTTTAAACCACACAACTGAAGAAAAAGAAAAAAGTAGGAAAATATTTAAAAATAAAATAATGAATTACAAAATTCTTGTTAATACTGTACTTACCAGATGACCTTATATCTATCCTCACGTGTGTCATCTCTGCATCTTGTGTATTGGGCACATCTGTAATTGTTTGTAAAATAACATTTAAATGACAGCCATCAGTGTAAACCTACAAGCACAGTGATGCGATGAAACACTTCAACAAATACACTACTGCACATTAGTGGACAATTGTGGTCCATTTGTAACAGTACTGAAAAACCTGTAGTGTGCTACAGAATATATATATATCTATCATCAGGTTCATTAGTACTAAATTATTAAGACAATAATTTGAGTTTAATAAAGTTAATAATTGTTTTCCTGTCCTCGTCGAGGCCACCAAAGTGTTAAGTGGCCCTCAGGTAAATTCGGGTAAGTACTTAACGGGACAGTGTACAGTGGTACCTCGGAATGCGATTGTCCCTGTATGCGAGGTTTTCGGAAGGCGAGGTGTATTTACTCCAAAAATTTGTCTCAGAAGGCGAGGGTTACTTCGGGAGGCGAGTTTGGACGCGAGTTTGTTGATACGCGTACAGCCGACCTAGCGCGTTCGTCGCCCCTCCGCCCCTCAGTTTATTATTGTCTCGCGCTCAGTGACTACCCCCACATCAATTCTTCTCGCGGATTTTCAGTGTTTTGTTGGATTTTTGGTGATTTGTCTATACAATTTGTTATTATATATCTCACCATGGGTCCCAAGAAAGCCAGTGGTAAGGATAAAGGCCAGAAAGCTCATGTGAGGATGACAATAGAGGAGAAACAAGAGATCATTCGGAAGCATGAGAACGGTACACGTGTTGTTGAACTTTGTAGGCAGTACAACAAAGCCACATCAACAATATGCACTATACTTAAGAAGAAAAATAAGATTATGGGTGCTAAAGTGGCAAAAGGAGTAAGAACATTAACGGCACAAAGACCACAAATACTTGAAGAAGTGGAAAAGTTGTTATTAATTTGGATACACGACAAGGAGTTGAGGGGTGATAGTGTTTCGGAGGCCATTATTTGTGAGAAAGCCAGGGTGTTGCACGAAGACCTTCTAAAGAATACCCCTGCAACGAGTGATGCAGATAAGAAAGAGTTTAAGGCAAGCAGGGGCTGGTTTGAAAAATTTAGAAAGAGAAGTGGTATCCATAGTGTTACAAGGCATGGGGTTATGTGATGTGATTATGGAAGGGGACTCCCCTTCCAAACAGTAACTCCTCTCCTCCTCCCCCCTCCTCACCATCTTCCATACGCCTACAGCACTCGACAGCAAGGTAAGTAATAACTGGAACACAGTTTTGTAGGTTTATTTAGATGAATTAGGTAAATTAGGTATAAAAATTTAGTTTGATGTGGGGTTTTTGGGGTAGTCAGGAACGGATTAATTCATTTCCCTTTATTTCTTATGGGGAAATTAACTTCGGAATGCGAGTTTTCGGAAGGCGAGGCGTCTCCAGGAACGGATTAAACTCTTATTCTGAGGTATGCCTGTACTAGGAAAGGACATATATAGGATAGGTAATGAATATTTCTTTACAAATCCTATAATGGAGATAAAGGGAACCCTTGCCTCATCATTAACTATTTCACTTCATCGAGTCATAGAACTCACCTGGTACAGTATTTTGTAATAAAATAAATTTCATTGCTTATCATGATGCACAGAGTTGCATCATGATAACTGTTTGCAATGGAGGGGACATACACAAATATACAGTACATTTTTTTTTATTTACTAGAACTATTATTTTTGTATATTCACTATCACATACAGAACAGCAAGGTACTAAATTTCTGGGAATTATATAGTGGTTCACTTAGCATTTACTTGCTCAGTTTATGTGACTAGATGAGTAGGCATGAAAGGCTGTGTGGTGAACACACATACAGTACTGTATATGTATGACAAAAATGTATGGGTTCTTCCCCCTAGCACTCAGAACAGCAATCCTACACATGGTTTTTTTTCTACAAATATTTTTGTTATTATATAATTGACTTTACTGATACTGATAACACACTTTGTAAATATAAGGGTCCCAATAGTACAGTTGGGTTTGTTCTCGACTAATAATAAAAAATTCCGGGTTTGAATCCCAGGCGGGACGCAAATGGTTGGGTGCATTTCCTATCACCTAATGCTCCAGTTCACCTAGCAGGAAGTCGGTACCCAGGAGTTAGTCAGCTTGTTGTGGGGTTCCATCCTGGGGGGGAGGGGTTTGTAATTCACCATCAGATGGGACCTCGATATATGTCTAATGTGTGTAAACACACTTTGGCTGCCTGCTCGACAGGGTGGCCCTCTAATGCATTATTGTTGTGGTGACCTACCTCAGCCTGGGAGCTGCAAGTGATATTCTAACCTCTTGATTAGGTGACTATCCTAAACTGTTAAGAAACACACTGACCTCTCTCCTTCCTGGAATGTGCAGCAATTGTATGGTGTCCTTATCTCAAGAAGCACTTATGTGAGTTAGATAACTGAGGGAATGTACATAAAATTAAAAAGTTTGACTGAACTGAGCTGAATGTGAAAAGCTTGATAATTTTATGTAACTACAGTATAGCACAGTATGTAGAGAGGTGAGGTAACTATGAGGGGAAGTACTAAAGCAGTATGACTGTGTTGCACTTGGAAGGGAGTTGGCGACATGGAGCTGGATTATGGAGGAGTGAACGAACCCTTGCCAACCATTTGAACCATTGGTGATTGAACACTTGAGAGAAGCGAGGGTGCTGCTTTTCTGACCAGCACAAGTGTGAGGAGTGAGGGAGTGAGCAGGTGGGTGAGTGAGGGAGGGAAGGAATGGGTGATAAATCGGAAAAGGTGCAAAGACATGCAACTAAATTGCTCCTGGAACTAAAAAAGCAAGAGCTACGACCAGAAGTCAGAAGTGATAAATAGTATACCAAGAATAGAAGATACAAGAAAAAAAAGAGTTGATATGATCACTATGTAAAAAATAGTAACATGAATCGACAAAAACCAACTTTTAAAGACGATAACTTCATAAACACGGTTACATAGGTTCGAACTAAGGAAACATCGTTGCGAAAATAAAAAAAATGAGAAAGGTCACTTTTGTAAATAGTGTTGTACACAGTTGGAAGAGGTTAAGTGAGAAGGTGGTGGAGTCCAAAACTATCCATCGTTTCAGATCGCCACATGACACAGAGTACTGGGAAGATGGGACACCTGAGCATAGCTCTTATCCTGTAACTACACTAAATACTAGTGTTAGATATTTAGCGTTTGATAGCTAGTATACCTCATTTATGATGCACCCCCATACCCATCCTGTGTTAGGTAAACAGAAGCATCAGGAGTAGGGAAAGGTAGCCAAACATGCGGTACCGGGGTGAAAAATAACTGGTCTAATTGCTCATGAATAGACTGCCTGTTCCACATCACTCACGTTTTCAAATTTCAAGCAATTTTTGAAAAAATTTTCTCTGAAATTTTTGTTTCAATTAATCAGTTCTGACAAATCTGTAACCACAGGAGCAACATACGGTCCCACGCGTACTGTACAGGAACACCCCGCAGAGGACGCTATATACCACACTCAAGGTTATCTGGCCACACATATCCCTCCCCCAGAGGAAATCCAGAAGGTGTGATTGTGTAGGATGAAGGAGGAGGACCCACCTGGGAGATGTTAGCACCGTCAGGAGCAGCAGCCACCCTCACCTGACTCACCACCAGCCATAACAAACAACAGCTGATCATTGCCACACATCCCTCAGACTCCTCATCTCCCCCCACCCCCTCTCCATTACCACAATAGCTCTATATAAACCATTATATATTTATTTAAGATGTTTTATTTGAATGAATGTCATCTAGTAAGGAATGTAGATTATGATGGGAAGAATATGGTAGAGGAAACATGCGGTCATGATGTAGGGAGCTCAAGTATCCTCAAGATAAAAACATCATGCTATGTACTCATAAACCCAATGTACATTCTTGCAAATAAATAAATTAATTAATTAATAAATAATTAATAAATAAATAAATAAATAAATAAATAAATAAATAAATAAATAGATAAGATACCCCCAGTATCAGTTGGGTTAACCCATGTGTTGGATTTTCAAAGTGGTCGCCCATAGACGAACGCCCCGAAGAATATTGTTGAAAACATCTTGATAACTTATTAAACCAAAAAATCTTTATATGGCAGAAGAACGACAGAAGCATTATCTATATATGAAACATCTACCAGGACAATATTTAAAGTAAAACCGAAGATATTTGTAGTCGTATAAAAGTTGCATTTTTCATCGCTCGTCGAGCTCGAAACCCGCAATTTTCATCTCAGAACAATGGTTATTTCACGCAGATTTGTTAATAAAGGTAAGAGTTTTATGTATCGCAAGAAAGATAGATATATAAGCTTCATTTTAAATGCCTTACCAAGGGCATATTTGAATTTAAAGCGAAGATACATGTAATTTTTATAATCGCCGAGCTCTGACCCCGGACAGACTCAACGGCAGAGCAACTCTCTCTCAGATCAATGTTTATTTCACGTAAATTCCTCAATAAACACAAATGGCGGGATATTGCTCCCACAATATATGAAGAGAGAAACTTATGAGTACTTGGGTATCTTATTTATTTTATTTATTTATTTATTTATTTATTTATTTATTTATTTATTTATTTGTTTATTTATTTATTTATATACAAGAAGGTACATTGGGTTTGAGAAACTTATATATGAAGAGAGAAACTGGTGTTGGTAAATCAGTGGTGTGTTATGGAAAAATTAGTGCACAAGCTGGAGATGCAGGCAGGAGTTTAATGGAAGGTACTCACTGCACTGGATAAGGGAGTACCTAAGCAACAGAAGACAGTGAGTCACTGTGAAGGGGGAGGGTGCCATAGGAAAGGCTGCCACATTTGACGCCCTTGCTAAGGTTGCAGTAAATAAAGACAGTATTGAACGGAATCTTGAGTTATCAAATAGGTCCCTTAAAAGTGTCATTAGACGAGAACTCCTGGAGGAATTTGAAGACAGTAGAACAGTGTAAACTGGAACTAGCAGGTCCATTGTTTATCACAATGAAATGTGTGAAGTAAAACATGTGTATGGGACAAATAACAAAGTCAGTAGACTAACAGACGTTGTCACAGCTCGTATAAGACTTGGCTACAAGTATCTCTGGCAGTTCGGCTTATATAGGGATCTGGATGAAGTAAAGTGTGTGGACAAAGACAGGGACACACACTCGAACACTATATCTTGGAGTGTAGTAAAATTGAGCCATTTAGAGATAAATCTAAGCTCACGCTGTATGATATGGCAACCTATCTTATTGCCAAAGATAAAATACCTGAAATCCTTGCGCTGTGTCCATATTACGCTTCCAGTAGATAAACGACATATGAGATTGAAAAACAAATAGTGTATTGTGAAGACTAATAATAAACAGCAGCTCCCCTATGACGGTAATATTTCCATTGCTCAAACAATTATGTATTAGCGAAAAGGCCTACCATATATGTATAATGACTTACTGTAAATATATAGCTCTTGAAATAGAACATTCTCTGTAACTAGCTGACATTGTAGTTATAAGGTGTGAAGGATAGAATTCGGAATTCGGCTCAAAAATCACGCTCAGGAGTCAAATTTCCGACATTTCAGATATTTTGAAAACTGCAGGGGGGGGGGGGGGGCAAAATATGACCCATGTTCGTTTTCAGTAATTGGCATATTTTCGCTATAAAAAGTCGTAATTTGAAAATGAAAATAGGTGCAGAGAGTCAGAATTCGGCTCAAAAATCACGCTCATGAATTAAATTTCCGACATTTCAGATATTTTGAAAACTGCAGGGGGGTTTGGGCAAAATATGACCCATCGCCGTTTTCAGTAATTGGCATATTTTCGGTATAAAAAGTCGTAATTTGAAAATGAAAATAGGTGCAGAGAGTCAGAATTCGGCTCAAAAATCACGCTCAGGAGTCAAATTTCCGACATTTCTGATATTTTGAAAACTGCAGGGGGGTTTGGGCAAAATATGACCCATCGCCGTTTTCAGTTATTAGCATATTTTCAGTATACAAAATCGTAATTTGAAAATTAAAGTAGGTGCAGAGAGTCAGAATTCGGCTCAAAAATCACGCTCAGGAGTCAAATTTTCGACATTTCAGATATTTTGAAAACTGCAGGGGGGTTTGGGCAAAAAATGACCCATCGCCGTTTTCAGTAATTGGCATATTTTCGGTATAAAAAGTCGTAATATGAAAATGAAAATAGGTGCAGAGAGTCAAAATTCGGCTCAAAAATCACGCTCAGGAGTCAAATTTCTGACATTTCAGATATTTTGAAAACTGCAGGGGGGTTTGGGCAAAATATGACCCATCTCCGTTTTCAGTTATTGGCATATTTTCGGTATAAAAAGGTCGTAATTTGAAAATGAAAGTAGGTGCAGAGAGTCAAAATTCGGCTAAAAAATCACGCTCAGGAGTCAAATTTTCGACATTTCAGATATTTTGAAAACTGCAGGGGGGTTTGGGCAAAAAATGACCCTTCGCCGTTTTCAGTAATTGGCATATTTTCGGTATAAAAAGTCGTAATTTGAAAATGAAAATAGGTGCCGAGAGTCAGAATTCGTCTCAAAAATCACGCTCAGGAGTTAAATTTCCGACATTTTAGATATTTTGAAAACTGCAGGGGGGTTTGGGCAAAAAATGACCCATCGCCGTTTTCAGTTATTGGCATATTTTCGGTATACAAAATCGTAATTTGAAAATTAAAGTAGGTGCAGAGAGTCAGAATTCGGCTCGAAAATCATGCTCAGGATTCAAAATTCGGACATTTCAGATATTTTGAAAACTGCAGGGGGGTTTGGGCAAAATATGACCCATCGCCGCATTCAGTAATTGGCATATTTTCGGTATAAAAAGTCGTAATTTGAAAATGAAAATAGGTGCAGAGAGTCAGAATTCGGCTCAAAAATCACGCTCAGGAGTCAAATTTCTGACATTTCAGATATTTTGAAAACTGCAGGGGGGTTTGGGCAAAATATGACCCATCGCCGTTTTCAGTTATTAGCATATTTTCAGTATACAAAATCGTAATTTGAAAATTAAAGTAGGTGCAGAGAGTCAGAATTCGGCTCAAAAATCACTCTCATGAATCAAATTTCCGACATTTCTGATATTTTGAAAACTGCAGGGGGGTTTGGGTAAAATATGACTCATATCCGTTTTCAGTAATTGGCATATTTTTGGTATAAAAAGTCGTAATTTGAAAATGAAAATAGGTGCAGAGGGTCCGAATTTGGCTCAAAAATCACGCTCAGAAGTCAAATTTCCGACATTTCAGATATTTTGAAAACTGCAGGGGGGTTTGGGCAAAATATGACCCATCTCCGTTTTCAGTAATTGGCATATTTTCGGTATAAAAAGGTCGTAATTTGAAAGTGAAAATAGGTGCAGAGAGTCAAAATTCGGCTCAAAAATCACGCTCAGGAGTCAAATTTCCGACATTTCAGATATTTTGAAAATGTGATGTGTTTTTAATAACATGACACTTTGTTAGTAATTGTTTTTATTGGTAGGCCCAGATATATAGTACAAGATTTCTAACCACTTTTTCATTAAACTGGAAACATATTTAAGATGTTGCAAATGCTGTTATCTATAATATACAACATATATATATTGACCACTATCATAAAGTATTTTTAAAAAGTTTTAACACATTTATACATTTGGCACAATCTGATATTTACCTTAAATATTTAATATAAAAATTCTACATATTCAACGTAAAAATATTGAAAATAAAGTAAAAAAATATATATTTATGGAGAAATTAATAAATAAATCTAAAAAAAAATCAGTTTTGTCTACAATAATGGTATTACCAGAGAATGGTAACTGAACGTACAAATTAAATAACTAGTTGTTGGTGCTCACTAACAACCTTAGCTTGCTCTCAGGATACTGTATGCAAAGCCTTTTGAAGGCATTTGATTTGGCACCTTATCAATTACAGTACTCGATACTCTTATTACTTAGAAGAGTACATAATTTTTTCCATGCAATAAAACATTACCTGGTTAAAATATTTGGTTAGCAATGTATGACATTTACATTCACCCTTTTTAAGACAAATAAGACTGAATGTAAGAGCAATTGTGCTGAATTATATTTGGATTATAACAACAAAGGAACATGTGGAAATGAGTAAAATAGTTGTGCAATGACATTTGCTCACAAAAGAATCTTGTAATATTATGTGGCAAAACTCCAGTTAGTAATAATAAATGTTGACCGACAATTTTTGCGGCAACATGATCAAATAGCGGAAAATACTGGACACGCCCATCAAAATATTTTACAAATACACACATTATACAACACCTGGAAGTTGACACTTTTTGAGTACCACATAAACAGGACAAAAATGACTTGTTACTGACCCCATTGTACACAGTTAATACTGGTATAACTCTTACAGCTAGAACAATAGTGTGGGCTTTACTGAAGATGGCCTTTTGTCTGTTACAGCTTTAAATAAAATTTATGAAAATCTGATTAAATATTTAAATACAAAATACCCTCATCAATAAACTCTCCACTATTGTGCTCCAAAAAATCAATTTAGACTATTTAAAGGTTACATAATAAGACACAAAAGAATACCGTAAATATAAATTGTAAAGGGTTTGCATAATTGCAATACAGTATAATATCTTTGGTCAAATGATGTCTACAGTCTTTCTAGAATGTACTGACATCACACAAACAAAAAATATCTAGTATACCTATAAGAACATTTGCGAGATACTTTTCTCATTACAAGATAAATATAAACTTATATTTAATGTCGGGGCAAATAGGATGCTTAGAGCTTGTCCAAAACCTGAAGGAACTTATGATATCAAACCCTAATCTCCTATTCGATAAATTATTTATAGGAGGAATTTCTAGTGATAAATTACAAAATATATCTTGTGAGAATTCATAACAAACATTAGAGCCACTCAGGATAGTACGTGTTCAACTCGTGTACCTGGTGATCAAAGCATGTTAATACACCAGCTTAAAAAAAAAAAACGAGTTGCAATGTTTTTCCATAAAATACAGTACCATACAATCATCATCTAAATATTAGAACATCACTTACTTGTACTCATTAATGGTACAATACCTGATTGGCTGACCTGTTCAAAACATTGTTTGGCTAAGTTCACACGTGTATAAACTTCAAATTCGTCAAAATCCATAACAGAAATAAATTAAATATACCATAATATATTAAACATTTCAACTTCCAATTCACAAGAGTTGCAAACAGGGTGCTGATATTGCATGTATACAAGGCATTTCAAGACAAGTCAAAGGACATGCTTCATATTAGATGTTGAGATGTAAGTCTCGTCCTAATCACACACACTCAGACCTTGACAGAGCTCTCTCAGGAGAGTGCAAAAGACCTGGTGTAAATTTCTTACATAAAATTCACAAATACACAAATTTCTTTTTTTTCTCTATGCTTTATAAATGTTGAATATCTTTCAACTTGTTTTAATTGTTCTTGCATTTACATTAATACAGTAAATTTAAGCGGAAACAAAAGTCAATACACCAGAAAGCCAGTTGCAACATAAGGACTCTTATTTCAGATGCATGATCATTAAATTCAATTGCAACTGTAGATAATGGAAGACATCTGGTGGGGTGAGTTTGTGCAATAACTAGACTGGAATTCAATGGCAGAAAAACTGAAATAAATTGAACAAAATATTTTTAAATGCACACTCCCCCTTCTTCCCCTACAAAAGTGATTCTGGTATCAAAATGTGTGCAATGTAAAACCCATAGTAATGCTAGGCAAGAAATAGCAAAAATCACCATACTGTACTTCAATTGCAACAAAACTTCTGATCTGTGCGGAGAAGGGAGTGTAGGGTTGTGACAAATTTGTCCGTTCAAGTGGGAATACTGTACCACACATTTCAGAAGGGATGGCAAGTTACTCAGATAATGTCTAGATACAAGCTGGATAACTGCATTGAATACGTTAAATTAGAATTGGTGAATGGGACAACGACAGCCATCATTAATTATGTTACATTTGGCACCATTGTAACTTCTAACATGCAAATGAGCTGTGGGACTGTCTGTTATGATTTATAAGACATGACAGGAACGTGTCATATTCCCAACACATCTGTAAACTGTATACAATGTCTGAGAAGAATACATTCACATGGAAGCAATAATAAAAATACTAACAAATTAATCAACTGATGAAAGTGGTCCTAAATTATTTTCAGTTATTTATATATTTTATCTTTAGGTCATTTTAAAGCAGGTAAAATAAATGTTAGCTAAAAATGGATGCAGCACACTATAGTGAAATGTAAACAACAACTACTCTGTAATGAAAGTGAATGATTTTGAAATCAAATAATGTATATGGCTTTTGTATATTAAAATTAATGTACAAAAGCACATGAATCATAAATATGTGTACTAAATTTATATAATAACTAAACGTATAGCAAAGTATAAAAGATAATCCAATAGCAAATTCCTGAACAATTCAGACCCTTGCTCCAGTAACATCAGTCTCCAAGTCTGGCTTGATATATTCACAGGAAGCAACTGTCCCCTCGTACAGCAGGCCCAGGTCTAGGTCTGTCAAGTTAGCTGAAATCAAAACATTCAAGAACACAACATTAACATTATCTACACGATTTGTTGACTTAAGTATAAATGTTTACAAAGACACCAACATGTGCAGGACAGTAGTCTCTGACTTTCACTCACTTTTCTTTACCAAAATAGATGCTACAACTCTTTCAGTAGCCTATAAAATACACATGCGGAACATTATTTATCAAAGATTATATATTCTTACTAATTAATTAATGCAACCATATTTACAAGGCTTTGCATATTTCAAATAATTAATGAAAACCGAGTGGCTTTGTATAGCTCTAAATGCCTAGGGATAGTCACCAAGTATACTGTATACAGTATAATATAATATTCAGCAAATGTAATATAATATTCATCACTATAAAAGATGCTTAAAAATTAGTTGTTATGATCTAATAATTTATACAAATTTTGTGATACAATTGATATGATAAGTACTCACCTTTTGCTGTTAACAAATCCAAAAATGTATCAAATGGAGAGAGGCGGTCAGTTGTTGGAAATGCAGTTATACCTGTGGCAGGAGAAGTGCCATCACTAACAATGCAAAGCCATTGCCCATCTAGTTTTTTTTTTTTTTTTAGGTTTATATCACAGAAAATTGAAATTAATTTTCATTATTTCATTCATGTTACAAATCCAACTGAAAGCAGAAGTAACAGAAGTATACCTGACTGCTGTATGACACCTGGCAGGCTAGGTGACAGCCTGTCACCTTATAAAATGTAATATTACAATCCCATAGGCCTAACTTTCTATCAATAAAATGTAATATTATGGGCCCCCACTACCTAAGAGTTCAAAATTAGTATGTTAATTATTATGTTGCTTTATAAACATAATTCTAAATATAATAGGTATTTTTTATTTGTGTTAATGAACCCACATTAGCCAGAGAAGTATAACAATATTTCTGTGTCAGGAGTTTACCGATCACAAACTAATTGCAATACCTTTTTTCTGAAGATGTTGAGCATTAATTCTGGCCGACTGTGTTGGTGTCCGTGGCTGTCCTGGTCCCTCGCCAGCAAGAATGGAACCCGCATGCAGCCTTGACCTCAGAATCAAGGACATTGGGTGTTGCCAGAACTGCAGTGCTCGGAGGCTTCTAACAACTGGCACTGAAGATATTATTTCTAGCTTTCTCTCTACATTTTGTGGGGTATCATCCAGATCTGTAAAGAAATGCATAACAATGAACCTACAGTGATTGGATCTAATAATACTATACATTTATTACTATAACAAAATTTGTTAATGTTTTATCACAAAATTTCACATCAAAATGCATCAAAAAGTTAAATATAGGAATCAATCAAGCAGCATAAACTATAGACAATGACGACTACTACTTTATTAAGATATGAGCTAAATAAAATGTTGTTCTCACCGTAAATAATTTCCCTTAAAACATCCACATTAAGCTGAAGAACTCCACGTCGTACATACTGCATAAACACAAAGTGTGGCAGACAACGGTGTGCTAAGTAAGCCAAAAAGGAATTGTATCCTTGAGGCAGAGGATATGCTACAGCTTCAGTAGCTGAGTGGTATCGCTCTAGTAATGTAAACAGTCGGGTGGCAACACCATCATCCAACTGCTCTCTGTAATGATACATAAATTCCTGTAATTCTGCTTTACACATTCATTCATTAATGATATAAAAAAAACATGATTTAGAAATGAGGTAATTATTCTAATTATTATATCACTCACTGAAGAATTATATTGCATGAAAATGAGAACAATTTGTTTATAAGTACAGTAGTGGTATATAACATAAGTCAGATGTAATTTACTAAGGTACTATTAATTAGGAAATGTTAACAAGCACAGGGCCAACTGGGAGATACTGTGTTTGTCAGACTTTTCTGGAAACAATCAGGTTTTTTTCTGGCTAATTCCCAGAGCCTTGTGAAAGGTGTAAATTCTCTTTACAGACAACCAGAACAATCTTAAAATGCAATCCAACATCAAATTTATATTTGTTTTGTAAATTCTTTGTTATTATTTTCAGTTGCTAAAATAAAGTTTGGCTAAGTACAGGACACAAGATTATTAAATTTCATTATGAGCCTCATAAAGGAAAATTGCACTAATTCAAAGAGGATTAACAACATACATGAAACCTTTGATACTTGATATAAAGGTCATAACTAAACTGCATGCACTACCCTAACAGACCCTGGGAAGTAACATGGACTATTTCTAACAGAAAATGAGAAGGTGTGTGTCAAAACAAATCTAATCTTTCTTAGACAACTTACATGAATGTAAACCCTTTTTCACTCTTCTCTGCAGGAACGAGAGTCTGAGAAGAACACAGGATGGAGCATAAACGACGAGACACCTGACGGGTAAAAACATATTATTGTTACATTAAATAATTAAATAAGCTAAATATTCTCCAATTATTCTCAGATGCTGTTTATGAAAGGACACAAGATATACCTGCACATGAAGGGTTTTAACACCCCTGTACGGTAATAACATCCGAAACTTCTGCATAGCCAGAATACACAAAAATTTTCCTGGATTAAAAATAGAGCCATGAAATGAAAAGCCCTTTTCAAAGCTTCACTTTGGTAGCTTTCCCTCACCTTCGCTATGAACCACCAGAATAAGATGAAGATGCCAGGCTTTTGGTAACCATTCCTGCCCACTGTCTTCTGATATCAGACAGGGAACACAATGGAGAGCAAGCCTTGATCCATTATGACACACAAATGTTGCATGGCACAAACTCCCTCTGAAATGCTTCTTGTCAGCAATCACCTGCCAAGATACATTCTGAACTACCAAAGCACTGTACCTATTAACCAACAACTATGGCTACCACTAGGTGACAGCCCTATCGTCAAACGCTTTGGGAAGTAGCAACAACATTTGGATCCTAGCCCACTCCTACTAACTAGGAGAAGGAGGGAAACAAACAGTAGGACAGAGAGCTACCAAAGTGCCACTCAAAATGGGGGATTTTATTACCTTCATTGCTCTATTTCTCATCTAGACCAAATAGGTATCTTCTCTTTGCTACCTCCAAATGGTGCTCTATGATTCCCATTATCGAAACTAAACTTTCTGTTTATAAGAAGTTTAATGGTAGATAAGGAAAGATCATTATTTTCTTAAAAGAAAAACAATAAAAGAAACAAATATGAATTGTTAAGCCCCGAAACTAAATCTATAGTGGATGTGCAGCTACAGTACACTGTAATTACAAAGTCAAAGTGTTAAATTAGACTAAATATATAACACAAGTGTTAATTATGACCACTTTTCCCATTAGCATTTTACAGATTTAGAGTTTGTTTCTGGAAATGACTATAACTTACCTGTAGTTGTGTGCAGACATATTTGCTGGCCACTGCGTGCACTCTCATTGGGGACTCATGGGGAAAGTGCTTCAGGCAGTACATACTCAACTCCCTCAAGTTCTGTCAAAACAAAAACATAAAATTAGGCAAGCTAATAATTTACACTTATTTGGAAAATTTGGCAGTAAATAAGTGACATAAAAATCTTGTAGAATATCACAGTAATGGAGTACATATATATGAAGATGTACACTGGTATATCAGGTACATATATAGAATGTACAACCAGTTAGATTTACTGTATTGTAAATTATATATATATATACAATATATACAGTATACTGCATATACAGTAATAGCAAAATTCATGTGATGCATCACAAAACATGAATTTTCCTGTGGAGAAGACGAGTATTTTAACAGTTATTTATAAACACAACTCGTCTAGGTACTCACAACAGAGAGAAGGTGCTCCAACTTAGAGGATGTAGTGTTCTCAGCCTCGTTGAAGGGAAGTGGGTCAAACATGAGATGTGCAAGAGTTAGGCCTAGTGATGTGATTGTGAGACCTCCAACAAGTGGACTTGCTGGAGACACTGGAGTGCTGCCTTGAGACAACGCCTCAGGCTACCAAGGCAATAAAAGTTACAATATAATTTGTGTTATTAAGATGTCAAAAAGAACGATACATTTACTTCCAGAAAAGGTTGAACAACACACATTACAATTTCATCAAAATAATGACATCATTTACTGCAAGATTACAAGACTACAGAGTAACTATTTATTACACCAACCCATTGACTTGGACATGCACACAACTTGCACATCATTTAATTCTATAACATACCTATCAATTTATATATATCAACAAGCCTCACTTTCTGATCATTTAAATACAAATTTGATACAGACTAAACTAAATAATAATTCATTGTGTTAGGGGACATGCAGCCAGTGTATATGCATATGTTAGGTCTATATCGAGGACAGCCCCAGGGTCGAATTACTGACCCTCCACAGGATGCAACCCCACAAGCTGACTAACTCCTATGCCTGTTAGCTCATTAGTTAGATCATACTGCTAGGTGAAAAAGGCCCATTAGGTGATAGGAAATGCAGCCAACCATTTCTATCCCACTCAGGATTTGAACCCGGAATTCTCGACTACGAGTCGAGAATGAACCCAAACCAGGACCCTACTTGTATTTAACAGAGAAAAATAATTGAATTGAATAGTGCGAGGAGTTAGGCAATCACCTTGTATGTATCGAGTGAGACCATCAGCTTCTCCACCACATCTGAAAGGCTGAAGCGCTGGTGGTGCCTCTTGCTTGTATGTTCCCACAGCTTAGTCCACGTGTCTGAGAGTGAACGGACCACACGTTCACGAGGGGACAGCAGCATTATGCACGCATTTTCCAAAAGACAGTATGAAATCCGAACATTTTCATCAGCTGGGGATTCCTGCAAAAGTAGTTTAGAATTAGCATCTACTTACATAAAATGAGGTATTAATTGTACTTCAAATGTTACTTATGCATTGTTCACAAACATAAAAGTATATTGCAAAATTAAATAATAATATTTAGAAAATAATGGATGCATGTACAAATGGAAGTTTCACTGTTGATATATCAAGATGATGACAGGGAAAATCTTACTATATATTCAGTATCGGTGGTGAATGGAGCAGTAGTGATCGGGAGGAGGGAGATGAGGTGTCCAGCATCTGAATCAATGTGTTTGTGGACAGCTGCATATGTTTCTCCCACCAGGTACTCTTGAAGCAGTGCTGGTGTATCAAGGTTGTATGGATCTTCACACACACTCCACATTAACTAGAAATAAAATTGTGGGAAATCATTAGAATATACTTTGTAATGAAATCATTCAAATATTTTCAATATGCAAAATAACATCAGCAAAAGCTAAAGATTCTTCTAACCACCTATAGTTAAAAGAACATATACATCAATATCTTTCACTGTGGTTATTCTGCACATGTTATTAACATCATGAGGTAAATGATGTTAAACCAATTATGTTAGTCAACAACCTGAATCCAAAACCATAATTACTGAATTACAATAAACACGTACCCTACTACTGAAATAAGAAACAGGAAGCATTGCACTTTATACACACTTAAAATCTGATTACAACAATCTGATCCTGATTACAAGGTATGAGTATATTTATAGTTTCATAATAGAAGGATCTAAGTTAATCATATACAGTCAGAGTAGTTAACAGATGGAATGCATTAGACAGTGAAGTGGTGGAGGCAGATTTCATATACAATTTCAAATTTAGATATGACAGAGCCCAGTAGGTTCAGGAATCTGTACACCAAATGATTGACTTTATAATTTGTATACTTATAATACGTGCAAATAGACTATATGCAGGAATGGCTATATTGCATGTGCCAAGAACTATACTGACAACAATTCAATCTATTACTATTAATCAGCAGGAGTAATTGCATTTAATCATGCATGTGAAAACATGGCTTTGCCAAGAAGCAAAGTGTAATAGCAGCCATGTTCAAGGAACACATGACAGGGCTACAACGAACCTCCTCCATATTATTGCATCTCTTGCTACTGCCGTAACTACCATATCTTTCTCGCACCAGGAAGAGCTTTTTTACAGAATGTGTAACATTATACAGACTTATGTCCCCCAGCCTGTACTCCTAAGGTTTCCCAATGTCAAGAACATATCGTAATAAAGTCTGCTCTCCTAACCTACCAGAGGACCCAAAACAGAAAACGGGACAGTATGTCAATTTTGTGAGCCACTACCATTTTCTAATACGACAATTTTTGGTCTTAGGTAGAATATACATCAAAATGCGACATTCTACTAGGAGGACAGGTTGATGTCCCACCAGGTATTCATGCAGTATCATATGGTAGTCAGGTTTCTTGGGACCTTCAACAATGCCCCATAGCAACTAATGATACCTCACAATGCACACAGGCAAAATTAACATGATTATATCCTTTATTTTCAGTCAAGATTATATCCTTTATTTTCAGTCAAGAATACAGTTCAAATAATTAAAACCAATTGTAAATTAGTGTACATGCAGGAACAAAGTATAATGACTTATTCAATGACATTCCAAAATTTAATATTGTCAAACGAATTTTGCTTAGGTAATTAAATGACTAAAATTACAGGTCTGTATAATAAATTCTAAATGGAAACTGATAACAAATTTTAGTAGTTTTAATTAAGTTATACCAGCATTAAAAAATATTTGATGTTGATTTTTAAATAGATAATGTCAAGATTAAACATACACTTTGTACATACAAAATAATCATGATAGCCACAATTAGGCTGGTTATATCATTAAACAAATTACTAACATCAATAAGAAATTTCAATCTGGTCTACCTTTCGTGAAAGGTCATGATCTTTATCATGGATTGCTGCCAAGTGCAGTATTGCCAGACGTGTGCTCAGGGTAGAAGAGCTCTTGAAGAGTGAAAACAGAGATTCTTTAGTCACTCGAACTTCCACCGTCATCTGGTTTACTCCATCCACAAATGTTATGCAGCGACCCGAGATGACTTTGCCTCCGCATATCTAGAAGGGTGATAAACAATTTACAAAATATCCAGAAGCATATTAATAAAAATTAAAAGCCAAAGGCTAACTTCCTTAAAATTAATCAGATCATATCTGCAATTATTTGTTTTGATTTGATTTGCCATAGTAGACAGGAAGCCTTTTAGGCTTATCGAGGTCCCTCTAGGCTAAAATAAAAAAACTTACTTTTCCCAGGATACAACCCATGACACTTGACTAATTCCCAGGTACTGCACCTATTTACTTCTAGGTAAACAGAGGAATCAGGTAAAAGGAAACATTATCCAAACCCTTCTGTTTACTGCAGGAATCAAACCTGGAACCTTTATTTGTGACCCAACTGCGCTTACCACTGCATTAGAGGTGACTAAAAAGTAAATTATTTGTCTAATGGAAATGTGGCACATATTTGCCTGAGAAAGGTACTGTATGTCCATTTGTTGCAGCTGTCTTGTTTTGCCTCTGTAACTTATCTTTCCTTCATGTGAAGGAAGCTTGAACAGTACAGTCACCCAAACTTGGCAAATAATACATACTGTCCTATGAATGGAAATAACCTTGAATCTAACAAGGAGAATGCAGGTGTTGGCCCTTAGTCACAAGGCTTAGTTGGGTACCTCCTCCGCCTGCACCAAGCACTGTTTTACATATCTGAAGGTGCTTCACTATACAGTACAGTACTTGCTAACCATTTAGATGCAAGCTTGCAACACACAGCTATAGATACAGGATCACACATATGAAAATTGCATCCCACTCCCAAGTTCTAGAGACAATTGAGCATTATTTCCACCACTGTTTCAGACAACACAGTGGCAGAATCCATTTCAAACATGAATCCATTACCCTCAATGTATCTTTCAACACTGAATGTATATCAAGAGAGATCTTCCACACATAAAAAACATAGTCAAATCACTTACTAAATATCTCCAACCCACCATAAACTTGGCTATTTCTAAATAACTCATGCAACTGAAATTCACCAACTACCAGCCATAAAAACCAAACATTGCAAGAAGAGCAACATAAGTGATCATCCAATACCATCAACACAACATCCATCTCTCACTGCTAAGTTCTAAACTCATCTTTAAGAAACAAGAGTTAAGCCTTGCTTCAATGGCAACAGGGATGCTCCACTCGTTCAGTCACTGGAAGGAGTATACCTTCATGGAAACTGAACATATCAAGAAGAAGATCCACAGTAAAAAACAAATAATATCCTTCAACTTGACTAAGGCTGACCTATAGGGTACATCCCCACACACAATGATGAGGTAGTAACAGATTGTACCTAATGCAAAATGGGTACAATCACCTAACTCCCTGTCAGCAGTTTGAGGCAGTACAAGCTCACAGAGTGAAAATCTGCTGGTTACTGTACTGAATACTGTACCAACCTGGAAAATAATCAAGGCAACACTCTTAAAGACCCGAACACAAACAAGCTTTGAATATAAGATTTGATGCTGAATAGTAAAACAGATTAAACTCTCTGAAAATCCAGCTCCTGCATGCCGGACGTACGTCAGTAAGGCAGTACAGTACAAGCGAGAGTCTGGTGGTAAGGTGCTGCCACCTTGCAACTGACAAAAGTGATATACTGGCAGTCATCTGCAATGTTATGGAAGAGTTCTGGTGAGCTTTAGTATTGGCTAAGGTGCTACCAATTGATGACTGAACTAAGATCTTCTCTAGTACCTCCCTTGCACTTGAACGACTTGAAAGTGAAAGTTAGACTTAATGTTTACTTACAAAATGAGTGCTTTTCCAATTTCTTCAGATTCTTGGGAAATATCAATTACAAAACCAACCTGATACAGCTGAGCATTGGGCAGGAGCTGTGGTGGAGGCGTTGTAACAATATGGTTGTTTGGCATATGGTCCAATCCAATATCCAGCATGTGCATGCAGACCCCAGGTACAATCACAAGAAGGTAGTGGTCTGCAAAACAAAACAACAACTCTCAAACTAGATACACACAGATCTGTACTTGATGATGTACACAACAAGTCCAACAGATATTTGAACTTGAAAATTCATGCATAGAACTATATCAGCAGTCAAGAAAAGCCTATCTTGTAATAGTAATATTGAAGTGGGTAAATATTTACAATACTTGGTATAATACATTTTCTTGCATTTTCTTTTCTAAGTGTTTAACATTAACCAAGGAAAAAATTGATTTAGTCATACCTTGGTAATTCTTCAGTCCTTGTACAAGGAAACAAAAATAGTATTAAAGTACTGCATCTATTTCTTGTAGAGGAAAACATTTTTCCACACGTACAGTACAACTGTACCAAATTGTGGTTTAATCAATTTCTATCAAATGGACACCTTTCTATGTATTCAATGTATGGGACACCTTTCTATGTATTCAACATTCAGATGATCCCAGATTCATCATGATTACTTATTTCACAGTTTTAGATGGTTAAGATTATAGCAGGATTGCTCTGAGCATTTGTTGAAGAGGTCTGTATATGTCTAATTTCAACCTAAGTGAAAAACAGAGCAATGAATATAATGAATCCTTTTGGGTGGCACCTCTGTAGCTTCTTTAAGCTTATGGAACTGGCTTACTACATACACCAGGTTTCCATGACTTCTCTTTACCTGCTGGTGAGAAGGAACTTTGCAAACATATTTATATTAATCACAAGCAGGTATCCAAACAAGCTAAAACTGATAGTTATCCAGGGAGCTTCCTTGGTCACTTGCGACATCAAGAGAGGGTTTGAAGGGCTTTTAGTTAATACAGGCATCACTGACTTTCATTCAGCTATGAATGGAAGACAGTGATACTTTTATAAACGGTGTTGAATGCTCTTCAGTAGCTGCCTAGCACCTTCATGATCTGATCTGATCCTGCAGGAACAGCTTGAAAAGTTCCATCTGGCAACAGTGCAGTATGTTGTCTTCACTGACTTTGTATGATCCTGTCTTATGGATATAGTGGATCTTGCCTTAGGGAGCAGCAGATTGAGATAGTTCAGAATAATAGTTATTACCAATAATGTACTGCATATTCAATAATAAGTTTGTTGATACAAAATACAAAACTGCTTACCACCAAAGAGAGAGTATGTGGGGAGGGCCGAGTGTGCATGTCCCCAGGGAACACCGGGAACAACTGTGTGAAGGACGCACCCATGGTGGAGGAGCGTCACGGAGTATGCCAAATATACCGCACAGCTCTCAGGATCAGCAGGAGTTTCTGCTAATCTCGACTGTAAATTATAATTAATGTTGATGCAGTGAGACCCATTACTTGAAGACGTAAAATATTGTAATTGATTTGAGTTATGAAAAACTGAAAAACTAAAAAGAATTTACACAACATTTTAACCATAAGCTATTTAAACAGCTTCTGGGGTGTATTTACCTCATTATACAGGCATTTAACAGTGACAACAGAAGAATCATTAAGCAATTATCATAAATTCCAATTATCCATTTGCATTTAGGTAACATAGCTTACCTTATAGATGTAATGGTGACAGATGCAGACAGCACCTGAGGGAGAGGTCACAACACGCAGGTCAAGCCAAGCATCTCCTGCAGTGTGCAGCAAACCTTGATCTCGGTAATCACCGCTCAAGTCCAGAGGGGAATGTTCCAGGCCCGACAGTTCCAGGGGAACATTTAACTGCACAAAAGAGGAAGCTTGTGTTGGACAAGAAGAAAACTTATACTACTGTATACAATATAGATAATATAAAACTGATTAATAATCAACAGTCAAACCAGATATGTTCATATCCTGTTCTACTACTTTATTATGCTACTTACACCTGTCCATCAATAAATATATATATTTCATTAAAATCACTGCAATGTATATACTGCAATGAGTATGCACCATAAAAGAATCTTAAATATAGCCAATTAATAAATATTACTGTATGAGAAATTGTTTTTCTATCTTTGATGAATCAATCTTATTGATGACTGGCTTAGTTGTGATGACAAAAGTCAACAAATTAGACACTAATGAATCTTTGAATGAAATGGTGGGTCAATCCAACTGTTGGTTACATCACAAGTACTTCAGATATTTTAGTTCCAATACTTTACTTAAATGACATCCTTACTTATTGCCACCTACCACTGTTTCGTGAGGTTTATTAGGATGAAACTGTAAGGCTGTGAGCATAGGTCGAGGACGTAGGGCATCTTCCTCTGCTTCACCTAGTTCATCAAAAGGAATATTAGATCACATGAATACAGTATAAAGTTAATTATGTATAACCTTCTGAAAATGCTAATTTCTGTATTATTACTCAATTAGGTAATAATTGAGTAATAATACAATTGTACTATTACTCACCTGACCCCAGGGTTAAGCCAGCTTCAGGGGGAGGACGGTAGTGTAGATAATATAAGTGCTTATGATGAGGTTCCCACTGAGCCCACACAAATGATCGCACCACTGACTCCGTCAGAGGTTGGTCATCAACAATCCATGATGATCCATCCTTCAGACTTAGTGGAAATGAGTAGATGGCAATGGCTAAAAAAGAATAATTTCTTATATAAATCTTTCAGCTTGAATGAGAATAATTAATAGAAAACAGATTATTAATAAAGAATACTTAATGACTAAAAATGCTTTCTCTGAACAAAACAAAATACTATATACTGTTTGTGGTGAGTTATCATACAAATATTACACTATTGCATAAATAATATATTTGTGTGTAACAATAAAGATGGCAGCTACATTGCATTATATATATTACTGCAATGTGTAATAATGACACTGATAAGATATATTAAATAGATAATAATATTCCAATAGTGGGTAATACTGTAGTTAAGTTTATAGATAAAGTAATAGAAGTGGGATACACAAGTCCTTCGAAAAGACGAAAGATGTATTCTGTGAAGATCTCATACGGAATGAAATAACACATATCAAACTTAAGATTAGTCTATACAATATGGGAAAAATAGGGTTGTGTTTCAGAAACCTTCAATGGTCTATTTTTTTCAGTTCTCTCTCAATACAACACGTATTTAAACATTACCATTACTGTAAGTACTTCTGCCATATTTCACACATTACCATTACTCTCTAAATACATGTTGTATATTTTATATGAAGTGCTTTTAGTTGTCTTTCATCACTTACATTCCCGGTGGACGAAAACAAGAAGCTTAGCAATCCAGCTATCGTCTAAGGGTTTTCCACCTTCTGTGTGAAGAAATTCAAGCTGGAAAAATACGAAACCCTTTAAGAATCTCTGAGATATAATATACATACAAATATAGTTGTAATGCCCTTTATATATTTTTAAAATAAAGACAATAACTAAATGAAAAACAAAGCATTGATAAAAAAGAAACGACCATTTCTGAGTGATACCTAAATGGCTCCCCAAGCCTTGAACACTGGCTTCAAGAGGACGGACACTACACGCCCCACCACAGAAAGTACACGTAAATGTAAAATTTTGCTGAACATTTTCTAGAGATTAAATAAATTAATTACTTGTAGATTATGTGGAACAATATAGATATAAACATGACAAAAACTACCAAATTACTGATGCAATAAAATCTCTTATGAACAGAAGATATAAAGTGCAAAATAGGACAGAGTGAGTGGAGCAGACAAGGACCGAGTGAGAGGAGCAGACAAGGACCGAGTGAGAGAAGCAGACAAGGAATGAGTGAGAGGAAAGGAGAAGGATACAAAGAGGTAGGAAGTACAATTATGTCAACATATAAATAATTGTATTTCAGCAATTATTTACTTACAAGTATCTGTCGAGAGCAATCAATGTTCAGGGAAAATACGCCCCCTTGAGGTGCAATTTCGGCCACATATGCAGAATATTTATTTCCTTCACCAAGACTGCGGCGAGTCACAAAGCCTGTAATTTGATACATGATCAGCCACAAATACTCATATAATTACCTCAAATGAAAACTTAAAAACTAATTTAAAATAATTATATAATTTAAGATTAACAAATTAAATACATGAAAATATTTGTCTGCAAATTAAGGATCATTTATACCTTTAAGATAATAAAACTTAGAAAGTTTTTAGTTTGAGTGAATGTAGTTTAAAAAATCCAACTCTATTGAATATCAAAGTATGCAATGCAAATTTTATATGGTGTATGTAACACAAACTATAAAACTTTCTCATTCTCATTCTACTGTATTTACATAAATCATAAAATATTAATTCATATAATAAAAATTTCAATACAGAACCTCAATCTTCAAGTATAAAATTTTAAATAGGATTTCCAATTTGATTTTTTTTTAATTTTGCCATATAAAATTAACATTTATCAGTAAACAAATATTGGTATAGCTTGTATGAGAACATTTCTATTATAGGAGAAAGCATGCTGACCAAAATACCTGCACAGTTCAGAGATTGGTAAGTTGGGCATAATAAAGAAAAATAAAATAAAAGAGCCTTTAACAGGGAACTAAAATATGATAATACTGTATACCCCTAACTTAATAATAAGGAAACAGGGTAACAAAGAAAGTGGATAAATGGAGGTCTCTTACAGTACTCCATAAATTAAGTAAAATTGAAACATAATAAAGTGACATATTATCCAAAGAAAGAAAAAACAAAAGGACACAGACACAAAGGAGGCCAAAAACAAGCTTCTCCGGAAGACAAGATAGTGTTGCCAACATCTTGGTTACTGAAGGCATATATGTTTCCTCAAGCTACTTTCCAAACAACTGAAAGCAAAATATAAAGCAATATGACTTTAGGTATTAACAAGCCCATTACTGTTTCAGTATCAGGATGATGAAGACTCCAATGCTTAGACTAAAGCTAGGTCATTAACTTGTTCTAAACTGAATACAGTATAAACCTTAATAAATGTTGTGCTATTAAATACATATCAGTTCAGTACTATACTTTGTGTGTTCCTAATTATATACAGTACAATACTTCTTTCCTATGTAGTGTAATAAATTTTGGTAAATTATTCATATTTAAAAACAACCAATGCTGACCGTATAAATTACTCAAGAACTTTGTTATTTTATGCACAGTAGGGATGCTTTCCAGTAAGAAATTGCTTGAGTCGGCAACAATATAAACATAACAAAAAGCAGAGCACTAGACAAAACTACACAAGAAACATAGCTACACACAGGCAACATGAGAAGGTTGGTTGCAAGATACTGAGAGTTACCTAGCAGAGTCCTGGAAGCATTGACAGAGGCTTGGACCACAGGCACAACCTTATCAAATGTATATAAGACCTGTTATGGAGAAAGAAAAACAAAAGTTCCATGCTGTTACCAGAGAAGTAGTACAGAGAAGAGGTCACTGTCATTGTTTTGAAAAACCTGAACCCCACAGCTCTACTAATGCTACTGTACTGTATTAATATTTTTGTCTAATTGTATTATATAATACTTTCTGTCAATAAAAGCCAGTACATGCATAATCTCCATCAAACAAGGGTTAGGCTACTTATCATCTACTATATTCTGTACTGGAGCATACCTGGAGAGGGTTTCAGGAGTTCTTTTACTCCCCGAGCCCGGCCTGAGGCCAGACTGTGGTCAACTCTAGAGTAGAACTCAAAACTTTTGACAAAATCTTGGGAGTGATTGTTTTGGTAACTTAATAATGCAATAGTCGTCAACTAATGAACAATACAGCACTTATAACTGTCCAGAGTATCTTAATAATGACCAGGTTATTCTGTTAATTTAATCTACCACAGTATTGTAAGCACTGACTACAAATCTTAATATAATTACAACAGTAGATTAGTGTTATCCATGCAATACTTGTTTATGGAAATTAAATCTCCATGACACCAGCAATTTGCTTAACTTTTATCACTGTTTCATTAATCTCAGCATCCCTTCTTCCATCCTGATTAGTCCTTTAGCTGTGAATAGCAGTTCCAGTCACAGAATGAAACTAGATGTTCAGGGTTTTCTTTCTGGGTGCCAAAATGAATTATTAACAAGTTACAGTATTATGTTTAGCCGTCAAAATTGGTGCCTGGACCTGGTAAGTGATACCTTGTGAAAGTGACAATAAAAAGTCACTCCAAGTGGTATACTGTACGTCCATAAGACCTCAATAAGACCTAAGGAATATTATGGTTTTTATATATTGGCTAGCTGTGTAAAAGTATTTGACACTGTTCTTCCATTCAAAATGACTTTAATGACTGTACTATCCAAATATTAATATAAATTATATGCATAATGATAGTGTTGTTAATTACCGTAGTCTGCCATATGATGCAAAACCTAAACAGAATAGTACCATTAATGATACAATTAGGAATGTGAGTAAAATCAGAGAAAATTATTGAACTAACCTGTGCAGAGTGTAAGTCAGGAGTAGCAATAGCAACCTGTGTTGCAAAGGCGAGAGAGCTTGTTGCACCCTCAATTCCTCCATCCCCTCCCGAGCCATCAACAGGGGCTCTCACCAGCACCTCCTCCTCCCACCGGCACAGCAAAGACCCATCCTCACTCTCACCAATCCATTCAAAGTTGGAATCTGAAAATCATGAAAGTATAAAATTTAAAAAAATAAGGAACAAATTTAAAAACTACCACACGCACACACTAAACTTAAATTTTACCCCAATTTGTTTAAAAACTCCTTTGGCTTGTATAAGGATTGTTTTGAGTTTCAGTATTCTACTTCTCAGGAATGTTTAGAAGCTAGCCATCAAACTGAGTACTGTAATACTATTTTAGCAATTATTGTGCTGTGTAATAACCCACTATCTACTTTTATAGTGCCTGTATATCAATGCATATGTGTGAGCAACATATTGTTGAATTCAGCCTAATGACTACATAAATATTTAAGTGTTTTTGCAATATTTTGGGGTTAAATTTACATGTTAAGGTTTGGTGAGACAGTGGTCATTTATCATGAAAATACCAGACAGCACTATTCTAATAAAAAGAAATACACATAGTATAGGAATATACTGTGAAAATATCATCACCCAAAAGAATATTTTGATTATAGCAAACACTAGAAAGTATTATAGATGCTAGTATTTAATTGTTACTCCTCATCTATATTGGTAATAATATCCTTGATTAAATATGCTTTGTTTAATCATTCTTGGAATTTATAAATATGTATATTACCCATAGTGCAGAGAAGCCAAGAATATTAGTCACACTCTGTGAGGGTACGCTCAAATCTCACACAAATATTTAACATACTGTATTGTGACCTGTTTTCTCATGTTAAAAACAGTATATCATTGGGCTAGGGAGGCTTAGGTCTGGTTAGATTTAAAAAATTCACTGGTGTACTTTCTTAGCCTATGTACTGATTGACATGAATTCCTCCCTTGTACAGCCTAGCCACCATATATTTCAACAGTCTGTCTATAGCAGTATTATTCAAAAACATCCCAGGAGACAATCAGGATACATCAGAGTGATGTTACACACCTCGAACAAAGTACATATTAAAAACACAAATTTGTTATTTTCCTTGTTAGGATAGAATAGGTTTGGTCTGTAGAGTAGCAGTGGCATAGCTCCTCTCAGGGGCCTGTATAAGCCCTACTCATCTATTGTGGCACAGCACTATTTTGAAGAGATATTTATGTATTCCTTTGGGCCTAGCTGAAAATACACTCTAAGAGTAACATATAATATAATTTGATTCTCTAGCTTTGCATCCCAGTCATGGCCACTGTTGTGGGCATCTGGTATAAAATAATAAATTTGATGAATTGTTGCCCTATTTAAAGATCCTCGTTAATTACGACAAAGGAAACCAAGATAATTTAATAACCACATTGTACTTAGTGAGAGATTAACATGCTGCAACACCCAGTAGGAACAATGCTGCAACACCCAGTGGGAGCATGGCTGCAACACCCAGTTGGAGCATGGCTGCAACACCCAGTGGGAGCACTGATGCAACACCCAGTGGGAGCATGGCTGCAACACCCAGTGGGAGCATTGATGCAACACCCAGTGGGAGCATGGCTGCAACAACCAGTGGCAGCATTGATGCAACACCCAGTGGGAGCATTGATGCAACACCCAGTGGGAACAATGCTGCAACACCCAGTGGCAGCATTGATGCAACACCCAGTGGGAACAATGCTGCAACACCCAGTGGCAGCATTGATGCAACACTCAGTGGGAACAATGCTGCAACACCCAGTGGCAGCATTGATGCAACACCTAGTGGGAACAATGCTGCAACACCCAGTGGCAGCATTGATGCAACACCCAGTGGGAACAATGATGCAACACCCAGTGGGAGCATGGCTGCAACAACCAGTGGCAGCATTGATGCAACACCCAGTGGGAGCATTGATGCAACACCCAGTGGGAACAATGCTGCAACGCCCAGTGGGAACAATGCTGCAACACCCAGTGGCAGCATTGATGCAACACCCAGTGGGAACAATGCTGCAACACCCAGTGGCAGCATTGATGCAACACCCAGTGGGAACAATGCTGCAACACCCAGTGGCAGCATTGATGCAACACCCAGTGGGAACAATGCTGCAACACCCAGTGGCAGCATTGATGCAACACCCAGTGGGAACAATGATGCAACACCCAGTGGCAGCATTGATGCAACACCCAGTGGGAACAACGCTGCAACACCTAGTGGGAACAATGCTGCAACACCCAGTGGCAGCATTGATGCAACACCCAGTGGGAGCAACGCTGCCACATCTAGCATTATCAACACTTAAGTGTGCTCTAAGAGAACAAACAAAATTTAATCCATACACTGATTTTCCTCCAGGAATAATATGGGCTTGGCAGTGACGGCCGCCATGGCCGCGTCGTCTGTTTATTTACTGTGGTTGACAAGCGCGCAGCGGCCGGCGCAGTCCTCCCCCTCACCCACACCACGGAGCCAACACATATATATATTTTTGTTTTATTAAAGGGGTACCACCTCTGGTACAATTGTAGGGATCCATAGCCTTGAGGAAGAAAATAAAGATTATTCAGGGACGACCTTGTGGATTCTCACCGAACACTTTAATATTATCTTTTCCTACCATCCCTATTCTTTCTTTTATTAATAATTTTATTGCATTGTGTTGCTGTTTATAGAAAACATACACACACACACACTCACACACACACACACATATAACAATCACTGTTCGAAGACCTCATCAAGCTCTTCAGATGAGGGGGTGCGTGCCAAAGATGCAGCACGCAAAGATGCAATCCTCTCTGGATTGCAACACTGAGGCGCTGGAACAGGAAACTGACGACATATAGTTATTTAGTGACGTTGAGTGATGTGATGGACATAATCCGGGCTTCATAAGAACGACGGCCTCCAGCGTTAACACTATTCCTCTGAAAGCCCACAAACATGATTGAACATACAAAATACTTCATTGTGGCCAGTTTGTATTTATTGATTGATTGATTCAAGTTCAAGTTCAAGTATGTTTATTGAGACAAGAAAAAAATACATCTCAAAGGGATAGAGTAGCTTAGGCTATTTCTACCCCCCTCTACTTCAAGTCCCTCAAGGGGCGCACAAATTCAGTCAAGTTCAAGTATGTTTATTGAGACAAGAAAAAAATACATCTCAAAGGGATAGAGTAGCTTAGGCTATTTCTACCCCCCTCTACTTCAAGTCCCTCAAGGGGCGCACAAATTCAGTGAGTACAAATACAAGAATCCCATGTAACATATCAGGTTAATATAGTACTATCTAAGAGTATAATAGTGTACATCCACCGCACTAGATTTTAACCCATTAACGCTCCAAGATAATATTCTCACTCTACTTTCATCCATGATTTAATAAAACTACCTTTGCCCTGTCTGTCACATTCCATGAGATACGAGATTTTCTCAGACAGACTCTCCCAACACTGTAACATTTCTGCTTTCTCCTCATTTGCACAACAGCTACTAGCATCAAAGGTGATCTTATTCATATCTAATTTCTTTCTTATTTCTCTATACCGTTTTACTTTAACCTTTGTTTCAACATTTGTCACTACAGAAGGTTGAACGCTAACACTACTAGAAAGTTCATTTTCCTGACTATCCTCTATCATCAATACGTCATGTTCTTCCTTACTTTCTTCAACGCACATTTCACGTCCTGTTTCACTTTCCACTTCACGTCCTATTTCACTTTCCATTTCACGTCCTGTTTGACTTTCCATTTCACGTCCTGTTTCACTTTCCATTTCACGTCCTGTTTCACTTTCCATTTCACGTCCTGTTTGGCTTTTCATTTCACGTCCTGTTTGGCTTTCCATTTCACGTCCTGTTTGGCTTTCCATTTCACGTCCTGTTTGGCTTTCCATTTCACGTCCTGTTTCACTTTCCATTTCACGTCCTGTTTCACTTTCCATTTCACGTCCTGTTTCACCACCATCTTCACCCCGTCTACCCCCCATAGTTAATTTTTCTAATGCCTCAATCCTCTTTTCTAGTTTTTTTAGATATTCCAATATTTGAGTACCAACCTCAGAGTTCACTATATTGACCTGAACCTTGTTTCCACAAGGTTTAATTTTTTCAGCTGCATTTCCTACTTTCCCTAGGCTCGCCTTAATTGTCTCTGTTCCTTTCTCCCACACATTGTTCATAGGCGCTGTCATTGGCTTCCAACTGTTTCCTCCATGTTCCTGCTGCACAATCTTTCCTTCCTTCGAGGATACATCTATCCTGCTTGTAGCACCCGTCCTCGAGTCTCTCAGATGAGGCTTCATGCGACATAGATAGGAACCAGCATTGTGGCTTCCTCGACAATTGCAACAAGATGGGACGATTTTTTCACCGTTTTTAATCTTGACTCTACACTCTCGAGAGTCGTGTTTCTTACCACAGTACCGACACCTGGGGTCAAACTGGCATTTCCAAGCCATATGTCCCCAACGAGAACACTTCATGCATAATATGGGCTCCTCAATGTATTTTACAACTTTCCTGTAGCCTAGTCCTTGCACAAAAATTCTTTCTGGAGCCTCACCCTTTACCAAGGCAACAACCTGGCTTTGTTTTTCACCACGAACACTGTTCCTCTTTGCCCAAACAACACTATCATTGTTGAGCAATAGATAATCAGGATCCAAATAAGTTGGATACTTAAACACTATGACCTTGGTGTACATCATACCTTTTTCCGGAGTAACCATCACAATATTCTCAAACCCATCCTTCGTTAGGTGTTCCACGGCCTCTTCTGTCCCAACTGTTATATAGGGCCGGTGAAGACCCTCCTTGAATAGTGGTTCATATTCAAAAAACTCCTTAGCCAAACGAACCGTCCACTCCAGCTTTTGATGGAAATTCAGTTGACATGCTGTAGGGAACAACAGCCTCTTCCTTCCATTAGTCTGCATCTCCCGCGTCCTGCTGAGCATGTCTTCATTTTTTGGTATCTTTGTTATTTCCTCCTCACTGTCTTTGAATATTTCTCCGTTTATATCTGTTTACTACTGCTTGATACGGCCTAGTATCATCCTGTCTGCCATCCCCACTGTCACACTCTCCAGGCCCAGTACAGGATCTTCCATCACCTAGGCAGACCGCCTCAGCCATTTCCTCGATACACAAAGGCACTGTATCACTGCAACAGTCGAGAACAAATTCACAACATCTAGCTGCAGCAGCCACGTGCAAACACGAAGATGCGGAGCAACACGTCCTCCTCGCATCATGCAGCAGACCGCACTGACTTGTGCGCTGGCGGCGTTCACAACTCATCTCGCCTTAGAATTAGTCAATCGCAACATTATAATAATTCATTTTTTGTTGTATTAAACATATAAATTACAAATAAACAATATTTCACTCGGAGATACTTACATATTAGCGATTATAGTCTGAAAATATAAGCAATTATATGGCAATGTATAACGACAAAGGAAAAATAAAACGGGAAATTTCGAAAGCTCTTTCTTAGTAATGCATTATAACGATATTATGCTGATGAAGTTTTGATAAATACGAAAATGCTTAAATAATTTAGTTACATTTTCCTTCGTGACTACCTGAATATAAATAAATAAATAAACAAATAAATATTTGTAATTAATAATGGATGAATGATAATAAACTGATGTTCATTTGTGTGTCTTCCAGACAAGAGAGTCCATTTAATGGCAGAATTTAGCCATTTTGTTTAATAACTCATATTTCTAATTATCATAGTAATCGAAAACTCATATTTTGGATATAGGAGAGATGAAACAGCAAGCCATGAGCTAGATGCCGTGTATGAAGAGGTGGAGACAAATACCTTCCTGTGATTGGCTGTTGTAGGGAATGCCAACACTGAATGAAATGCAAACTAAGAATTACGTTCTTTTGCACAACAACCTCTTTGTACAAAGGTGCAAAAACGTTGTACAAAACAATCTCTATATTATACATGAGAGAAATTTTCATCTAACTGAATAATGCAGTCTAATAAGAGGGCGGAGCATCGTATCATCGATTTATTTGTGTCGAGGCAACCCCCACTGATGACGTCACAAGTTAGGTAGCCAGGTCAATTTTTCTATATCACCTGTTATATCCTGCTATATTTAATTATCAATTTATTAACACATTTACATAATTAAAACTTAAACTTTTGGGTAGATTAAAGTTGAAGCAGAATGTCATAAGCAAGGATGGTGTGCTGAATAAATATGATTTATTAAGTGGATGGAGCCTTTAGCTGATCCCTTCCTGTGATTGGCTGTTGTGTGAATGTCAACAAACATTTATTTGTGCACCCCATACCATCTGTGGGCGGAGCTTGGAACCTCCTACCCGAGCACAACAACCCGCCTTATGGGTTGCTGTTTGGCTATTTATAGTGCGTTGGAAAAAAACTAGATGGCGTTAGTGGTATTTTGTAGGGTAATTTGTTATAAGTGTAATTTGATGTCAACAGATGGCGTAAGCTGTATCTTATGGCCACTTTTGACCAGCAGGTTGATAGTGTTCTCTTCTGCCGACAGATGGCATCAGCTGTGTTATTATTACTTCCGAATTCCTTTTAAACACTGATCTACAAATCCCTTAGCTTATGATAAGGTTTTATACCATTTATGATAGGTATTAGATAACTGGAGTTACGCAATTACTTTTATTTATCAACTGTTGAGGATATCATCATATAACGTCTGGTTAGGACGTACTGCTCTCGATTGATGAAGATTTAAGCCACCCAAGAGGTGGCACGGGCATGAATAGCCCGTAAATACTGCTCTCGTAATATTATTCAGGGGGATAGGGGAACTATCAAGTGAAAGCGCCAAGCCATTACGACTATATAGCACTCGGAAGGGGTCAGGATACGGATTTGGGATGGAATGGGGGAAAGGAATGGTGCCCAACCTCTTGGGAGGTCGGGGATTGAACGCGGAACTGTAGGAAACGAGACCATCGCTCTACCGTCCAACCCAAGTGGTTATAAGCGTAATATTATTAAAACCATACTTTATGCATATAATAACAGCATTTCACACTAAAAATACTTAGATATATTGAAATTTGGTAGTGAATTCCAATCTAGGAATCTCCTATGACTAAACTGTACTTTTATATCATTTTTATGTACTTACTACTTATTATTAAATTATTAAGTATTTACTATAATAATTAAATAAATTATTTTATTTAATATTTAAATTAAATGATAAAATAATAGGTAATAATAATTAATTGTGTAGGGGGACAGGCAGCCAGTGATTATATACATGTTAGGCTTATACCAAGGTGCCACAAAGGTGCCACAAAGGTGCCAAATTAAAGACTGGGAGCTGCCGGGGCGGGCCCAAGGGCTGCTGGCGGCCCTGATGGCCAGGCTGAACTTCCGCGCCCTTATAATCACCATTGTTTAATAATCTTCACAGGGAGAAACAACTGTAAATATAGGAATAGTTTATTACAACATACACTGTAAAGAAAACAGCTCGGAAACTAAGGAAATAAAACTGCCGAAAAAAACATTAAAGTCCACTTCAAGTTCAAGTATGTTTATTGAGACAATAAAAAAATACATCACAAAGGGATAGAGTAGCTTAGGCTATTTCTACCCCCCCCCCCCCCCTCTACTTCAAGTCCCTCAAGGGGCGCACAAATTCAGTGAGTACAAGTACACAAATCACAATACAAGATTCCCATTTAACATAACAGGTTAAAATAGGAAGCACAGCATATAAGTGTTACAAGTGAGTTACAAGTTACAAGGGAACAAGTGAGATATATATATATAATGTGTGTGTGTGTGTGAATGTGCAGAAATAATATTAATAAAACAATTAACATCGTGTAGTGTACTCTATATTTCAAAATACATTACTTTGAAACCCATATCACTAAAAAAGATTGGGCTACTCTAATTACAAATTCGCTACTTTTAGAGCGTCAGCTCGCTACTTTCAGCAATTTAGATCTGGCAACCGTGCTTGTGACTGTAATCGTTCTCCTGGGCGCCATGGGTGAGGCTACGCTCACACCCACCCAATTGCTGGCCACACCCAGCTGTGTTTAACCCAGTGACCCTCACATCCCCCGCACCATTCACTGCACCGCTGTCTACACCATGCAGGTTGGGGGTCTGAACCAGTGCTGTTTACACCAGTTTGTAGGTCTTACACTAGCCTGTACATATATTACACCAGCCTGTACATATACTACACCAGCCTGTGCATATATTATACCAGCCTGTGCATATATTATACCAGCCTGTACTCATTATACCAGCCAGCATATATTACAGTATATCTATTGTTATTACAGCCTGTGGTGTTGATTACTCATTAGTCTTTTTAAATCAGTCTTTGTTGTGACCCTGGGACGGCTTTGTTTACATATATTAAATTATTTACGAGCTTGGGAACTTCACAATCCAAGGTTATTAGTGTTATAAACAATCTCGTAACGCTTCTGTTATGAACTGCTTAATAAATGTAATGAAAGCCGTTATGATTGTTGTAAGATGTACAGGTTTCGTAAGAGGGTAAATGACTGATGAATCTTGGTGCTCTTTCTCATACATGAACCTCGGTTCGAATCCCTCATTACTCTCAAAAGCTGACGAAATGATTGTTTAGAATTGCGTCGAGTTGTTTGATCGTGTTACGTATCCTTATGTCATGTTTTGCATTGTGTTGCGTGCCGTTACGTCGTGTCGCGTGCTAACTCCGTCGTCGTATGTAATGTTGCGTTGTGTTCCATGTCGCGTCGTGTGCTAAACGACCCGTATGACGTTGTTATGTCGTTTAGTGTTGGTGGTGGAACGAATGTAGCAGGCCGATCTCCAGCGCGTTTTCCCCAGCGAGCATAAGAAATATTGCCGGAACAACCGTGGACATCTTCAAGAGGAAACTAAATTGTTTCCTCCCAGGAGTGCCGGACCAACCAGGCTGTGGTGGGTATGTGGGCCTGCGGGCCGCTCCAAGCAACAGCCTAGTGGAGCAAACTCTCACAAGTCAAGTTTGGCCTCGGGCCGGGCTTAGGGAGTAGAAGAACTCCCAAAACCCCATCAACCAGGTATCAACCAGGTTTTCCAAGAATCTAGCAGACGACAGGAGGATATTTTCCACGGCGTGTGGCAGACCAGAGCACCACAATATACGTGAAATTTTGAGGGATTTCCAAGAAATTCTTGTAATAGCCGCGCACCGAAAGACCCAGTGACTGTGAGGGATGCGTTAGCCATATTATTTTAACGAGTTCACGGGAAGATATTACGACATTGGGAATCAGGCGTAGAAATAATGTATATTAGGCTACGGCCACCAGCCGTTCAAGGCCACAGTCTCGGACGGAGATCAAAGCCACGATATTGCGAGACCGAACCTAACCTACCGGTGGACCCAAGAATAGAAAATGGGTGATAGATGAAGAAGAGGAGGGATGAGAAGGGGGGGGTGAGAGGTGAAGTGGGGGGAGGGGTGAGAGGTGACGAGGGGACGGGTGAGAGGGTGACGGGTTGTTAGTGTAATCCGGCTTAAACGTGAAGGGCTCAGCGTTACTCAACCATTAGTGACCCTCCCTCCCCCCTCATGATCCCCCCCACTCCTCTACTCTACCATCCCCCCCCCCATGACCTCCCCCACTCTATTACTCTCCCATCTCCCCACTCAATTACTACTCTCCCAATCAGGGATTGTATAACACGTGCCTTTATATGATTTATGTCGATAATTAGAGATGCAAGACATCAACCAATAGAAGACATCAGAAGACATCTCTGTGGCACGAGACTTGTTCTTCAAGGTAACTACCATTGAGAGAGAGAGAGAGAGAGGGGTCCCTCAGGTTATTATAGACCTTATTCCCATCCTGCGGGTGGTGGCGGAACCGTTTGTCTCATACGGCTTCAGGCGTTGGATCTTGATGATGTTTCAGTCAACTCATCACTCATCCAGTGGGCGGTGGTGGGATGGTCAGTCAACTCATCACCCATGCAGTGGGCGGTGGTGGGATGGTCAGTCAACTTATCACCCATGCAGTTGGCGGTGGTGGGATGGTCAGTCAACTCATCACTCATGCAATAGGCTTTCGGGGGGAATGATGTACACTGGGTAAACTCGGGATACTTGGCTTATATCATCAGTAGCCTATGATTTTGAATGAAGTATTCATGAACATTTATGGTGTTGAATGAGTGTCTAATTTTTTAATTTGTTCACATTCCATCAAAATTGGACGCAAGGTGTGGGAATCATTTTACTAACGGTTTACATTTGGTCAGGTCTACATCAGCAGGTAATGTTAACCCTAAGACACAGTATATTTAACAGAGCCTAAGCCTAGCATTATCAACATTTAGAATCTACTGATTTTATTGTTTGTCCCCATAGTACGGCTCTCCCTGCATCGTAGTCTGATTATAGATAGAATGGCTGGTGTAGATTTTACGTTATCTCATGTCTACGATGTCATTCATCGCCCGGGGGAGTAGAAGAACGCTCTGCATACCAAAATATGCAGTTGCACTCCATAGTAGTACATCAGATACTTTGTTATATCCATGAGGCAGGTAATGGTAGGTAGAAGGTATAGGGATATGTGTACCTCGTAGTGAATGGTAGTGGGGAATTATCCTCCTGGCAGCAGGTGGTGGGGGAAATATCTCTGCTGGTGGTGGGGGAATTATCCTCCCGGCAGCTAGTGGGGGAATTATCCTCCAGGCAGCTGGTGGTGGGGGAATTATCCTCCCGGCAGCTCGTGGTGGGGAAAACCTTCCCTTACACCACCCACTTCCCCCTACACCGCCCACTTCCCCCTACACCGCACACTTCCCCCCTATTTCGCCCACTTCCCCCCCCCCTATTCCTCCCACTTCCCCCCTATTCCGCCCACTTCCCCCTACACCACACACTTATCAGTACACTACCCACTTCCCCTTACACTGCCTACCTACCCTTATTCCACCCACCTCCCTTACACCACCCAGATTCTACTTATATTCCTCGCCTTTACCTCCCAGCAATGTCTACACTCGACTTATTTTTATGAAATTATCCATTGTTTTCCCGCAAGGTAACGTGCCCCGCAAAAAACACATGTGTATGATAGCAAGTCAGAAAATAGTTTAAAAGTTTTGCTGGGTGCATCCAGTGGGAAAGGGTCGTCTTTAGAAGCTGGAGAAGGGTCTAGAATCCTTAATGGAATACACGAGTAAGCGATCTTGCGGTAAGGAAGAACCAAGTACAATAATGCCAGCCAAGATGCCGCTGAACAACAACTTCTGGTCGAGGCACATCTTTCCCCTTGACTGAACGTGTAATATGGAAGACGCTAGAAAATCAAAGAACTCTCGTATTGGGCGGAGCCTAAAGCGAGCCGCAACGCTCATTGGCTAATGCCTCCCGCGCTCGACGCTGATTGGCCAGTAGCTTGGCGGGCTCATGGGCTTGGGAGGGACTCGACATCGTCCTAATCTGTGTAGAAAAATTACAGCATAATTTATCCCTTATCCAGCGGAGGCAAGAGCGGACAGTCCGTACCCGACATTTCCGATTCGTGAACTCATAACGTATATCACTGAGGACGGTGTGCACTGTGTAGCGTGACTGAGCAAGAGATATCCGGCGGAACAGAGCTGGACGGCCATTTCGGTGGAGGTGCCGTGGAGAGTGCGGTGTGGGGACCATTAGGAGCGGACAGGTAAGTGTGGGCACCGGGCAACCTCCCTCCTTCCATTAACCATCATTACCCTCACTTAGCAACCACACCACTAGGGTTTCACTGCACAAAGGGCTTCCACATATAAATACCGCGTGGTGGTAGTGTGTGATTGAGGCTCTGGGTCACCACACCCTCAAGCCGCCGGGCTGGTCCTTGGGGCTACTCCTCGGAGCTACTCCTCGAGTTTATCCTTGAGGCTGCTCCTCGGGGTGATCCTTGAAGCTATTCCTCTGGCTGGCCCTCGAGGCTACTCTTCGGGATGGTCATCGGAGCTACTCCCCGGGCTGGCCCTCACGGCTACTCGGGCAGTGATAGTCTGGCAGTACTACGCCAACAGTACTACACCAACAGTGCTTATACTGACTACTAAACCAGTACTACTCTACCGATAAATATAATACATCACCAGTTCTACACCACCAGTAATACACTACCAATATACACCAGTGATACATCACCAGTGCTACACAACGACAGTAACCACTACTAGACTACAGAACCACAAATTGACTTTACCACTGCTAGGCTACGCAGGTACAACACCGCTACTAGGCTTCATAACACAACTACTACTAGGCTAAATAACAACACATTCACTATTAGGCTACATACTTACACAACCGCTACTTGGTTACACAACAAGACAACCACTACTAGGCTATACCACCACACAAACACTACGCTACGTAACACAATCAGTACTAGGCTACACTACCACACAACCACTACTAGACTACATAAACCACTACTAGCCTACACCACTACGCTAACACCATTAGACTACATAACACCACCACCACTAGGCTACACCACTACTACGGGGCTACACCACCACTACTAAGCTACACCACCACCACTAGGCCTCACCACCACCACTATGCTACACCACTACTAAGCTATACCACCACTACTAGGCCTAACCATCACTACCAGGCCTAACCACCACTAGGACTAATCCATAGGCTACACCACCACCACTAACACCACCACCACTTGGCCTAATCACCACTACCAGGCCTAACCACCACTAGGTTACACCACCAATAGGCTACACCACCAATAGGCTATACCACCAGTACACTTCTTTAAATGACAGGCGTTACGACATCGTTGAGGTGATAGATATATGATAATAAATCACTGAACTCTAGTGTATAATTTCACAAGTGGTTATTTTCAACCTCAAATAATAATAATAATTTTTATTTATATATAAATACATTTGATACATGATACAGTGGAGAATTTGAAGGTAAAAATGTAAATTGCATTAAGCCTCTTTAAGACGCCTGTTCAGCCGTTTTGGGTGAACAGGACCTGACGACTTCTCACTCCTGTTAGTAGGCCTACAGCTTTTCCTCTCTATAGCTCCTGTTAAGAATTGTTATCGTAGTTTCCCTGGAACATGACCCGCTAATCGGTTTACAACCAGGTTCCTTATTCTAGATGCATTTGCCAGGAAGGAGAATACGCGTGAGGAGAATATATATATATATATATATATATATATATATATATATAACCCTGGCTAGGGTTCGAGTCTCCTGGTGGGAAAGTGTTCTAAAGTTGTATACTTCACTCTCGTGTTTAGGAGAGTTGTGCCTTAAGCATAGACACTGTGTCTTCCCATATTAACAGGGACTTGATGAAATTAACGTCTAAATGACCCCTCACTTGCTCTAGTGCTCTTGGGAGGTGTTGATCTTTGGTGTATTTAAATACTCCGAAATTACCATCTCTTTTAAGGGTCTGAGCAGGTGGTGAAGAGGGTTAAGGCGTACCTGTTATGCCAGTTGCTGGAAGGCTTCTGTGCTGGCTAGGGTTCGAGTCTCCTGGTGGGAAAGTGTTCTAAAGTTGTATACTTCACTCTCGTGTTTAGGAGAGTTGTGCCTTAAGCATAGACACTGTGTCTTCCCATATTAACAGGGACTTGATGAAATTAACGTCTAAATGACCCCTCACTTGCTCTAGTGCTCTTGGGAGGTGTTGATCTTTGGTGTATTTAAATACTCCGAAATTACCATCTCTTTTAAGGGTCTGAGCAGGTGGTGAAGAGGGTTAAGGCGTACCTGTTATGCCAGTTGCTGGAAGGCTTCTGTGCTGGCTAGGGTTCGAGTCTCCTGGTGGGAAAGTGTTCTAAAGTTGTATATATATATATATATATATATATATATATATATATATATATATATATATATAATATATATATATATATATATATAATATATATATTGCAGAATGGTTTATGTTCAAACCATTTAAAGGCATTGATTAATTTTAACTAAATTAAAAACTTATATTTTCTCATACAAATTTATGTTACTATATATCAGAATTTAGTGCATCCGCCTCGGCCAGGTTTGGTTTCTTTGTTCTTCTTACACTAATGTGTACCTTATCCTGTCCTCAGGCTAGGCTTATCTAAACTGTGTCCTCAGGCTAGGCTTATCCAAACTCTGTCCTCAGGCTAGGCTTATCCAAACTCTGTCCTCAGGCTAGGCTTATCCAAACTCTGTCCTCAGGCTAGGCTTATCCAAACTCTGTCCTCAGGCTAGGCTTATCCAAACTCTGTCCTCAGGCTAGGCTTATCTAAACTGTGTCCTCAGGCTAGGCTTATCCAAACTGTGTCCTCAGGCTAGGCTTATCCAAACTGTGTCCTCAGGCTAGGCTTATCCAAGCTGTGTCCTCAGGCTAGGCTTATCCAAACCGTGTCCTGCACACCGGCCCCCATACAGTGGGCAGCGGTGGATAGGTTACAATCACTTAGTTACTACCTTTAGTTAGCAAACTGGGGATATTTGGCAAAAATTTCTGTTTGCAGATCATTTTGAATGAAATATTTACACATCGTTGCATTTACAGACCTGAGGAAGATTTACGAACCATTTCACGAGAAGTTTGAATGTCATCAATTAAGAGCAATATATCAAGTTTTTTTCACTCATAAAAAGGGAGTTTGACGGCTGTATTACAGTTACCAATTGTTGATGAGTACAAGCAGGATTGACAGGTTGTTGGGCTGTCAATCGAAACCCTGAGGAGTAGGTTGTTGATTGTAATCTCGTGAATTATTTATATATATATATATATATATATATATATATATATATATATATATATATATATATATATGACAATGTCAGACCACGGAGGAAAAATGAAACAGGAAATTTCCTTAAGTACTTTCGTATATTAAATACATCTTCAGAAGGTCAAGATGTATTTAATACATCTTCAGAAGGTCAAGATGTATTTAATATACGAAAGTACTTAAGGAAATTTCCTGTTTCATTTTTCCTCCGTGGTCTGACATTGTCACATTCTTAATCACGTGTTTATTTTCGTGATATACACACACACACATATATATATATATATATATAATTAGTATATTTTGGTAGCAGTCTTTCCTGTAGACATATATTATTAAATATGACCGAAAAAGTAAGATTAATAATTCTAACACGAATTTTCTCAATCTTTCTTCTTTTGGAGAAGTGATTTTTGATTTACCTCCAACAGTGAAGCGTAATGTACGAAAGATTGAGAAAATTCGTGTTAGAATTATTAATCTTACTTTTTCGGTCATATTTAATAATATATATATATATATATATATATATATATATATATATATATATATATATATATATATATATATATATATATATATATATTGGTCCTCGAAATGTATGTATCGTTTTAATTCCAGTGGCGTACAGCATTTTGTTTTAAATATTTTTGCTGGGCAGTTTTATTGTTTGTACCAATGATGGAGTTTAACCTGAGAAACATCTGTGTTGAACTCGGGCACAGTAACGTGCCGACTCAAAGGGTGTATACCCTGAGAGGTATACCCAATCTCTCGGTGTATGTTCACTGAGAGTTTACTTTAGTCCTGGACAATGTTCAGGACTCCAGTATACCTGCTGGCTGGCGAGTGAGGTGTTGTAGTTGATCTGACAACCTTCCCGCGGTCCATAAAATCAAAATCAAAATGTTTATTCAGGTAAAAGTAGATCCATAGAAGATGATTTACAAACATAATGTTGGATTTATAGATAAGAGCTTGTACATACAATATTTAAAGCTACTAATACGCATAGCGTTTCGGCCAAGATAGGCCTATACCCGACACCAGAATGGCCAGCGGCGTCTCCAAGACACACAAATATTCAGTTTCACAGATGTATATTCTGCGTTCACTTTCATGTATCATATATAACGATACAAGGTACGAGCGTTTTAGTACACTATTTTATGTCCGTTGTGGCAACTAGAGAAACGGGCCAATAGGCTTTCTGCGGGACTTTACTGTTGTTGTCCAGCTGGCAAGACTTTGCCATATCGGCCTGTCTCTACTTACATGCTGTACCCCTAGCACCAGCTGACGCAAAGTTTGACATACTGGTGGACTCGCGCCAGTCATGTGTCATCATGATAAACAATAAGTATTGGTGACGTGATGCATATTAGTGCGGTGTGAGTTCAACAGATGGCGGGGAGGAAGCTTGCCTTGTAGAGAGGACGAGGACGCGTTGAGTAGCTTTGCGTCCGCCTCTCTGGCGTCTGTTAGGTTACCTGAAGAACACGGTGAATAAATAACATCAGCTACACTCCACGGTGAACAGGACACTAGCTACACAACAATAACGGTGAACAGGATATTGGCTACACAACAACTGGCATTTGCATTAAAAAATCACATCAAATTTTAGGAATAATTAAATATGAAGGAAAAGAAAGTGGAAATTCAGTTGTACAAGTCTCGGGTGCGCCTCGTATGTACTACACTATCCAAGAGCTCCACCTTCTTAAGGGCATACATGGCTGCTTTGGAGAAAGTTCAACACCTTACAGCAAAAAACATTCCAGAACTGAGTCATCTCTCATACTAGGAATGGTTGAGGGCCTCAGAGCTAATAACTGCAAGACAGACATGACGGGCTGATCTCGTCGACACCTTTATAATATTGAAC